TCATAGCCTTCAACTCGCCGACCTCGTGTTCCAGAGCGTGCACGCGAGATGAGGTGACCGAGGAAGAGCGAATAGTGTGGATGTCGTCCGCCGGAGCGGGACCCGCAATTCCATTCCTGCTCTCCTGAGCCACCTTCGAGTGCTTCAGCAGCTCGAAGTCTCGAAACGCACGAATCTGCACTTCGGGATCGACCTCATACCATGGGGCATCCTCACCCGAGTCCTCATGACTGTCAGCCAGGTCTACACCCTTCCCTTTAGCAGCACGACGTGCCTCCCGTACCTCTGTGTCGGGTAGGCTGGATTCTCCATCCGAACTGGGTGCCTCATCGGCCTCGATGGCCAGCAACCCCATCATCCGGCGGGACACCCGCTCACGCTCGGTCTGAGTCATCAACTGCTCCGCAGCACGCGCGGCGCGCGCTAGCTCGGCAGCCAAAGTTTCGTGGGCAGCGACACTCTCGGGTGATGTACCCTCGTGTGCCTGCACCATTTCCTCACGAAAAGACTCCTCCGGGAAAGGAGTATGGTAAATCTCGCCCTGATCAATGTCGCCCGCAGGCTCGGCATGATCATATAGACGCGGGGAGTTACCGTGGTTCCCGCCCTCCAGGCGGAACGTGTCATCACGCGGCTCGTATTTGACGGAGCGCGCAGTAATGGCAAAAGGCGGACCTGCGGACGTCTCCGCAGGCGCAATGGCATTCGGAGTGTGTGTATGATACGACAAACCAATGCTAGTATCACTCCCAGCCCGAGGCCGAGAGCGAATCCTCCCGGGCCCGAGGCGTCGCGGAGTCGTAGCCGAACGGAAGAGGGGTAAGGGGAGACGAGAACATGTTGAAGGTCGTGTCAAGAGGTGATCAAACTCCGATTGTCGACCGGGATAGAGGGAAATCTATGGGATAGAAGCGGTCAAGTAGAATGGGTTGTCGACTGTCAAAAATATGTAACCGCAGTGCCCCCGTGGGAGCGCCAAGGTAACAAGGTGATGGGAAAAGTCACGCAGAGGAAAGACAGGTTGCAGGACTGCTTTATCTCGAGAGCGTGCTGCCCACTCTACAACATGACTGCCAGACTATATAGGCGACGAGAGAGGTCCGTGCGCAACGCCACTACGGAGGAGGCTGGAGTCGTACGGACGGAACAGGTAGAGACAGTGTATGTGTGACATATCGGAATAATCAGAGTCAGTGGCCGTGACGGGAGGAACGCAATCGGAAACGGAAAGTAGGCAGACCCGACAGGTCCGCGCTACAGCGAGGTCAGAGCACATTCAGCATAAACCACACTTCTGGCCCACCTTGCACATGTCCACTGATTCTCAACCGTTTTTCAAGGTCTCTTCTGCGTTGGATAGCTAAGATGTACCCCGTTCTAATCCATGTTTTTGCATTCTAATCGGAGCACATGTCGTCCCAGGATACCGTATGTCATAAAATAATGACATATGATCCCTCACATGCATATCATCACCGATAAGCGTGTAAACTCCGATCTGAGCACCTCAATAGTATCCAGGTGTGATTCAGCAAACAGCTCGTTGATATCATGTCTGCACATGAACTTATACATGTCGTATTTTCTCAGAACTTCCACTTTCCACACATATCTTGTATCTTCACCAAGTATCCTGATTTCTGTGCGCTCTCTTCTGCATTGCATTCAGAATATTGTATGTGAATATATCTAGGCGTCCGAAATGTGATACACTCTCATCCCATGTATGTGTGTGGTATGTCATTTTAAAATATCATACCACATTATCCCCTCAATTTTGCAGCTACTGCCTTCCAAATTTGCAAACCAACAGCTCTTTCATGCTACTCTCTGATTCAGAAAACATCTGGGTGAATTACCATCTACACATGCTGCTGTGGGGGGTGACTTCCTAGGGAGAAGGTGTCCAGTACAGGTAGACCAACTCATATCAATATGCTGCAGTGTGCAGCACTGCATTCATATGTGATGTAAAGTTTCATTCCAAGAAAAATGAGGGAGACTGAGGGGGTTGATAGTGTATACAGTATAGGTCAGGTCAAACAGGTGCTGAGCACCAAAATATAAACATCATGGAAGGCACAGATCACAATGTGTAAGGTGGCGTTAAAACGAGGGGATGTATGCTAACCTATGCACCAAAACGCACGCCAAACGGAAATGGAACGGGCAAGATGTGAGGGCGAGACTGGGGGAGGCAGGAGGAGGGGGCAAGGCAAGCTGAACATACACATATCTTGCCATACATGACGCAAATCTCTTCCGACTGCTGCATCCAAGCGCGCGATCGAAAGGGATTGATGACGCGCGACGAATGAACTCATCCACGTCTTCTTAGGTGGCGAAGTGGGCGAGATCGAGGATTGGGAAGATAGGAAGGGAGTGCTGATTGCAGGCGGTCTTGCACAGCGCACAGCGGGCGAACGAGTGCGGCGGGCGAGACGAAGGCGAGCGCGTTTGAAAGGGATTAATGAGGGCAATATGAGCTCCGATTTTCAGCGCGATCGGAGCGAAACTGGGAAAGCGGCGCATTGAGTCCAAGCCTGAGGATGGCTGGAGGCGGTGTGGAGAGAGCAAGTGGTTGCTGCGGGTGAACGGCTGCGCGTTTTCGCGGCGTCGAGGGCGCGTTATATGCGTGGTAATTAGGGGAGCACGCATACCAAAATGCGTGCGGAACGAACGGGATATGTGGCCGTGGTGCTCAAGATCGCGGGGGTTGAGGAAGATGCAGATTGGGCGAAAAGGCGGCAATGCGGCAGCTGTCATGGGCAATTGGCTAGGCGTACCAGCGCGCGCAAAGGTGCATCGGAACGGCCTTGAAGAGGGGAAGAGAACGAACCTAACCGAGCTCTGAACCGTCAAGAGACGGGAGCATCAAGTAGGTGATGTGGGGGGCGATCTTCTGTCGCACAAGACGACGCGCAGCGGGACGACGACGGGTCGCGTCGTGAAACGGGGCGGCTCGTTGGAAAGAGGGTAGAAACGCGCACAAAACAAGCCCAAGATGACGTCGAACGGCGGAGAACTTGGAGGGGGGCAAGGTAATGAGGGTGCGGGCTCGGAGTGCTATGCGCGACCAAGAACGGGCGCTCGGAGAGTATACAGCCATCAAACGCGGGCGCTCGGAGAGCATACAGCCATCAAACGCGGGCGCTCGGAGTGCCTATGCCCATCAAACACGCGTGCTCGGAGTGCCTATGCCCATCAAACACGCGCGCTCGGAGTGCCTATGCCCACCAAACGCGGGCGCTCGGGGGTATACAGCTATCAAACGCGGGCGCTCGGAGTGCCTATGCCCATGGCACCAGGCAGTTGGGTGCTCAGAGTGCATCTGCCCATGGAAGTTAGGTGCTTGGGGGGTATACAGCCATCAAACATGAGTGCTCAGACTTGTGTGTATGGGAACAGTATATAAAGGTGACAGTGGCGGGTGATCGGAGTCTGTAGTAGGTGCATGCTGAAGCTTGTAACCAGACAGGTGAAGCAGGCCATAACAGAGCGTGTTTGTATACTGCGTGTATACATGAGGATGGGTGCTCAGTATATATGCGTAAAGGTGTGCAGGTGCAGGCTGGTGTATACCTCAGACAAGATGACTAACAATGCAGGCTAAATGCATATATAAATTAGTAGCTACAGTGGCAATACATAGAATAAGCGCTGCACTCATATGGGTGGCAGCCTAGGTAACGTACTCATATGAGCAGCATCCCAAGTGACAGACTCATACGAGTGGTAGCCCAAGCAACAGCCTCATATGAGTGGCAGCCCAAGTGACAGGCTCATATGAGCGGTAGCCCAAGCAACAAGCTCATATAGGTGGCAGTCCAGACTACATGATAATAAAGCAGTGATAGTAGTAACATAGTAACAATACTATAGACAGGCAATGAAAGGCGGCTTATACAGGTGGCTGTGCACTCATATGAGCGGGAATTCAGGCTACAGAGCGCCCACTCATATGAGTCCACCCGAGCGGTATTCCCGGGCTACAGTGTCAAAAATATGAGTGGCATCCCTGGCTACAATAGTGGCATGCACTCTGACTAGGCACACTTTTCTGTTGTGTGATGACCCATCAGTATCCTAGTAGTATAGTAAGACATCACGTGTTTCTCTCTTTACATGTGCTCGTGCGGCCACCCGTCGGACGGCGGGACACCCACAGCATGAGTTCGGGCGCCGGCGCGCGACTGGGCTTGTCTAAGTGGGGTTCCGGGGTATCTCCCTTTAGGGGAGACGCCGAACCGCTCTCTCTCTCTCTCTCTCTCTCTCTCTTTCTTTGCAACAAGCCACGGTTCCTAAACCCCTCTCCTTTGCTTTTAGTCTCTGATGCGAAGGCGCTTGGTCATCACGAAGCGAATATAATGACCAGAGAATTTCTCGCCAGCTACTTCACATCACACGGACGTTCCAAGGGATAGATACCCTCCATCTCGCCAATTAAACCTGCAATAAGGTACAACCAGTCTTTTGCCGCTCGTGGTCATCTTCATTTTTTGAAATGGCGTCGTGGGGGACCACCAAACATCCGGAATAGTAAATTTTGTTGTGCCAGGCCTTGGTGCGTCCGCATTCCCGCGTCCCCTGGACGACTCGTGCGGTGAGCACATTCCTTGAAAACGGTGCGTTTGACCTTCCGTCGATCGTTCCGGGCGCGTGTCTCATACCCATCCCCAGCCGGCGTCTGTGGCTCCTGACTACGCCACCGTCTACCGTTCCCCGTTCCATCCCGAGGTCGTTATGACACTAGAAGCACGGCCGGGCTTTCTCATCTGCCGCGTCGCTCAGAGGATGCAACGCTGCGTGTGCCGTTAGAGGGCGTAAAAAGAGGGCACGAAGCTGGGTCCTTACGACCTTCCCCTCCCCGGTCTCGTCTCTCTCAGTTCACGTCCACAACCTCTATTCATCTGGCGGTCAAGCCGGACTTGCTGGTTAACTCGTCTACCTTCGTTGACGCCTTCTCCCAACCCGCACCGGAACCTGGAACCCTGAGCAGGATGACGAGTGCCGCACGGACGACGTGAGTCCTTCCTCAACTCTCGCAGCCGGACAGTCGCTCATCCGCCACTGCAGGTTTGGACCGTTCTTCATCGGGGTCTTCCTGGACATAGCATGCATGGGCATCCTGTCCGGGCAAGTGTTCCTATATTATTCGTCCTACAAGCAGTGCGTTGTGTCGTTGTCCAGGGTGGACTGTGAGCCTGACGTTCGCACTGAATGTCAGAGATCGGGTGTGGCTTAAGGCTGTGGTGAGTTCGCAATGCCTCCATTTACGGTCCGCATCTGAGAGCCGTGCAGGTCGTCGTCCTTTTCATGCTCGAAATTGCGGATACCACGTTCGACACGCTGGCGGCGTACGAGCCGCTCATCATCCACTTCGGTACGTCGTCTGTTTATCGGATACTGCACATTCGAAAGGAAAGCCAACGCTTCTCCCTCAGGTGAGCCAAGTGCGATAGCGATAACTACGTGGGGTACGTGTTCTTTGTCACCTGTGCGCTGCACCTTGTTGATATCTCTTCTAGAACTCCGCATGGGCGAGTATTGGCCCTCTTGGAACACCTGGTGAAGCATAGCTGATGGATCCCTGTTGCTCCAACAGACCCTCTGTTCAACGTGCGTCGCTCATAGACCGCCATTTGGCAATATACTGATATGATTGGTTACAAATAGGGCATCATAGCCGCCATCGTTCAAGCGTTCTACGCTTGGCGCATCAGGAAACTCACCCACAACACCTGGGTTGCCGCTCTCATCTTCATGATCTCCCTGGCATCATTAGGTGTGCATACGCCGTTTAGATCGACCTCTAGCAATCTTTGATCGTGACCACCTCCCAGCTGGTTCCGTCGCCACTTTTGTGTCAATGACACGCACACCGGCCTTCGACACCTTTAGGCAGTTCGAAACTGTTGTTATTCTTTGGCTTGTGTGCGGAGCCGTTGCGGATATCCTGATTACTATGGTGTCCGTGTGGCATCTCGTGAGTATCCGCAGCTATACCGCCTGGTAAGATGCTGACGATCTCTCAGAGGAGCAAGAAGACTGGGATGTCAGTCACCGACAACATCATCAACAGGATCACTCGCAGTGAGTTTTCTATAACCGCAGTGCACCTTAGAGGCTCTGCTGATCTCGCTCATCCAGTGTCCCTCGAAACCGGCCTGCTGACCTCGGTATGGGCGCTGACCGACCTGATTCTCTTCCTCGTCGTGGTACGTCCCCTGCTCCTACCTGTCGCGCCTTAGCTGACGCCCCTCCAATCACACCAGCCCCAGTCCATACACCTGACGTTAAACTTGACGCTCTCGAAGCTGTACACGATCTCTCTCCTCTCCTCCCTCATCTCCCGGCAAGCCCTGCACCGCGACGCCAGCAACGGACCGCGCTCAGGCTCAAACGGGTCCGGCGGCCTCCGCGCGCGCGGCGTGGCGTTCCTGCGGCGCGAGCCCAGCACGCGGGTGAGTGTCCGCACCAGCGCCCCGTCTTGCGTCCCTTCGCTCACGCGCGTCGCGCAGTCCGCGCCCGAGATCTTCGTCGACGTCGAGTCGCACGAGCGAGTGGACAATTTCGAGTACGGCAAGGACCATATATACGGCTTGGGAGGCGAGACGGCCAAGGGGTTGTCGAAGACCGACCTGTCGAGCGCGCGCACGCGAGATTCGAGCAAGTCGTCGCGCACGTGAGTGTGAGGTGACGGGCCGTATGTTATGGGCTCTCGTCTTGGATTGCGCAGTGCGCTTGTGGAATGTACGTACTGTACCATTTCGAATTGATCGAACCGCCGTTTGGGGCGTGACGGAAAGTTTGGTCCAGTGGATTCGAACTTTGACCGGGCCGTCCGTGACGGCCCGGAAATTTCGAACCCATCATCGACTTTTGGGTACTTCTACGCCCAAACTGAGCGGGCGCTGACAAGCGCCCGCGAGACGGTTTCGAACTTGGGCCTTGTGAGCTGTGACTACCCCCGAAATTTCGAACTTTTGGACCCCCCTGTGACGCGTGACGTTCGATTAATACGAAATGGTACAGTATACGATGTGCAGCAGCTAGCTTGATTACTGGATGACGTTCCGTAAGGAAATACGGAACTACGGACGCTCCGTAGTTCTCTAGACCGCTCGAAAGGGCAGTTCCGCCGAGATGCCGACGAGAAAGTGATACCCGAGGATCTCACTGTGGCTGCTGGAATAACAAGCGCACAAAAGTCTGTGGAGGGGTCGGCACCCCCCTCGCAGAGCAAACAAGCCTCCCGAAAAGCTGTAGAGGCCTCTTGAAGGCCTATTTCGGACGGGAGGTAGTGATGTGGACCATTATTGGCGCTGACAAATCGACGACTGGACCTCAACGGACCTCCATGAGGTCTGGCTAAGGTCTCCGCGCGGTGGAGGCACTCCGTTGACGCCAGAGATCCCTCTCGTCGCTTAGCCTCGCTTAAAGCTCCGGAATTGCATTTACGGGTCTAGTAAGAGCGGTCTGGCTTACGGACCGTCATCCACTATACCCCCGGGCATGGATATTGGGAGTTCCAAATCACTGTCGCTCCGTATGTACAGAATCAACATTGATGACACGCTTTGGGAAGTTCATCGATATCAACCGGAACATCGTTACTACGGTCAGCCTCCGCGGGCGCACTATGGAACCGGTGATGACGCACTTGAGACAGTCTCCGACCAGCCCGGATCCCGTATCGTAGGTCGGCACCGACTGCAGGTAATAGCCGTCTAGGTCGGCCTGGTGGGTATAGAAGGTGGACGAGCCAGCCGCCAAGATAATCGGGGCGAAGATCAGGGCGCTCTTTCCAGACTGCAGTTGGAGATCTTCGCGCCTGAACCCGATGGCCAAGTCGAGGGAGATTGGCACTTGCTCTGGCGCCCTCAGGGCGCGCGCGGTGATTCGCCGGTGCGCGCGGGAACGTGCATTCCCAAGAGCCCCGCGCGCGACGATGCACGCTGCGCCCGGAGGCTGGGCGCGGATTGAGCGGGGGGCGCGCGGGGAGGATTGGCTCGTGCGGGCTCGGCCGACGGCGGGAGGAGCAGGGCAGCGGGGATAGAGTGGCGGTGCCGAGAGCCTCCGGGCGGGAGGCCGGTGGCGAGCAACGGACGATGAGCTGCTGCCAAGGCTCGTCCAATACGATGGTTCCACTCAAAACCATCCTTCCATCCCTGTCCACCGCTCGCCCACCCCCCTCCCTCCGACCCCTCCCGGCCCCATCGCCGCCCTCCAGGCCTGCTACCTGCCCACCGACACCCACCGCCGCCCACCATGGCCTCCGACACTGCCGCGACACCAGAGAAGAGGGAGGAGGCGCTCCCTCAACCAGTCCTTGCCAGGGAGTCTCGCGACACCATCGTCGAGACCGCCCAACTATGGACCAGCCCTCGGACGGTCTTCTCCAAAGCGCACCTCATGGGCTCCGTTGACCCCGCCCAGTCCACATTCCCCCTGGCCGCATACTGCTTCATGACCGGTTTCATGTGAGTCTCTCCATTTTTCTTTGCCGGCCCACTATATGCGTGCAAGACTCTGGAATTACGTGGGCACAGAGCCGATGCTAACCCCTTCTTCTAGCGACTCGGTGTCCTTCACCGCCATCTTCGTCTGGTGCGGTTTCCAAACCGGCAACTTCGTCCAGCTCTCCCTCGCCCTCGCCCGCCTCTTCGGCGGCCCCCCAGGCGACCGCGACACCACCTTCCACCTCGCGGACCAGCAGGCGCTCTGCTCCATCCTCAGCTTCCTCCTCGGGGCCTCGCTCGGGCGCATCGGCGACAAGATGGGCGCAAAGACGCGCGCGTGGCTCTCGCTCGGCACTTTCATCCAGGCCCTTCTCACCATGGCCGCCGCGATCGCCGCGTGGCAGAGCGGGCAGGGGAGCGTCGCGGAGGTCCGCGGAGAGCCGGCGTGGACGAATGTGCTCACGTTCGTCGCGATCGGCTTCATGAGCGCGAGCCTCGGCCTGCAGGGGATCATGGGCAAGCGCGTGAACACGCAGTTCACGACGACGAGTGAGTCCTGGTTCCTGTCCCGATGTCGCTCCGTCTCCCGCTTGCCTTCCGTCCGCCCCTTCTCACAACCACCCACATCGTGCGAGGCGTCAAGCTGACGCCTCGTCGCGACTCCATCTCCCCTGCGCCTCCCACTGCGACTTGATCCCGCCGTACTCACACTCCCACTTCACAGTTGTGCTCACCACTGTCTGGTGCGAGCTCATGGCCGACCCGAAGCTGTTCGACTTCCGCCGCAAGATCATCTCCCGCGACCACAAGATCATCGCCATCCTCGCCCTCTTCCTCGGCGGCTTCACCGGCCGCGCGATCATCGACGTCGTCGGCGCCGCGTCCACGCTCGGCGTCGGGACCGGCATGCGCACGCTTATCGCGATCTGGTGGCTCTTCGTCCCGAGCAAGCCCGTCAAGGCGTAGTGTTTGGACCGTTGAGCACGGTCGTGGAGCAGGGGTGGGGATGATAGGTGAGCATCGAGGTCACTGTATGAGAGGGATGAGAGGTGGAGGGCATGGTAGATATGCGGACTATGCGATGGACGGCCGTACATACCTTCACATAGATCACGGAGCCGAGTCCATGTTCAGTCGTTTCCAAAGGCTACCTCTTCTCGCTGGGGCCAATCTACCACATTCGTTTTGCAATCCTGTCGCCAACGAAATATTCTCGCATACATACACCATAGAAGGTGTTCGCCTCCTCATACCTTTAGACTGTTGTCGCTCTTGGTTGTCGGTGTTGTCGTGCAAATATAATCTGTACTCTTTATGAGATCCGTTGGCACATTTCGTTTCCCACAACTTACAAGACGTACAAATTTAGTTTCCCCATGGCAGACCTTCCACACATAACAGTCCAAACCGATCCCGACCAGTCCATTGGTGACTAGGGCACGTATGGTGCTGCTGCAGCACACAGAGATGTTCTCAAAGAGACGATGGCGTTGTATTCCATGGTGCTACTACAAAAATTGTGCTACACTCGCAACTCTTTGGCGGGGCTACAGGGAAGCACCGGGACGACAAGGACAAGAAGGCCGGCAGAGAGCGGAATGGGGCAGAAGAGCCCGTACACGTCGTAGGGCGCAGGGGTATGCAGGAGAGGGGAGGAAGGAGGACGGAATGTCCCACCTCTGGTAAGGAAAAGCACGTCCTCGCCCGAAGACGTTCCCGAGGATGGCGTGCGCTCCAGCTAGAGGCGGGGGCGTTGCGGTCGCTCTGGGACCCGCGGTAGACTCCTGCGAGAAAAGGGCACGGTGAGGTGCGGTTCGGTCGCAGGGGGACAATAGTGCGAGTCCGGAATGAGTGAAGAAAAACCGGGCGGGCGCGGCGGCGCGGGTTTTGTAGGTCGGCGCCTCGTTTGGAGATCACGTGTGGGCTCTCTGCGCGCCTTCAATCAGGCCATCGGGTGGCATTCGTCTTCTGTTTCCTGACTTGTTGTTGTTCTAACCCAGTTGCTGCTGCTGCTCTGGAGACACATTCTGAGATGCGAAGAATGGAAGCAGCCTCCGGGAAAGCGTTAAAAGGCCGTCGCCTTGGAGCCAACTGTACTACTCCAAAGTAGACTCCTGACATCCAGGAGCGCATGGCGTTTTTCGCTGGTGTGTCTCGTCGCTCAGCCTCTGATAATACACGCTGACATACCCCCTTGTCATACCAGACTCAAATACCCCTGACAGACACCACTCCTGCTCGGAGGGCCGTACCTGGCAAAATTTAGCCTGCAACACCATTTCCTGCACCGCGCTCTCCTTCATCCACCTGACCCGTGCGCGCACCTTCGATATCGTCTCAGGCGTTTCGTCGATGACCCCATCGCGCTTGCCTACATGTCCACGTGATACTGGCAATGGGCCCCGATATGTAGGTGGGACGCAGAGCTACCGCAGCTACGAAAGGAGTTCCTGAACCCTGTGGAAGAAGAGTGCTTGGAAGAGTTCGAATATCCAGAAGACTCCGAAGGTCCAACCTCGAGCCCTTGAATAGTATGTTTACCGCAGCAGTCCTGTGGCTTAGCATGTGCTCACAGCACGGTCCATGGTAGCGTACTCATTCCATTGGGTCAAACAGAGATGGTCATCGGACTGCGAAGCTGCATTATTATGGAGTCTGGAACTACCAACGTGCGAATAGCGATATAACCGGGCGAAATGCAGGCGGCGATTCAGGAAACATCACACCGTTGAAGTGGACCCTGTCAAACACGTCATGCACAACTATCGACCTGTGCGTAAGTACGAAGGACCAGCAGCACTGGTCTAGAATCATATGGTATCTCCCACCAACGCCGAAAGTGGGCATCTTCTTTCTGATCGCCGCCGACGTCGCCCTATTTATCGCAGAGAGTCCGTCAGCGATGTTCCGACCTGACCCCCATGTCCAGATCTATGTCCACCAGACTCCCTTCGTACTTCGACATGCATCCCAGTACGTGAACAGACTCGACACGACTGATCCTCGCTGCTGACCGTCATTGCCAGAGCGGCAGCCGCCTCCGCGCCAGAGGCTCCCTTCCCTGGAGACGGTCGCACAGGTGTTCGGCCGTCCTCCCATATACGACGGCATCTTCGGTAGCTGCAGTGCGGCCTCTCTGCCGCGCCTGGCGGCCACCAGCCGCGACGTCCGCGCCGCATTCCACGACTTCGAGCGCCGCGCATTCAACGTCAACCGGCGGCTCAAACGCTTTGTCGACGACCCCGCCGCCTTCCGGACCTTGATGGGGCGCACGGGGATGATCATCTCTGGCTCGTTCGCGCTGCAATTCTTCGACCGCACGCTGTACGAGGAGTCGGACCTCGACTGCTACCTCTACAAGGACCGCAGCATCTTGCAGGTCGGGGCGCACCTCAAGGGGATCGGCTACGTCTACAAACCCAACCCCTCCGACAGCGGCGGTACAAGGGACTTCGAACGAGACGTCGACCGACTTTTGAGGTCCGACACCGATTCCGACATTGACGATGGCGATTGGTGTCCGGACTACGGCTCTCTCACGTCTCGCGAGCATCGGCGCATCTGTGCCGTATACTCGTTTGAGCGCAAGACGCGGCGCGGCAGCACTCGTCGCGTGCAGCTCGTGGTCTCGATGACCTCGCCGTTTGCTGTCGTCCTCAGCTTTCACTCCAGTGAGCACCGTTCGTGACGCACCTGCCCTCGAGACGAGACGCTCACATCCGGAACGCCGTAGCCTGCGTCATGAACGTGATCACCTACAACGTCGCGTACGCGCTGTATCCGCGTCCGACGTTCGAGTTCCGTCACGCCATCGGCCTGAAGGAGGAGGGCGCGGAGGACGCTCTCGCCAAGTACACCGAGCGCGGGTGGACGATATTCCCCGAAGGACGCGGAATTTCCGGTTCGGCATGGGATCTTTACTTCTTCTGCGCGGCGCGCTGGGTGTGCGACGACAACACGTGGAAAATCTCGCTCGACATGACTGGGGTCGCACAGCCGCCTCCCATGGCGTGCTCGAGGAAGGCCTTTCGATGGGACCCGACGTCCGAATGTGGATGGGAGCTAGACGGGCAGGGAACGAGCTTCAAGGACTTCGACTCGCCCGCTCTGCGCTGGAAGTACACCCTCCCAGGCGAGCACAGCCCATGGGAGTTCGAGGAGTTCATGGAGTCGCGGACGACGCTCAACAAGTCCAAGCTCGCGAAGGGATCTGTCCCCCCGGAAAACGTGAGGGACAGCTGTCGGCCACCGGGCTGGAAATGGTGAGCTCGGCACTCGCGTCATGACCGTCGTGTGGGTCGGCTGATATCATCTGATAGGTGGGATGCGCAGATGCCACTTTTGCGCAAGGCATACATGGTGCAAAGGGCACCCTGCGATTTCAAAAAGTTTTTCCGTCTGCCACAGCAGACTGAACCTCGCCGCAGAAGCAACAAATGTAGAAACAGATCCGTCCAACTCTGAATGTACTCGTAGTCGCATAAGGCAATGCCCGCTTCGTCCCTGCTTTGACATGCTCGCGACCAGATGCTCGTCGAGTGCAACACTTTCAGCGGGTCGACGCCGGGGAACGAGTCTTCGATGGGGCGCGTCGAGCTTGAGCCATCGCGTGCATTATCCGGGATGACTCGGACGTCGGCGCATTAAACACAAGGTGCTGGAGGGAGGGAGGACTCGACTCGCTTTGAAGATAGTACTTGGCCTTGAAGGATAAGGATAAATGGGCTGACCCGCGAGTCGCAACAGGATACATGTGTATCTGCGAGAATAGGGAAGTGGAATACGACAAAGGCGGTCGGCCAACTTGAACGTATGCCCCGGCTTCGAGGTAGTATCTAGATATACTTTCTGGAGTCGGATGCCATTTGATTGCTGACGCCGCTGCGTTGACATTTCGGACGCTTCCACTTATCACTGTGCCCCGAGGTCGGGATGTGGGTTGAGTAATAGAGTGAGCATTGAACAGCGTGGGCCAAATTTTCAAGACGATATACGGGCCATACCAGCTTTTTCACAGCTTTGATACGTCGGATCCACATATGGCTTAAACCTCGCGAAAGAGTTCAGATAACTACGAGTCACTGAACCCGGTCTCATCTGGACCCCATCTCAATCCACCAGAGGTGCGTAGTGCCAATCCTTGACAGAAGAGAGTGCCAAATGTCAGTTCGTCGTATGCATGCAAAAATGAATAGTCGCAGGGACTGAGAGAGACTGAGAGATGCCGGGAGTTTGATCAAGAGATACGGCATGCCACAATCAAATTAGATAGACGCTGCGCAGCTACTATTTCAGCGTTGTTACTGCGACACGTTTAACACACGCTTGTTACGGCTTTGAGCTTTCTGTGCGCCTCTACCCGTGTTTTCCTCTCCCTCCCTTTGCTAGACCGGTAATGCGACAGTCAGCGGTCACAAGCACGCTTTCCCCTGCCCACTTGTCTGACATTTGTCAATGAAACAGCCAGCTGCGCCTTCATGTCATCATCATCGACGAGACGGTCGCAATCTGCAATTGAAGGCCAACCGGGCCCCGGCACCGCACGCAGCTCCTGGTCGACGCAACAACAGAAGTTCCCCTCCTCCCACGCAACCATCCGCACATTCGCACTGCGCGGCTGCGAAGAATGCGCCGGTCCGCGCACCATCCCGCCGACGCGCGGCGGTCCGTGGAGCCAAGCGCACGTTCTTAGGGAACCATCTGTAAGTGCAGTCACGCCCCTGCTTCCGTGAGCGGTACCTTACTGGCTCGTCCGGTCCCGCCCCCCTCGCGCCGTCGCACCATCGCGACCCCGCGCGAACATCAGTAAACGTCCCGTCCAATGCCGTCCTCGCGTCCCGGAACGACAGGACGCATTGGGCACTGAACCCCGCGCTCTGCTCGCTACGTGCGTCCGGCGTTGGGAGGATGGGTGGGTAATGGGGAGGGGATGGACCGGAGAGCGTGTCCGTCGGGATGCCGGACGGGCGGTTCGGGCGATCGCGATAGGATCACGGTACGCGATGACGCGCGCGACGAGCCCGCTATAAGCCTCCGCCCCGCCCCTCGCCGACCATCTCCCTCCTCCACCCCACCCCATCTTTTCGTCTTCTTGCTTAAGCACACCATGAGCGGCAAGCTTGCTAGCGGTGAGTCTTCCTTGCTATCCCTCGGCTCGTGCGCTCGATTGCGGGTGTGGGAGGAATGTCGTCATAGATGGATAGCGGACGCTGGGAGGGCTTCATGGGGAGACTCGGCGTCCCGGGGGCTTGTGGTCTCGCTACATGCGCGGAGGCGAACGTGACATATACCAGTGTTCTGCGGGCACGGTACAAGGGCGTGCCTCCTCCTGCATCTCGCAAGCGACCCCCTATGTCCATCTATCGAGAACTCCGTGCGGTGACCAATGGCGTTGGCTTAAAGCGAAACTGTACTCAGGGTTCTCCCTCGTACAATCGTCGGTGCTTCCGACAATGACCAATAGATACTGACGCGACTTTCTAGAGTACCCCGCTTGGAAGAAGCTTCAGGAGATCTACAACAGCGAGCATGGCAAGCTCGTTCTCAAGGACCTCTTCGCTCAGGACCCGGAGCGGTTCGCAAAGTTCAGCCGCGAGTACACCGCGGAGGACCCATCCGTGACCTTCCTCCTCGACTTCTCGAAGAACCTGATCACCGAGCCCATCCTCGCCACCCTCCTCGACCTCGTCCGTGAGGCCCAGCTCGAGTCCTTCCGCGACAAGATGTTTGCGGGCGAGCACATCAACACCTCCGAGGACCGCGCGGTGTTGCACGTCGCGCTGCGCAACTTCGATGACTTCAAGATTCAGGAGGCCGGTGCCGACGAGGTCGCGAAGGTGCTCGCGCACATGAAGGAATTCACGGTGGCGGTCCGCAGCGGTGCGTGGAAGGGGTACACGGGCAAGACCATCAACACGATCGTCAACATCGGTATCGGCGGCTCGGACCTTGGCCCGGTCATGGTCACCGAGGCGCTCAAGCCGTACGCGAAGCGCGACCTGACCGCCCACTTCGTCTCGAACATCGACGGCACGCACCTTGCGGAGACGGTCCGCGAATGTGACCCGGAAACGACGCTCTTCATCATCGCGAGCAAGACGTTCACGACCCAGGAGACGATCACGAACGCCGAGTCCGCCCGCGACTGGTTCCTCGCCACCGCGAAAGACAAGGCGCACGTCGCGAAGCACTTCGTAGCGCTCAGCACGAACACGAAGGCCGTCACCTCGTTCGGCATCGCGGAGGCAAACATGTTCCAGTTCTGGGACTGGGTCGGCGGCCGCTACTCGCTCTGGTCCGCCATCGGTCTCTCAATCGCGCTCGTCATCGGCTACGACAACTTTGAGCAGCTGCTCAAGGGTGCGCACGGCATGGACAAGCACTTCACGACCGCACCGCTCGAGAAGAACCTGCCGGTGCTGATGGCAGTCATGGGCCTCTGGTACAATGACTTCTACGGCGCGCAGACCCATGCGCTCCTGCCGTACGACCAGTACCTCCACAAGTTCGCGGACTACTTCCAGCAGGGCGACATGGAGTCCAACGGCAAGTCGATCACCAAGGGGGGCCAGCGTGTTGACTACCAGACCGGCGTACGTCACCCTGTTTTTACCTCGCCTCCCGCTCCAGTTGACTGATCTGTTCGTTTGCTTAGCCCATATCTGGGGCGCGGCGGGCACGAACGGCCAGCACTCGTTCTACCAGCTCGTGCACCAGGGCACGAAGATCATCCCCGCCGACTTCCTCGCGCCCGCAACGACGCACAACCCCATCGCGAACTCGAAGCACCACCGCATCCTGCTCTCGAACTTCTTCGCGCAACCCGAGGCGCTCGCGTTTGGCAAGACGGAGGAGCAGGTGCGCGCGGAGCTCGGCTCCGGCGCGTCCGATGCGCTCGTCAAGTCCAAGATCTTCGAGGGCAACCGGCCGAGCAACTCCATCATGTTCCCTCTCCTCACGCCCGCGACGCTCGGCGCGCTCATCGCCCTCTACGAGCACAAGATCTTCACCCAGGGTGTTGTCTGGGGCATCAACTCGTTCGGTGAGTGGTTTCCACCATGGCTCGGCTGGTGTGCTCACGTCGCTTCAGACCAGATGGGCGTCGAGCTCGGCAAGGTTCTGGCGAAGAACATCCTCGGCCAACTCGGCAAGCCAGAGGACGTCACCGGCCACGACAGCTCGGTGAGTAGGCCACCCCGTGCCCTAGCGGCGATCAAGCCGGCGTGCATGCTGATGAGTGCCGGGCGTCTAGACCACCGGCCTTATACACTACTATCAGAAGTGGAGGAAGGAGTGAGCGATTTGTCCGAACGTCGCGCTCATCAGCGAGGACGATTGCGGCTTGGATTGCACGCACCACGACTTCAAGGAGGAAGGACACAGCAGTGTATCGTCAAGTGTAACAATTTATCTTGCGGCTTCTTCTCGGTGCTCCGAGTGTGAGGCGTTGGATGTTATTGTGACGGGACTGCGCCGCAGAGCCTGTCGGCTGCATCGCGGAGGACTCGACGGGCATACGCGGGACGCGACGCGCGAGTCACATCCGCGCACGCCCGGGTGTCTACCAGGAATCGTGAAATCAGCGATTCTGTGTTCGAAATGCAATCGGCCGTAAGTTACATGCCGTTGTGCTGGGGGCTCAGGAGCTTGGGTCTGCGCCGAAGAGCCATGTTACGATAGCATCGCATGGTCGGGTACCTGGCCCAACACTAGCAGGGAGCACGTTCCAGGCTGCGACGTGAGTGGTGCACGCAGCGGTGGCCATCGGCGTTGCACTCGGGGTGATATCTAGGCGCCTGGGAGACGGGCCACGGGCTCCCCGGCCAGGGGAGTCATTCACGCTATCTCTGCGCTCTCACAGCTTATTCAGAGCGTAATAGATCAAAACCCACCGCCCTCAAAGAATCCGCACATAGGCTCCTACGCCCATCTCGACAACCATCCACAGGGAGATCGCCATGGCTCCTGCGGGCTACCAGCCGCTCAAGACCGACCCCGGCTCGACAGCGCCCTCGGCTCTCCACCGCGCCGCGATCCACCCGATCCCGCCGGTTCCTCTTCAGCACCGTCGCACTCCTCGGCGTCGTCGGCGTCTCCCTCTCTACTCACTTGCAAGGCCTTCCCCGCCCCCGCGCGATATGCCTCCGAGGGCGCCGGCCCGGCAGAGCCGCTGCAAAAGTGCCCCGCGGGCGCACCCCCGGCCGCGCGCCCGCCAGCGGCAACGAACCCCTTCGCGTCGCTGACCGTGGCGGAGACGACGGCGATCCACGGGTGGCTGCACGCGCCCGTGCGGGGCCTGAACCTCACCGCGGGCGACAAGGCGTGGATGTCGGACAACTGGGTGTACGGGATCGAGGCGCACCGGCCGGCGAAGGCGGACGCGGTCGCGTATCTGGACGGCGCGCGGGCGCGACGGCGCCGCCGCGGTACGCGCGGGTCGTGATCCACCACGGCGGCGTGCGGAGCCGTTCGTGCAGAACTACTTGGTGGGGCCGCTCCCGGTCGGCGCGGGGACGACGATGCGGAAGCTGACGGAGATCTATCACGTCGACCCGATCCCGTACAACGCGCGCGGGTTCTCGATGGCCACTGAGCTTTCGCCGCTGATCCTGAAGTACATGCCGCGATCGTGGAGGCCACGGAGGTGAGCGATGCCGCTGGTTATGTGCGCCAACTAACACGCTCCGGTCAGACTCTCTTTGGCGGCTCCGTGCGCGGACTTCCGAACGACACGCTTGTTGGCAATGCCGTCGCGCCCTTCAGCTTTGACGGAAGCTTCCGGCGCGGCTGGGTCTCGTGGAAGAAAACCTCCCCGGCCCATGGCTACACCCCGTCAACTTCTTCCAGTACGTCGACTTCAGCGGCACGGACCCCGAGACCTGGAAAGTGCTCAAGGTCCGTCATCCCGCGCACGCCCGCCGCACCGCGCTCTAACCTAAACGACGTCAAGGTGGTCTACAACCACCAAGTGTTCGACACGATCGATGAGTTCATGGCCGCCTTCAAGAACGGCACGCTCAAGCGCCTCCCCGAGCGCCCCGACCAGGACGCGGACGCGGGCGAGTGGAGCACGCGCAAGCGGCCGCAGGTGCCCGCGCAGCGCGACCTCGACCACCTCCCCGGGCCGCGCTCGGTGTCGTTCGGCGGGCTGCGCTTCCGGGTGGACCGCGCGACGCAGTACGTGAGCTGGCTGGGCTGGGGGCTCTACCTCGGCTTCGATCGCGACATGGGCATGAGCCTCTGGGACATCCGCTTCCGGGGCGAAGGATCATCTACGAGGTGCGTCGACGGCTGGCTGGGTCGTGCTGCGAAGAACGCTGATCCCGGGCTGGCGCGTGGTGCAGCTGTCGCCCAGGAGGCCATCGCGCAGTACGCGGGGAACGACCCGATGCAGACCACGACGGCGTGGCTCGACCGGTACTTCGGCATGGTGAGCCTCTCACGCGGCAGTGGTGATGCACGTCGGAGCTGACTGGGGCCGGTAGGGAGGCTCGGTGCGCGACATGATGCCGGGCTACGACTGCCCCACGAAGCGGTCTACCTCCCGGCGACGACGCACAACTTCGAAGGGAGCATCACGCGCGAGCGCGCGGTCTGCGTCTTCGAGCACGACTCCGCGCGGCCGATCACGCGGCACACCGGGTACATGAAGGGCGAGTTCGGCGCGACGAAGGGCTACCAGCTCGTCGTGCGGAGCATCTCGACTGTTGGAAAGTGAGTCCTCTCGCGCCCCGATTATATGTTGCTGGAGACGCTGACTGTCTTCGAAGCTATGACTACTGTGCGTTGGCTTTGTGAGCCATCCGTTGCGGTCAGCGCCCTGACGCCTTCGTAGTGTTCGACTACATCTTCCAGCTCGATGGCACCATCGAAGTTCGCCTTTCGGCCTCCGGCTACTGCAGGTGGGTACTGGGAGCCTGCGCAAGAGGGCTATGGCACCGCGATCCGCGAGACCACCATGGGTTCCCTCCACGACCATGTCATCAACTACAAGGTATTCGTCTTATGACGTTATCGTTTATCGACACAGCTAATCTTCGGCTTCCAGGTTGACCTCGATGTCGCTGGACAGGACAATTCGCTCGTCTACACGCACACCGACACCGAAGTGAAGACTAAGCCGTGGTTCTGGACGACTGGGGGCAGGAGGTAATCCAGCAGAAGATCACAAAGGAGTACATCGAGACCGAGGACGATGCGCTCCTCAAGTACCCCACAACTTCCAGGGTGGATACTCCCTCGTGAACAAGGAAGCCAGCAACCGTTGGGGCATCCCTCGCGGATACGCCATCCACCCTGGAATCTCACCCGTCCACAACGTACGTTCCTGCGATCTTCATCCGAGCGATGCCCAGCGCTGACCGCGTCCACAGACCGTCGTCGGCTCCAAGCGGCTGCTGAACAACGCCAACTGGGCGCGCTACAACCTCGCGGTCTCGAAGCGCAAGGACACCGAGCCGTGCTCGTCCGCGCAGTGGAACATGAACCTCCCCGGCGCGCCCCCCGTCGACTTCCACCGGTTCTTCGACGGCGAGAACCTCACCCAGACCGACCTCGTCGCCTGGGTGAACGTCGGGATGCACCACCTGCCCCAGGCGGAGGACGCGCCGAACACGCGCACGAACCTCGCCGCGTCCTCCTTCTTCGTCACCCCGCTCAACTACTTCGACTACGACGTCTCGATCGAGAGCACGAACGCGATCCTGCTCACCGAGCCCGCGACGCCGGGCGCGCCGTGGGCGTTCGACGACTACGGCGTCGCGCCCGCGCACTGCGTCCCCGACGCCGTCCCGCCGTTCGAGTACGTCGGCGTGCGGACGTTCGGGCTCGACGGCAAGGCGGCGCCGCCCAAGACTGCGGAGGAGATGCGGAAGAGCGCGGAGCTGTTCCATCGGATCAAGGTCGAGCTTTGGGCGGAAATGCTTCACGGGTGGAGGACGGTCGGAAAAACATCGAGGGTGTTGGAGGGATTATGACCGCTGTTCGAGTACGATTCTTTCGAGACATTCGCACTTACATACCAAGGGACGGGATCCGCTTGCATTCTTGCGGGAAGCCAATTGGGGCGATAGTGAAGGTTTGAGTATCGCAGGCACTAGTACATCAAGGGAGGCTTCTGTCATCATCTCACAATCCTACTTGGTTGAATCGGGAAGACATCACCAGAATTCAGGTTCGTCCCAAGAACCCCAGCTACAGCCATTGTCCCAATTACCCAGGTTAAAGGGATCATTATAATCAGACCCTTCAGCAAAATCACGTAGTAACCTCCTCAGCATGGGCATCTGCGAATCCCACCTATGACGACGGGTGAGCAATTGGGATGATGCGCTGAGAGTGACTGACCACTTCCACTGACGGGAATTCAGAGGATAGTCTCGTTTGTTTTTATTCCTGCAGGCCTCCGTGTCCACGAACGAGGGGCTCTTTGGCGTAGTTGGCCGCGCTGCGCGTGAGGACACGAAATGCTCTATGGCGTTCGCATGGTCCATACTCGGCACGGTGTATTCCCAGCGTAACGCACCCAGGTTGAGATTTTCGAAAGAGCAGAAAACGATCCCGTCGTATTCTAGTGAATCCAGTTTCCATCCACATTCAGACGTCGGGTCCCATCGAATGGCCGTCTTCGACCGCGACATAGCGGGCGGCGGGACGACGTCGGTCATGTCGAAGCGAACTTCCAAGACTTCTCGTCGCATACCCATCGGTTCGTGTCGAGGGAGTATCCTTGCGTATGACTGGTCGGAGTGTGCTTCCGGGGGTCCACCCAAGCGTGATATGGCACCGGGTCGAGCCGATTCATGACATTCGGAAGGATCTTCCACCCCCGCTCAGCGTACTTAGCTAAGGCTTGGCGCGTGGCCGGTGATTCGTTTGTATACGGGCCTTCCTTTGTAGCGAGCTCGACAGCGTGACGGTGTTCGAAGGTGGCAACCGGATACAGTGCGTACGCCACGTTGTAGGTGATCACGTTCATCACGCAGGCTTGGCGCAGGAATCAGTGACCGAGAAATCCACACAAAAAAGCAGAGTGCTCACTGGAGTGAAAGCCGAGGATGGCCTCGAACGGCGCGTTTCGTGAGATCACGATCTGCACCTTGCGTGTCGCGCCGTTTCCCGTCCGTCGCTCAAACGTGTACGTGCCGACCGTGCCATCTCCATATTCGCATTCGTCGATATCCTGGGGCAGTCTGTGACCCTTCGGCCGAACGCCGTTGGGCCACTGTGGGACATCGCTGGGATCGAACCTGATATAGTTGGCCAAAAATCTCGCAGCAACGTCTTCTTCGAACGCCTGGTCCTCCACCTGGTGCTTGCTCGGCTTGTAGACGTATCCGATCCCCATGAGGTAGGCTCCAACTTGGAAGATGCTCCGATCGAAGTAGACGTAGCAGTCCAGGTCCGACTCCTCGTACAGCGTCCGGTCGAAGAACTGCAGCGCGAACGATCCGGAGATGATCATGCCCGTGCGCGCCATGAGGGATCGGAAGGCAGCGGGGTCGTCCACGAAGCGTTTGAGACGCTTGTTGATGTTGAACGCGCGACGGCCGTAATCGGAGGATGCATCGCGCGCGTCGCTTCCGGTGGACGCAAGGCGCGCGAGCGAGACTGCGGTGCAGTGGGCGAAGATGCTGTCGTAGATGGGGGGCGACCGAAGACCTGAGCGACAGCTTCGCGAGAAGGGGGTCTGGGTTCTTGTGATGCGAGAAATTAACAGAGATCGCGAAGTATATCAAGAAGGGGATGCTCACCGGAAGTCTCGTGAGGAGACTCTATAATATTCGAGGCCATTTGAGGGCTGATGATTGCAACGCACGGATTTTGGATGCTGGGAATCAGGATTATCGAAGGACCGTTGATCTTCAGGGGAACTCACCACGTTCCTTGTGAGCGACTGGATTAGGGACGTCCATGTAGCTGGACTTCGTACTCGCTGGGGATGAGGAAGATATATAGAAAGGCGGCTAAGAGCTGCGGTAGGACTTCCAGCCACTTGCCTTTGAAGTTCGTGTGACTGACCCCCGGCTCTCCCACACCATCAGCTCAGGGGCGCATGATGACGTAGCAGAAGTTCATTCAAGGCCTGTGTTACACACGATAGAATGTGTATGCTACGAACTTTATTGCAAACATGCTTAGTCATAACGAGTCGCTGCGGTTGAACGACACGTACCGACACGTACCGCAGACATCTAGTCCAGTCTACGAACTCTTCTGATTCCTCCATGTCAGAATAGCTTTCCTCCACCGGGTCCAAGAACCTCTCCCGCAGCCGCGGAAGCTCCTTGTCCCACCTGGAGTCAATTGTCACTGTCAGCATCGCAAAGCATCCGGTACTCAAGACGACACCACGCAAAACTCACCGCGTCGATGCACGGTTGCCACCGTGCCTGTGTTCCCAGCCCGACCGACACCATGGACCTCCACCACCCCTTTCTATCAACTCTTCCACAAGTTCGCAGTGGTCCCCGTTCGGGGACGTGTATTGCCAGCGGAAGATGGGCGCCTTGACCGCCGTGAACCGACACCGGATCTCCGCGAATCCCGACTCAAGCTCCCACCCGCACTCCGCGGTGGCGTCCCAGCTGATCGGGTCGGCGAAGGGGATCGTCCACGACTTCGCGTCGCACACAAAGCGGGGGGCGTCCACGAAGAAAGGGGCGTAGGCGTCTTCAACCTTGCGATGGGTGTCCCTCGGGTTGGTGAGAATGCGCCAGCCGCGGCGGGAGTACTTGCTGAAGGCTTCCACTTGTTTGGAGGTGCGCTCGCCAAGGTCCAAGGCGCTACGAGCTTCCAGCGTTGCGTACGGGTACAGGCAGTACGCCGCGTTGTGGGTGATCACGTTCATGACGCAGGCTGCAGAAGGGGATGCCGGTGAGCGCGACGTCGTGTCCGGCGATGCTGTATAGGTGGGCTTACTGCAGTGGAACTTCAAGATCGACGCGAAAGGAGAGAAGCGAGAAAGTATGAGCTGCACCTTCCGCGCGTCGTCGCCCGTTCCCCGTTCAAACGTGTACACGGCGCGGACCCAGCGGATGCCGTACGGCCCCACGGCCGAAGCGAACCCTTCGCTGTCCCGGCTGGACTCTTGCATGAGGCACACCAGGTCTTCTCGTGCTCGCTCTCCAAAAAGTCTTCCGGTTCGCAGGATTCCTTCATATTTTCCACGATATCTTCCACGAGAGCCTTGATGTTGACCCGGAAGTCTTTGCTCTGCAGCCGGCCCGGACAGAACCGGTATCCCGCGCGGATGAGGAACGCGCCGACCTCGGCGGCGTCGTAGTCCACGGTGAGGTAGCAGTCGAGGTCGGACTCGGGCCAGAAGTTCCTGTCGAAGAACTGGAGCGCGAACGACCCGGAGAGGATCATGCCCGTGCGTGCCATAAGCGCGCGGAACGCGACGGGGTCGCCGACGAAGCGCTTGAGACGCTTGTTGATGTCGAACGCGCGCCGCTGAAAGTCGAGGGACGCCGTGCGTGTGAGGCGGGTGGTGCAGCGAGACGAATGAGGGAGAGTGCGGTACAGTAGGCAAAGATAGAGTCGTATATGGGCGGGCGGGCGAAACTTGCCAGGCGAGGGCTTCAGAATCAGCGGGAAGAGTGGCGTTCGTTGAGGCTGAAGAGAATGAGGCCCGGGTCAGCAGAGGTTTAGAGACGGCGATGCGACTAGGTCTTGCGAGACATACATGCAACCATCGGACGCTGAGACTGCCACGTCGGGCCTGCCAGTGTTGTAAGTGGGGATGTTGGACTCAGAGTGGACCTTTATGACCGACTTTTGTAGGTGAGTGGGTGGCGTGGACAAGCTGACGCTGGCGCGGCATTGAAGGCCACATCACCACATGGCTGCAAGCGACAAGGGGCTAACAAAGATTAAACAAAAGTGCCATTCGCCTCATTGAAGGGCCATTCGACAATGGTTTGTAGCTTGAAAGTCCGCGTGTGCGAGAGAAGTTCGTCTAGATTGTTTTGTAGAAACGCGACGCTTCCGTCGCCGACGCACTGTCCGAGATTGGCTGGTCGAAAATGTGGTCGGCGGTTCGGAAGGGCTAGTGGAGGAGGGGAACAGTCCTCATTGGGCATCTTGACGTGGTCGATACAATTATGTAAGCATGCAAGCATGGGACAGCGCCGTCGCGGAGGCAAGTAGATTCCGAGAGGCCCAGACCAGCAGGATGGGAATAGCGGAGGACGCAGAGGACTCGACGGGCGAGGCCCACTTGGGCACACCAGAGCCGGCCTCGACCGCAGACCTCTGGGCGCTTCACGATCGAGGAGAGCGGGGAAGGGCGTCTGCGCCCCTTGTGCCGCCCCCTCCGTCCGTGCAATGTTCTCTTTGGGCCGCCGTGCTCGCCCGTCCCGGTTTACTTATAAGCCGCCCTCCCGCCTGCGCCTCGCCCGACTCCGAGTCCTCCCTCTCCGTCGTCCCCGCCATCGTCATCGCGTACTGCCCCGGCTAAATTGCCGACGCGCGCCAGCCAGGTCACACGAACACCCATCGACATCCCAGATTCCCCGCTCTGTCCAGCCAGCTCTCGCTCTCCGCCTCTTCCCCACTCCCCGCCCATCTGACCCGCGGCCCATCCAGCCCGCCCGCCGTGCCTTCGCCGCCTTCTCCCACTCTCAACCTCTCTTCTCACTGATCGGCGCGCGCCCACCCATCCACCCGAACCTCCCACGTTCTCGTTTACTCCTCCGTCCATATATACCGCCCCTTGCGCCCTTCACGCCCCTTCCCCGTCACCCACGCCGCCCTCGCCTCCATGAGCGACCCGCGGCCACCATCCCCGACAAGAAATCCCCCTGCCCCTGCCACCCCAAACCCTGACCCGCTCCAGCCACCTCACCCCCACGTCCCGTCTCCGGCGACGCTAGAGCACGCGCTCCACGCCCGCATCGATCCCTTCTCTCCCCTCTGCCCTTCCGCCCGCACCTCCTACACCCGCGTCGACTTCACCGGCGGCACCGGTGCAAACACCCCTCGCCCCGACTTCACCGGAGATATCGACGGAGACATGGAGGAAGAGCCCCAACCCGTCACCGAGGACTCTATCCCACAGATGCCTCAGGTGTCCATCACCTTCCTCCTCGTCTCGGGGCGGAGACGAACGATGTCTTTCGAGCCGGGGACCACAGTAGGGAGGGTCAAGGAGCTCGTATGGAATGCATGGCCCAACGGTGAGCGCTCCGCCCTTCCCTGCCCTCTCCTGTAGCGCAGTCACCGCGGCTCCAGACGGCTCCAATGACTCTCCCGCCTGAGACAAAATTCCATCCGAGACAAACTTGAGACAGAGACTTACGCGATGTTGTTACAGATTGGCAGGATGAACGCCCGCCTGCTCCGTCATACCTCCGGATACTGTACCTCGGGAAGATTCTCCAAGACGAGGACTCGCTAGACAGTGAGCACGCGCGCATATACCAGGTTTTGTGCATCTCTCACGCGGATTCGCAGAGTTGTCGTTCCCAACACAACTTCCATCGGCGACCCAGGCGTCCACCATCGTCCACCTCTCGATCCGCGCATACGCTCCGCCCTCGGAAGAGGCTCCGAAGAAGAAGAGACGAGCCGGGCAGGCGTCCTCGGGCACCCCCGGCGAGCCCGCGGAGGAACACGCAGGAGGCTGCTGTGCCTGCGTCATCTGCTGAGATGCCACACTGAGGTGAGCGCACAACTGCGTTTCAATGGCCCGCGCCCCCGGACCACCGTCACTCACCTCGCGCACGCGACCACGCAGACGCACGTCCTTCTCTCCATTGCCTGAGGACTTGCTGCCCCTTTCGCCCCGCGGTGCCCTTCTCTGCGTCTTCCGCAAATCTGCCGCCGACTCGCTTCTCTCACCGACCGCCGCCGCCGGGCTCTCTTCCCCTCGCGGGCGGGCGTCGCGGCGTGTCCAGACCGCCCCGCCCCCTCCTACCCGTCCCCACCGTCCCCTGACGTCTACCGTGTACACTATACCCTACGGCTTCATCCCGCACGACGGCGCACAGTGCTCACTCCCGCCCGCCGACCTAATCCATGCATTCCCTCCTTCCTCGGTCGCGTTGCTTCCGCAGCGCCGCCGCGCGAGCGCCTACACATGGCACGCCTGCGCCCGTGAAGCTCCTTCCATGCACGCCCGTCGTCTCTTAACCCTCCCAGTCTTGGGTCGTGCTGCACAACCTTATGTCGCCCGCCTTACTCATGCACTTATCGCTCATTGCCCATGACCTGCTCTTGCGCTTTATTGCACTTTGTTGGGCGCCGACTTCAGCTCCCGTCACACTTGCAAGCTTTTCACGCATCTACCTCGCAACTGTACCATAATTCATCGCACTCGTCGCACATCGTTAGTGATTGTGTGGAAAGGTTGTGGGCGTGTGGCAAGCCCGGCGTACATTGCGCCAAAATTATGCCGCACAACTAATTTAAGGCGCTACCAGGGCTCGAACCTGGGTTTTGGGAAGATATGTTCAGAATCCCAAGTGATAACCACTACACTATAGCGCCATGTAGTGAATGTTTATTTGATTATAATGATCACAACGTCCAATGTTGCCAGATCTCAAACTCAACGCATTTTGAGCACCGGAATAGGACAAATTTTCAAGGGAGACTCGCGGGCAGGCCGCCAGACCAACCCGTACACAAGGAGCCGGGTTACTATTGCATTAGTATAGAACCGCCAAACCCAGCTCGGAGCCGCCCTCCTACCCGCTGGAGCCCCGAGTCCGTCTCCATCGACTTCCGCCTTCTCTGGACATCGAAAGGGGTTGCGGTTGGGCCGGTAGTTCCCTGTCGGGTGCAGCTTCCTCCGCTAGAGCGTTGGAGACCGTATAGGGGAGCGCGACGATGGCCGCCGCGCCGGTGTGAGTACAGCATCTCCGCGTCCCACACGGCCTGGTGTGTGTCTCGGTAGTGACGCGTCCGATCCTGCCGAACAGTCCTGGTTCACCATGAACGTCAACTCCCCCAAATACGCGTGTGTGTCCACCCCACCCCGCCCATAAGGATGGTGGTGGTACAGTAGATAAAAAGAAACCTGTCCGCACGTCTAGAACTGGATTAGCAACCACGCAATGCTATTGTACAGAGCCGGCTTGCGAGTCAGCCAATCAGCGGAACTAGACACTCACCGAACAGGACCACATTGAATGCCCGGACGTGTACGCGCGAGGACGGGAACCCCTATCCTGCGATCGTGGCTTGTCGGTCTGAGGACGGTGCACCGATTACCGCAGCGATCTCAGTCGATACATGCATAGATCGGCAGAGGAGAATCGAGACTAACTTCGTTTCAATGACTGGAAATCACGGCAGATAGTTCTACCAAAAGGGCGCCTGGAGGCACCGTCAGAACCAACGTTCAACAAGAATTCGGTACGAGCTCACCTCAGAAATTGCAATCTCGTAGTCACGATCGACTTATGACTCCACTCAGGAGGTACGCCATATTGCGAAGCCTCGGCTGGCTGAGCTAATGGGGATCAAGTACCGTCTAAGCATCCTACTCACAGCCTGTGCGGAGGTTGTGGATGCTCGCACAACCTCTGCGGTCGGAGGCTCCTTCCAATTGGCACAGAGCGCTTGACTAATCACTAAACTTTGTCAAGAGATCCCGCATACGCCTAAGCCATGCGATGAGCAGATAATGCACAATCGGCCTGATTCTTCTTGAGCACCAGCTCTCTCGGTTTGGTGGCGTCAGTCCTTTCGCGATTGAAACGAAGCGGGTTGATCGCAGAGCAGATAGTCCAAGTCAACGTACACACGACCGCGAGACGTATTGATACAGCATACAAGAGCCTGTCGACACGTAAAACGAAGCATCACCGCTGCTCTCTCGGTTCTGATGAAATAATGAGTGACATGCTGCAGCTTCAAGGAATGCACTTACGTGACCACTGGATGTTCAAGATGAGGTTATCGTAGCCGCGGCCGTGCAGCTTCTCCATCGCGCGCTGAGCGACGGCCTTCTCCTCGAAGCTGACGAACGCGAAGCCTTTGCCCGCTCCTGTCTCGCGGTCACGACCAACGTAGACACGAGCCACGCGCCCGAAGGTCCCAAAGAGATCGCGAAGGTCGTTCTCTTGGGTGTCCTCAGAGATGTTGGTGACGCGAAGCGTAGGTAGATCGTCGCGGTTTCCACCTGGGCGTCCCATAGATTCTCCCGGGCCACGGACACCTCCGCGCATGGACGGGGGGACATATTTGCCACCAGTCGAAGCAGCAGGGGCGGCCGCGGATTCGGCTGGGGGTGCGTTCTCGTCCAGTCCAAATGGTGGGGTCTCTGAAGCTAGCTCAAAAATGTCACATGTAGGAAGGATCGAGCGTATACTCACCGGTGCCCTCCAGACCAGGAAGCGAATCCTTGTAGGGACACTTCGCCGTAAAGTGATCGCCCTTACACAACCTACACACGACCTTCCCGGCACCACTCTTCGCCAAGGTCGCTTTCACCGTCTGCTCCGGGGTCTGTTCTTGCGCTGCAGCCTATTCGAGTGCTGAGGGAATGGGGCCACGGAGAAATTCGGACTACGCACCTTGTTCCCTGGACTCAGCTTGAGCAAAAGCTCCTCGCCAACGGTAGTGGTAGCCCGATCAGGACCAGGTTTGTTCCCCTTCTCCTGCCCAAACTTCGACCACATCTTCCGCTCAGCAACCGAGTGATCCACCACAGCCTTCTGCAAGACGCGCTTGGTTTTACGGGTGACCTGGATTGCGCATGTTCTTGCTCAATGCACGTTGAGTTTGAAGGACTCTATACTCACCTTCACCTTCTTGCCCTCATCATTGATGACATACTCAATTGTTGTGCGAACACCATTCTCATCCACAAAGTCCTCGACTTTAGGTTGCTCTACACGTAGGTGTGTTAAACCATGGATGAATTCACGATCTAGAATGAGCTCACCAAGTTCATCGACATCGTCCGCCCAGGACGTTTTGGGGGCACTGTGAGCGGATCAACTATGCGCCAGACCTGCAGTGAGAGCAAATGAGATGGCGTACGTGGCACTGGCCATGATAGATGGGGAAGGTGGAGGAAGAGGAAGGATTGGTTGGCTCAGTAAACCTCATAGTCCCCAAAATCTTAGCGAGTCACTTCAGCGTGACTTGCACCAGGCTGTCACAGGCGGGCCGGAGCTGGCAGCCTTGTCCGATACACTCACTCCCATCATCCTCTCTGACACCACACCTCTCTTCACACATCTTGTGGATGGACACGGGCGCACAGTGAGAAAAAGGTTGTTATCACGATGCTTCGTTATTGATTTCCTGATCGTCTCCCTCCAGGAAACACCGGCCTCCCGCGAACCTCGAAGTCAGCGATGCCTCTCCCACTCTTGCATCGTCTTCAGAGCTCCTCAGTGGCCTAGAAGAACATGAAGATGTGGTTTCGTGGATCAACACTGTTCTTGACATATATGAAGAGCCTAGTGACGCGGAACGCTCTGCTGCGCTAACGGAACTGGACCGACGCGTCTCCCATTTGGTGGGGACCCTTGAAATCGCCTCGGAAGACACCTCCGCCCACGTCGACCGACTCATCGAGGACATTTCCCGCGGCGCGTCAAGGCTCACGTACGACCTTCATTTCATGCGCGAGAGCGCGCTCTCCCTCCAGACCATCCTCCACAATGTCGAGGCCAAGTCCAGCCCGTCCATGGGTGCAGAAACGGATGCCGCACTGGAGAATCTGCATCACCTCGACACCATTAAACGCAACGTGGAAGCAACTCGGGAGGTTTTGCGGGAGGCGGAGAGTTGGAGTACGCTGGAGAGCGACGTGACGTCTTTGCTTGGGGAGAAGAACTACGAGAAAGCCGCGGAACGGCTTTCGGAGGCGTCGAAGAGTATGGTTGTCTTCGAAAACACACCGGAGTACGACAGCCGTCGCACCCTCATGGTCAGTCTGCAAAATCAGCTCGAAGCGTCCCTCAGCTCCGCACTTGTCGCCGCAGTCAACTCGCAAGACGTTGCTGTGTGTCGAAACTACTTCTCCATCTTCTCCAACATCCAACGCGAGTCCGAGTTCCGCAACTACTACTATGGCTCGCGTCGCGGTCCTCTGGTAGAAGAGTGGCAGCTCGCGAGACTCCGTGACTGTGAAACCACCTCCCCCATCGACCAATCATCCCTGGCATTCTCCGCCTTCCTTACCACCTTCTATGATTCCTTTGTAGCCATCCTGCAGACGGAGAGAACCTCTGTGCCTGCCATCTTCCCCGATCCCCGACCTACGCTCTCTGCCCTCATCACATCCACCCTTTCTGCCTTGCAACCGTCGTTCTCCCAGCGTCTGGAAGCGCTCTCGACGCATTACGGTGCCCAGGCTCTCCTCCAGCTCATTTCGACGTATCGGGCGACCGAAGACTTCGCTGTTACCACTGACAAGATCATGGAGAAGGTCAGCTATGCTGCACCCATCACCTCCGAAGACCAGCGACCCTCTGCACACTCTCGCCGCCGTTCAACAAACCGGATGTCGTTGTCCATGTCACGACGGAATCGCCCGTCTATCAGCGGCACAGGCGTCCTGATCCCTCCAACTCTCGGCTGGGACACCGAACTCTTCGAACCCTTCGTCGACTTTCAAGTGGAGTACGCGGCGCTGGAGACCCGTTTTGTCGAGGATGCGCTGAAGACGGTATTGGCTGCCGAGTCGAAAGGACGTATCGACCATGCACGCGTGCTTCGAGAGCGCGCTGTGGATGTTTTCGGTATCGCAGAGGATGCCATTGCACGGTGTACGGCTTTCACGCACGGATACGGCGTCCTTGGCCTTGTTCAGTCTGTCGATCGCCTGTTCTCTGCCTTCGCTGAGGCTTCAACTTCGGAGATCTCCGCGCGTCGAAGTGGTCAAGGCGGTTCCTCAATGACGGCATCTGCCTCTGGGGAAGACCTCTCCGACCTGGATTACACTGCGGATGATTGGGTAGACATCCAAGCACTCCTCCATTTCCTCGAGGCCGTCCGCACACTGCTCGACCGCATGGTCATGTTCGAATCAAAGCTTCGTGCGAGCTTGGTCCAGGTTTCCGCGTCGATGCGCCAGTCACGTAATGACCCAGCGGCGATCTTCATGTCTGGCGCAAGCCGCGGCAAGCTCCAGCTACTCATGCAGTCCAATTTGAACTCGGCGGAGCTGCAGGAGCTGCTCAATAAGGTCGATCCGGAGGCGCCTCCTCCACAGAGTGCAACCCCAGGCAGCACCTTCCTGACTCCTACTCCCCCGACACCGGGACGTTCCCCCCACATCCCATTCGCCGTTCCTCACTTCATCGCTGCCCGCCTACACCCTACTCGTCAATGCCCGTACAGCGATCTCTGAACTCGCACGGACGACCCAGCAAGCCCTCCAAGACACGATCCTCTCCCCGCTGTACAAGTACCTTTCCACCTACGCTTCCTCCTCCCTGTGGGCCGCTCCGCCCGACCCGCAGACCCGACGCGTGCAAGGCACTGGCGGCGGCAACGCGCTCTCCGAGGTCTCCGTGCCCACCTTCTCGCTCTCCCCGAGCAGCACGATGCAGCACGTCACCGAAGGCCTCCTCAACCTCCCGCGCCTCTTCGAGGTCTACGCCGACGACGACGCGCTCGCCTTCTCGCTCAACACCCTCCCCTTCCTCTCGCCCGACACCCTCCGCGCGCTCTCCGAGCCCGCGCCCCCCGCGCCGACCGACGCCCACGCCGCAGCCGGCGGCATCACGCACACGCGGCGCGCCCCGTCCCTCGCGCTCGCGCACGCGCCGGCGTCCCCCGCGCTCGCGCTCGCGCCCGCGCCGCTGCCCCCGGAGGCGGTCGCGGCCGCGTGGCTCGCCGCGCTCGGGCGCGCGCTTACGACGCACCTCACCGACGCCGTCCTCCCGCGGATCGCGCGCCTCTCGCCCGCGGGCGCGGCGCAGCTCGCGAGCGACCTCGGCTACCTCGCGAACATCGTCGCCGCGCTCAACGTCGACGCGCCCGCGCTCGAGCGGTGGCGCGCCGCCGCCGCGCTCGACGACGTCGAGGGGCGCAGGCGCGTGCGGGAAGATAGGGCCAGGCCAAAGGGGGTGGGCGAGGGGGGCGAAGCGGAGGCGCTGGACGGGAACGGGAACGGGCACGGGGAGGCGAAGGACGCGGCGGAGTTGGAGCTGGACGCGGCGGTGCTGGCGGCGGTCGCGAAGCTTCGTGGGTGGGCGTGAGGCTCCGTGGACATGGAGGGTGGAGGACGGACGCCGACGGGCGACGCGAGTGTGGGATGCGTGGATTCCGGTGCGAAAGACCCTTGTTCTTGTGTTGATCGCCGTACGTGTCGTTACACGCAGTGGTGTGATGCAGCGGAAGCCTCGACTTTTGTGGCCTTGCCGATGCCGGTCGAAGCGCGATATCAGTCCATATGCGAGGGCTGCAATCTCATGCAGGCCGCAACGTGCACGTAAGTACGAGCGACCGAACTCACAAGGTCACATACCTCGTCGCTGAGCGGTGGGGTCCATTTATGTAAATTACGGCTTCACCGAGTTCGAGCGCCAGGAAACAGCTTCCACTTCCGAGTATGTGTCGTTACTCGGTGGATGAGAATGTCTAGTAGAGGAAGAGATGCATATGTGAGTGGGAGAAAACTGAGTACTGAGTACTGAAGCTTGCTGCTAGAAGCGCTCCGGCCGCACGGTTCCGAAGGGAGACGCGCCTGGGGCGCGAGTGAGAACGAATTGCGAAGCCAGGAAAATGACAGTCGGTCCCGAGATACCATCAACGAGAGCGACCAGAGGGAACAGATGAACGCGATGTCTTTCTCATCGTACTCGGATCACGAGTAACAAGTGAGGTTTTACCGGTAATATGCATTCAGACTAGTGTACAAGACTGTATTCTCTACGCGGACGACGACACAGCGTGCAGAAGCCATCCCCAGTGCTTCTGTCGCCGTTTAGAACTTGACTTTGCTGACGGTCTCCCAGAAGTGCTTGCCCTGGATCTCCGCGATCTCCATCTCCAGAGCAGTGGGCTGGCGCGAGCCGTCCCCGGCCGAGAAGGTGCCCGCGCCCCATGGGGAACCTAAATCGCCACTCCGTCAGTGTCGCGCTCGAAGACTGAAAGGACCGGCACCGCACGGAGACCGTTGGCCTGCCGTGCAGCAGACACACACGGCCTCCGTACGCGCGTGGCTGGGAGGGAGGGCGGCGCCGGCGGCAGATGCGGCCCGCGCGGCGAGAAAGGGGCGACGGGACGTACCGCCGTGGACCTCCTCGAGGTTGGTCAGCTGGGCGAAGGCCTTGCCGTAGCCGAGGGGGACGAAGATGATGCCGTGGTGGGCGAGGGTGGACATGTGCGCGATGACGGTGCTCTCCTGGCCGCCGCCGAGGCCGAGGTGCTCACGAACACGGACGCGTACTTGCCCATGAGCGCGCCGGTCATCCACAGCTGGCCGGTGGCGTCCCAGAAGGCCTTCCACTGGGCGGGGAAGTTGCCGTAGCGGGTGGGGACGCCGAAGATGAAGGCGTCGAACGCGGCGAGCTCGGCGGGGGTGATGACCGGGTACGCAGACTTGGGGGGCGCGTGCATCTTTGTGAGCACGTCCTCCGGGAGGGTCTCGGGGATTTGGTAGATGGTGGCGGAGCCTCCGCCGGTCTCAACGCCCTTCTTGACGCTCTCGGCCACTGCAGATTGCATCAGGATTTGGGTTAGAGATGATGAGGACGAGGAGGAACGCACTCTTGGCGGTGTGGCCGTACATGGAGTAGATGATGATGGCGACTTGGGGGACATGGTGGGTGCGGGGGCGGTGGAGGAAGCGGGGCGGGTTTGGGGGCGGGCTCGTCGATGTGGTTGGCTTAAGTCTGCGACCAGGGAAGCACATATGATGCTGAGGGTCTGACAGGGAGGGACCTCTATAGGGATTTATACGTCGTCCATCGCGCGTCTGGCTCAACTCTTCCGTGAGACGTTCTGCCCCCGAGCGGACGCTTCCTCGCCGCTCCCCGCGCAGCTAGCCGTCTTCTGCCCTCCCGCTCCCACGGCGGGCGCATCACGGCGACCGGCCGGCGTGTCGCGCGCGGGACTGGACGAAGAGATCGACGAAGAGGAGGATCAGAGGCCAGGCGCTGCCACCAATTTGACAGGCCCGCGCGCGTGCCCTGCGTACGTCATGGAGATAAGATAGACGCCTGCGTAGCAGCACCAGGTTCCTTTTCCAGACATCTTTTCGCAACCTCTACCTTTGTAAGTGCGACATCTCAGATCTCAGGAGCAAGCTCCTTCATCGCCAAGTGGAGCTCTCAGAGGCAGGTGGCAAGCCCACCAGATGTGCCTTCGATTCTAACTCAGTAAAACATGAGCACCATAGGACGAAGCAAGCAGCTCCGCTGCGCGCTCAATCTGCGATGGCCCCTCCTTCTGGCGCAGAATCGACATCCAGCTGTCGTCCCACCCGCGCCTGTCTTCCTTGTCAGCGTTCGGATGGGCGAAAACATAGGTTCATACGCACGCGACAGACGGCATCTTGCCAGCCTCCTTCCACCGCATCACAACCGCCTTGACCTCGTCCAACCGCCGCCTTATCCCGTCCTCGTTCCTCTCCGGCACGGTGTACCTGCGCTCCAGCACCTGCGACTCCAGCACCTCGAAGCGGCACACGAACCTCCCTTCGTCCGTCTCGAGCTCCCACCCGCACCCCGCGCCGCGTCCCACCGCTCCCCGCCGAGTCGCACGGCGCGAACGGGACCACCCACGCCGCCCCGTCCGCGGCCCATCGCGTCCGGCCGAGCGCGTACGTGCGGCTGAACCCGGCGCGCTCGGCGCGGTGAGCGTGTGGAGGAGGGGGGAAGCCCTCGATCAACGCCAGCCGCGCCCGGCGTACTTGGCGAGCGCGCGGACGGTCGCGTACCGCATGTTGTCGCTGAGGTCGAGCGCGTGCCGCTCGACGAACGTCGCGCGCGGGTAGAGCGCGTACGCGGCCGCGTGCGAGACCACGTTCATCACGCACGCTGTGCGGAGAGGGCGTGATCAGCGGGCGTGCTAGATACGCGGGCGCGGGGAGGGACGTACTGGAGTGGAAGGACAGGATCGTGGCCATCGGGGTCTTGGTTGCGACCACGAGCTGCACCTCGCGCGCGTCGTCCGTGGAGGCCCGCGCCGTCTTCGCGCGTTTGAACCGGAACACGACGCCAACGTGCCGCATCCCGTAGTGCTTTTCGTCCGTGGCGAGCCGGGTGTCTGCTGTCGGCCACCCGTTGCGGAAGTGGCCGGCGTCGGTCGCGAAGTCTGGTGCTTGCCCTTCGGTGGGGCAGTACGTGTACCCCTCGCGGACGAGGTGCGCGGCGATGTCGACCACTTTCCCGTCGGCGTACACATAGCAGTCTAGGTCTGCGGAGGGGTATATCGTCCGGTCGAAGAGTTGAAGCGCGAAGGAGCCGGAGACGAGCATCCCAGTGCGCGCCATGAGCGCGCGGAAGGCGCGCGGGTCCGCGAAGAAGCGGCGGAGGCGCTTGTCGACATTGAACGCACGTTGGCGGTGCTCGACCACTGCGGCGCGGATCTCGCAGCTGGTTGCGCTGAGGCGAACGAGCGAGAGGGTGGTGCAGCAAGAGAAGATGCCGTCGTATACCGGCGGGCGCCCGAACGTTTGCGCGACCGCCTCGGCGTGACGATCTACCGGTAGGCCGTTCCAGCGATACATCTGTGACTGAGATGAGGCAGACGGGGTAGTACGAGGGGGCGGGAGCAGGGCCGTTTGAAGGAGAGATCGAGTCTATGTTGTACTTGAATCGCTCGGAGACCGGTTCAAACTCAGCTTGCATGGGATATGAGATCACTGTTCAGCCTGAATCGAGACGAAACGCCAGGCACAGCTTCCGCTCAAAGCTGTCTCTAAGGGTCTTTCAGCGATTGTCGAAGGTGTGGGGAGCCCGTACTGTCCCATTTCGACCAAAAGTTCATCGATTTTCGGCGTGACCAAAATTTCGATCTTCAAATGAGCACAAGAAATCGTTTGCAATACTTGGACCAAATGTTCACGCCCCTCCGTGACGCGTGACACGAACATTCGGTCGATTAATGTCGTTCGGACTGAGCGCGAGGCACGAGCGCTCGGCCGAACTGGTGCACTAAGCGTGGACGCCGGTGAGGGCGCGCGCAGCGCGTCGAGGCCGCCCCCCCCCCCGCGACACGCGCACCGCCCCCCCCCCTCCCAGCGCGGAGAGGGCGCGGAGCTGCAGCCCTCGGCCTCGCGCTCAGCGGACCGTCCGGGACGCGACCTCCGATCGCGTCGTGCCTAGCTTCGGCACGATACCCTCCGGCGAGCGCTCCGCTTTCCCATCCCACGATCTAGCATGTGACATGTGGAATCTCCATATTCCCACGAGGCTCATGTGACCTATCTACTCCCTAAGGCCTAGTCCTCTAGGCAAGACACGCGATTAGGAAGCTGGGATAGTATTGAGCCCATGGGAGGGTAGGAAACAAAACACCTAATGGCGCCCATAGCATTCAATGCGCACGTAATGCTCACAGAGCCATCCAATCAAAAAAAAAGGCACCACCCGATAAATATACTGTCCCTAGCCGGATTCGAGCCGGCGTCTTCACGGAATTGCGTTGCCACAACGTGATGATCTAACCACTAATCGATAGGGACCGGAAGAAGGAGGTTCATTTAAATATATGGCCAGTAAAAGTTACAAGATCCACCGTAAACAGACTCCGATGGAGTGATGCTCGCTAAGTGTAACTAGCTCATAGGAGCCCTCCATATTGTCGACTTTTCGATGCCGTCCTTCCCGACCCCATCCGCCTGGTGTCTTCCATGTCAATACCCAATCATCGGACGTCGCGTGGGTGCATCCCTTTAGTACCCGTCAAATGCCTATCTCAAGGGGGACCCAGCTGATGTGTTTGTCTTCTCAGGCCTCAAGCGATGGAGTATTTCAAACGTGCCCCCGCATACAATAAGAACGCAACCCCGACTCTTCCACCTTGACTCCAGTCCACGATGTCAGTTAGCAAAAAATCGCACTCGAAGGAGGCGCAAGTCACCGCAATTGCGGACGACACACCGATTTCTGTGGAGTCGAAACGACTCGTCGCGGACGTCTTCGGCGACGAAGATGGCCACGACATCAAGTACAAGACTCTGAGTTGGCAGGTCAGATTGAACTCGTTGGCATCGGCGTCGTTCGATTCTTGAGGAGTGCGTTGCTGACGAAACAAACTTTGCAGCTCGTCGCCGCACTTATGATAACGGAGATTGTGAGCAACGGCATGCTCACCCTCCCAAATGCCATGGCGGCCGTGGGTACGGTTACTATCTCCCGCCAATGCGCTTGGACAACGATCTCACATGCTTTCCGCGTGTTCAGGAATCGTCCCTTCTCTAGTTCTCACGATTTTTCTCGGCGTCTTCGCTCTGTTCACGGCTAAACTGTTGGTCGATTTCAAGCTCAATCATCCTGAAGTGCACAATATGGGTGGGCGTTATACGGCCGACCTGGCAGATGTCATAGAACTGATGTCATACCACTTTAGGAGACGCGGGTTACATCATGTTTGGGCCCATAGGCCGAGAGGTCCTCTCCCTGGGATCCATCATCTTCGCGGTCTTCGCGGTCGTACGTTTTCGCTTCCTATATCCCATATGATGCTGACATACCGTTTAGGGGGCCCTGGTCTTGACAGGCCAACAGGCACTCACAGTCTTAACAAACAACGCACTGTGCGCGTCCATCTTCCTCGTCATTGTAACAGTCGCTGTCTTTCTACTCTCCTTACCTCGCACCCTACAACGGCTGAGCTGGTTGGGGTTATGTAGTGCGGTCTTCATCGGTCTCTGTGGCATTCTGGCATGATTGGAGCCGGAACCAATCCCATTCCTGGGCGCACTGTAGTCGCAACTGTACCAACAAACTTTTATCAAGCATTTCTAGCCATTACAGGACCGGTACGTCTGTTCTCTTACGCAATCGGAACTCGCAAGAAGCTGAGATATATCAAGGTATTTGCTTACGCAGGTCACTTTGTGTGAGTCTAGACACCCCCGAAACGTCGGACGAGTTAACATGCCGAAACATGAACAGGTTCTTCATCCTCATCTCAGAGATGCGCCGTCCCGAGGATGCCATGAAAGTGGGTGCAATCAACTGCTCTTATTCACCCGTGCTCATTCGAATACAGGCCGCCTGGGTCCTCCAAGGGTTCGCTACGACATTCTATGCCGTCTTCAGCGTCGTGGTATACGTCTATATCGGAAGCACTGTGGAGTCTCCCGCGCTCTTCTCCCTGTCTCCGATCTGGGTCAAGATCACCTTCGCATTCGGACTCGTCAACTTCCTCATGTATGCGTTTTTCACTCTAGCCCTAATCGTTACCTGACCTCGTGCGCCCACAGCACCGGCGCGCTCTATACCCACACCGCCGCCAAGCTCGCCTTCGTCCGCCTCTTCCGCGGCACGTCGCACCTGCACACGCACACCGCGCGCGGCTGGGCTGCCTGGCTCGCGCTCTGTCTCGCCGCCAGCGCGAGCGCGTGCGTGCTCGCCGCCGCCGTGCCTATCTTCGCGGACCTCGTCGGCATCACCGCGTCCCTCTTCGCGTCCTGGTACACGTACGGCATCGCCGGGTTCTTCTGGCTCTTCGACGCGTACCACGGCATCGGCAAGCGTGCGCGTGGGAGGGGATTGGCAGCGTGGCAGAGACGGTGGGGGATGGCGGCGCTGGCGGGCGCGACGGTGCTCGCGGGGGCGTTCATGTGCGTCGCGGGAACCTATGTGTCCGTTAAGGTGTGTATGGTGTAGGGGCGGTGAGGATCTCGCGCGCTGATTTGATGGACTTGCAGCTCATCGTCGACGCTTATCGCGAAGGGCTAGTGGGGAAACCGTTCACATGCTAAGACTTAAGCGCGAATGCACCTGGTTATGTGCGTTCACTGACACTCATGCCGGACATGCGTATGCTTGAATACGAGCGGATCAGGATACTATCAAGGCCCATTGTGTTGGTACTTACTTACTGAGCATTGCTGGAACAGTCCGTGCTTGTTGCCAGCCTGCACTCAGTACTTACTTTTAAGGCTAAACCTGGTCAATCACGCAACCAGGTCCGGTCCGCCATGGTTTTTCTCCAAGGCAGTCAGAAAAAGCATTTCCATGGGCTTCTATGGGTGATAGGAAACCTTTCACTTGTCTTTCTCTCGGAGTCAATGTGGCAAGTACTACTGTAGAAAGACGGCCGCCCCAGCGTGCCACCATCGCCCCTGACAAGCAATTAATCCCTTTCTTGTCTAATCGTCCACGTGCGCCTAGCTCGGGCTGATCAGCTCACGACCCTTCACGACCCTGCGTGCCATTAATGGGATCATGAGATCTGTCGCAGCTGTCCGCCAGTCTCCTGGACACCTGAACCTCAGCCATGTAACCGCGCCGCGCCGCGCCGCGCAACGTTGCCTCTCCTCTCCTCTGTTCCCCGACCTCAAGTTCCCCCCGCATGAAGGACGGCCCCGGGCGGCGGTACATTCGACGCGCAGGAGAGAGCTGATGGCGGCCGTCACGGTTGTAGGCACGCCCGCGGCGGAGCTGACGGCGATCGCGTTCCAGTCGTGGTTGATCAAGGTGAGCGTTTGTTTCTCGGCCATGGCAGCTGGACTGCGCGTACTCACTGCATCTGTTCACAGGTGATGGGTGGTGAGTGTGGATTGACACGGGATCACCTGTTGACGAGAACTCTGAATGATTGGTGCGGGCAGTCGCCTCGGCGACCTTTTTCGTATGTCGTCATCTCGCCTCACTTTCTATGTCGGCTCACAGAGTTCGACTTCCAGGCGCTAGAGGTGATCAGTACAATGTCAGACGAGGTGAGTGATCATTTTTTCGCGCATATATCCACCCTCAACTGCATTGCGCACAACCCAACCCAAACCAGATCCGATTCGTATGGCCGACAGCATGGAGTATAACTAAGATCATATACTTTCTGAATCGCTATTCCCCCATCGCCAACTTTGCAATGAGCTCGAACAGTGTGTTTTTAGTCGTCAATCCTTCGCTGCTAGATGCTGATTAAGATCAACGGCAGTGTTCTTCAGTGCCCATACTCCCGAAGTAGGCATTCCCGTACTGCACATATCAGTGGGAAGTTACAACCCCATTTCTGCCACAGACGTGCTTGTCCAACTACGTTCCTTCCTTATGTGCGCTTTGTACCACTCTGCTACTCGTGCTGACGTGCTGACATATTCGTTCCTATAGATTTTTACGCTATAGGCACATTCTTGTCCGAAGGTTCGTTCCCAAACCAATCGACGTCGAATAGCGATCCCGACGTCGACCTTTAGCCGTCCTCGCGATCCGCACCTTTGCACTGTGGGACTTCAACCTGTTCGTCGTCGGCTTCTTGTCATTCCTTACACTCTGTCTGGTCGTGCGTTACAGTCCGTCTCTTTCGCGAGCATTGAAAGCTTACATGTGTACTTTGGAGGTCGTTGGTTTAGTTGTCCTGCAGGAATTGCAACGTCATGTTGTCGGTGAGCGTCCCGTCCTGGTAGATGACAATGACGAGCTTCATAATACCACGCAGCCCCGGATCAGGCAACGATCGATCTCATCGGGTGCATACCTTATAGTCAGGACACAATGGGATGGTCCCTCGTCGCCAGCATCCTTGTTGGCCAGACAGGTGGATGATATCTTTTTTGATTACCTGCGGTGCATCGCTGACATTCGTAGCCGTCGTCGTTCTCACTATTTACAAGAACTACAACTTTCCAGGTTTGCACAGAGTCAAAGCCCACCAATGTCTCCTAATAATGCCTACAACAGTCTTCAAACGCACGCGAAATCGTGCGAATGCATCCGGCCTACTCTACACGCTGATATTGGACGGTGCGTTTCTACATGTGTTCCACGCGCCACTTGATCTCATCTTCAGCAACAGGCATACTGCACTACTTGATTATGCTGGGTAGCCCATCCGCCCAGTGACTGTTCGCGACTCTGCTGGCTAACACGTTATGTACAGCGACGACTCTCGCCACGCTATGTATAACCCTACTGGCACCCGTGCGTATCCTACTCAACCCCATCGTCGTTTCTCTGATCTCGCGCCACAGAAAGCGCTCTCACCTCTGCTCCAAATGCACGTACCTGACGCTAGATCCCCCGTCCTTTGTCCTGACATTCGTCCCCAGGCCGCTTCGAACCGTCCACAGCACGCTCTGCTCACGCGTGCTGCTGAACCTCCGGAGCGCCGCTGCTCGTCTGTCCGCACAAGAGCGCACTGAGGTGTCTGCACTCCCGGGATGGAACCGCGATGAGCTTCGGCTGTGTGAGGGAGAGGGGGCAGTGGCGCTAGATGAGCGGGTGCCGGACGAGAGGCCACAGCCCAAGGAGAGGTTGGAGGATGGGATCGGTGCTGGTGCGCGCGAGTAGGTGTGTGGTTGTGCCATCACGTTTGCGTTCGTCTAATTCCTTTGGCATAAGCACGTAGACGCTGTACACAACAGACACTGGATGCAGAGTGCGTACGCGACCGCTGTTTGATCATGACCATAGGGTGTTAGCCGTGCAAGAGGAATCGAGAGTGGAGCAGGGCTTCAGCGCCCCGCTTCGCAGTCGAGGCGGCATAGCTCGCCGTGACCAGACCAGGGCGACTAGAGGGAAATAGAAGACCGCGGGTGATGGGCTGGCCGAGACGAACTGAATTCTGGGGGCGCTGCGGGGACGGCACGTGACATGACGTGGGTCTATGGAGAGCCAGGTTGGGCGGGAACGTTGGGACGGGCGACGTCCTCCTGACGAGGTCATCTGGCCCCGCCCCCCGCCACCCTCCTGCCCCGGCTCTCGCCTGTTCGCGCACGATCCCCTATATAGCCCTTGGACGCCGCTCTCACCCCTTTCCTCCATTCACCCACCCACCCCCGCATCCACTTGGCCCGCGGCGACTCGCTCTGTAGACCTGTAGACGTCCGCTCCCCCTCCTCCAGCACCCCCACCGCGCACCAGACATGGCTGACACCGAGTCCGCGCCCGCGCCCATCGAGATCAACGACGCCTACTTCTGCCAGCATCTCAAGGAGGTCGTAAGTGCCCGCGCCCGCTCTTCGTCAGAGGGATCCCGCTGAGACCGTGGGCAGTGCACCGTGTGCTCGTACGACGGGCGGGAAGAGAACGACGCGTTCTTCGGGGTGCGTCGCCTCCGCCCTCCGCTGCGGTGGTCGCCCGCGTGAGACTGACCGGCGGTCGTGCGAGCAGTTCGACCCCATCAGCCGCGAAGGGCTCGAGGCGCCCGCGTCCAGCCAGAACAAGGAGGGCGTGTACCAGTGCAAGAAGCACGGCTCTACTGGTGCGTCTCCTTTCGTGCGCGCGGTTGGGTTGTTGACGAACGTCTGGACGGCGCGTTGCAGGGTGCTCGCAGTGCTACGGCTGGAAGAAGCAGATCAGCCGGGCGCGCATCGCCGCCAAGAAGGAGGCGAAGAGGAAGGCTTGAGTGTACTCGCCGTCCAGTGCTCGCGAGTGCGGAACGATGCCGGGGACGTGCTGAAGGAGCAGTGGAACACTGCGTGTAGTAAATAAGCTGTTCGACGATCACATGTACAACGATAACTAGTAGCAACAAACCACATCTGCCGCCATGTTCGGAGTGCGTGCGAGCACCCATGGCGTTCGCGTGCGGGGCAATGGCGAATCCATCGATCAGAATGCACGGGACGTGCGCGTGGGAGTTGGGCTCGAGGCCAGGGTCGTGGAAGTCGTCGGGCTTACCGAAGGTCGGTGTGCTGACTGGTTGAAGCCTAAATCTTATGTTATCTACCTTGCCCTCATCCGACTCAACCTGTGCTTCTTGTGCGCCCCAACTCATCGCTCCTGGTGCCTGATGCGCACGCAAGCCTCAAACGTGCCGGACGATCCCCGATAGACATTTCCTCGGCGTCGGCGCTGCCATGGCACCTTGCCCATGTGGTCTTTCTGAGAGCCAAGGTCCGGTTCCAGCGAGCCCTCACGAGCCCGAGATCAGCATCCTTCGCGTTCTCCAGATCAACATGCCCGCGGCGCGCCCAGCACAAGCCCACGTTCCGTCTCGGCAAGGCGCGCGGAGGGAGCACTGAAGCAAACGCGGAGAGCAGATGACAAGCATCTGTCACGCAGGGTCCGAGTCGGAGCAAGCGAGCGACAGAGTGAGTGCTGTAGACGGCAGCGGAGGTCGAGGACAGAGAGCCGGGTCATTTGTCAGCACGCCCTCTCGTCTCCGATCTCGTCATGCTGCCGCAACCTCGCCTCCCTCTGTCGCCCCACCTCTGCGTTTTCTTATAAGGCCGCGTCCTCCCCTTCGGCTCCCTCCACCACTCCCCGACTCCTTCCACCCACTCCCGGAATCCCTCCTTGACCCCTCGGCCGTTCTCTATCCTTATTATCCGTCTCTTCTGCTGCTTTCAGGCTCATCGCTGCCCTTAGTAGATCCGGCATTGCCCTACTACTTTTGCCGATACCCTAAATCTTCCCTCTGTCCTCTCTGAAGATGTCCCCAGCAATGCTCAATGTCGACCAGGCTGCTACCAACGGCCACGCGAACTCCGAGACGATCCCAATTCTCAAGGAGCACGCCTCACTGGACGGCTTTGGCACGCGCGCCATCCATGTTGGTTCCGAGCCGTCCGAGGAAACGGGCGCAGTCATACCCTCCATTTCGCTCAGCACGACGTACAAACAGCACGGTGTGGGCAACCACAAGGTACGTACTCGTTATCTCCTTCACTCAACTCGCATCCTTATGTCTGCTCTTCCATCCCTCTCCCTCTACTCGTGCTCTATGCAGGGCTTCGAGTACTCGCGCTCGGCAACCCCAACCGGAACGCGCTCGAGGCGACCCTCGCGGCACTCGAGACCGGGGGCGCGCATGCGCTGCCTTCGCGTCGGGTCCGCAACGACAGCGACGGTGCTCCAGGCGCTCGGGCCCGACGCGCACATCGTGAGCGTGAACGACGTCTATGGTGGCACGTTCCGGTACATGACGCGCGTCGCGGCGGAGAACCAAGGCGTCGAGACCACGTTCGTCGACCTCGAGAATGCGTCGAACGACGAGATCCTCGATGCGTTCCGCCCAAATACAAAGGTGCGTCTCCGTTTCTCACTGTGCGCGTGACAAACAATCCCTGACGCGGCCCGCAGCTCATTTGGATCGAGACCCCCACGAACCCAACGTTGCGCGTGGTCGACATTGCGCGCATCGCGGCCCTCGCGCGCTCACATCCTGCCAACCCACTCGTACTCGTTGATAACACCTTCCTCTCGCCCTACTACGCCTCACCGCTCGCGCTCGGCGCCGACATCGTCATGCACTCGCTCACCAAATACGTCAACGGCCACTCGGACGTCGTCATGGGCGCGCTCGTCTCCCCGCGCACCGCGGCGAGCTCCACGCCAAGCTGCGCTTCCTGCAGAACGCGATCGGCGCCGTGCCCTCCGCGCACGACTGCTGGCTCGCCCAGCGCGGCGCGAAGACGCTGCACCTGCGCATGAAGGCGCACGGCGCGAACGCGCTCGCCGTCGCGCGCGCGCTCGAGCGCAGCCCGCACGTGCTCAAGGTCGTCTACCCCGGCCTGCCCTCGCACCCGCACCACGCGCTCGCGCGCCGGCAGCTCTCCGCGCACGCGGCGCGGTTCGTGGGCGCGCACGCGCGGCTCGACGCCGCCGCCGCCGACGGCGGGTTCCCGTACGGGGGCATGATCTCGTTCCGGGTGCGCGGCGGGGCGCGCGCGGCGGAGGCGTTCCTCACGGGCGCGCGGCTCTTCACGCTCGCGGAGTCGCTCGGGGGCGTGGAGAGCCTCGCGGAGCTGCCGGCGGCGATGACGCACGGGAGCATCCCCCCGGCGGAGCGGGCGGCGCTCGGGATCACGGACGACCTCATCCGGCTGTCGGTGGGGGTGGAGGAGGAGGAGGACCTGGTCGCGGACGTCGAGCAGGCGTTGGAGAAGGCGATGAAGGCCGCGGCGGAGGCGGAGGTGGAGGTGGGGGCGTGAACTTGGAGACTATGTGCGAACGTGTGCTTGGACCTTTGTATTCATAGAGCCGTGTCTGCACGTAGAAGCTGTAGAGTAATCATGCACTGTTCCAGACAGTAGAAATATCAGCTGTAGACTACGCGATTTCTTGACATACGGTTCTTGCCAGATCGCAAATAGCGGGGACAGCCTGCCGGGGGACTTGGCCGGAGTCGAGCAAACATTGGAAGAAAGCTCGCTTGCATATATCCGTATGTAGAGCAGACCCTGTATGTCCGGACGTCGTTTCGAAATGTCGTCCACCTTCTAAGTCTCCCACTGCATCTGGCGGCAGCCGCTGACTCAGCGGCTGTTCAATTTCAGCAGCTCGCGCGCCTGTGCTGCCACCACTGATACTCCTGCTCATAGCGCTCATACTCAAACCTCGTTCAGCTCGGATCATGATTGCTCTGGTCAGCTTCCTGGTGGAGGCGATGAACTATGGCCACCGGATGCACTGGACTGACCTTCTGCACCGGACTTCGGACTTAGCGCAGAACTTCCGTTCATGATGCTGGCGCGTCGCGCCACCAACTGCGCCAACAAGTTCAGGCTGCCAAGCCGCCGGCGAACAACGGACTCGGACTCGTGCTTGACGTTAATCTTGGACATTGGCACACCTTCCCTTCTAGCGGCCGAAATCACGCGGTAGACTCCAGCGGTAACGTCGTCGACGGTCGTGCACGACGTCGAACCCTCCACCATTGGCATCACGGCCGCTGGCAACTCATTGCCGGGGAAACCGGCCACCGCAGCCAAGCGCAGCGAGCGCACCACTCTTGCAGTATGCACGTCAACGCATTCCCAGAGCTAGAAGGCCCACGGGGGCCCGGTTGCCCTTTCCTGGTCGCCTTCGATATGCATCAAGTCCCCTTCGAGGCCGTGGGTTCTCACTGGTTTCTCCCAGCCGTGCTCATTCCTCGTGTCTGGTTCATCGGGGAAAAGACATTCGCTGTCTCCGAAGCAATGGACCACACCCGCGGAGCTGATCTTCGCACATCTCGCGGATGCTTCCAGCTCGCCGTGAAAATTGGGCAATCCTTTGGTCGGCCAGAGCCTTCAGTGTCCCAACCCTCCCGCGACCGCTCCGAGTGTCGTCTCGCTGCCTCCAATGTCTCCCCAGCTCTCCTCTCCATCATATTCGACATACATCACGAAGGTGAATACCCAGTTCTTTTCGCCCCTTCTAGAGCTAACCTGCGATGAGTGACCCAATCTTCTATGCAGTGCTCGAAAGGTACGCTCATACCGCTGTCGCACATCCAGCTAGACGTACTCAGCTACGACAAGTTGCATCCATCACGTTCTCGGTTGGTGTTTGTTTGGCTCTCATGCGTTGCCGTTCATGTTCACCAGAAGTTCCAGCTACTTGAAATGCTGGACACGTTACCCGATGAGGTATGATCTGTGTATCCTTATGCCTTTGCTCTAATAACGTCTCTTTCAAGGTCGCTCTAGTGTGGTCAGCGAAGTTCAGCACCATGAAGGTTATATTTCTCATCAACAAGTACTCGCCACTTGTTGACACGCTACTGGGGATTTGTCGTACGTCCTCCCGTTGTTACTAAAGGTCATCTTTCCACTCACGGTGTCTTAGTCGATCTGGTCGCCACAGACCCAAAGGTAACGCACTCAATCTTCCAGACGGATCTTTTGCTCACGCACATTCACTCCAGTGGTGCAATATCGAATTCCAGGTTCTCGCATGTGGGTGTTGAGATCAATGTCCACGCGTCTGCTAACTAGTCGTTCCACAGACTGCTACATTGTCGGGGTAGTGATATCGGAATGTGCGCGTCATCCGATGCCTCAAAAACTATGTCTCTAACAGAATTTTGCAGGCATCTTGATCGCAAGAACAATGGCATTGTGGGAGTTCAACAGACTAGTCGGTGTGCTTCTGCTCGGAGCAGGCACGGAGTTGTTGGTGCGTGCCATGCGCATCTTCGTTATGTTATCGAGCTGAGGCGATACTGCGACAGCTTTTCGCATTATACTCGGCTCAGCAGACGATCACACATGTCACATGTCAGTGCTGGTCGCAAACACTTTGGACGGTGTTTGACGTGCGCATTGCCAAACAGACCCCTCGCCTGAAGTCTCTAGACTGTATGGATGTGCCCCTGGAGGTCAAGATCGGGACGTATGGCCAGCGTACATGTGTATGCTGCTTGCGGAGACAGGTGAGTCGCTTCCATCATCATCATGCATGACAACCTTCCCCACCATTCGTAGGTATTATCGTGCTCACCCTGAAAAAGCGTTGGCTGGACCCTGTTGGTGCGTTCGTTCACGGTCATGTGCTCCAGCCGTTGATCTGGATGTTTATTCATCGTCCAGTCGATACCCCCAAGTCTGGAGAGCTATTTCGGACTATGTATCGAGACGGTGAGCTCTCAAGTGGTCCTTCTTTGGTGTGCACATACTGATCACGGCTATTATAGGGACTTTCTTTTACCTGATCGTCTTTTGTATGCGCGATCTTATTTGCCATGAAGAGGATTGTTGACCACGCGTGTTTAGTTGTCTCCTTGCTCAATCTCGTCGTCATGATTTCCACCTCGGTACGTCACGTCCCTCACCTTTAGACATCTCGCTCATGCATGGCGCAGGATGGACTTGTCTCGTCGCTGCAAATGTGTGTCTAAGTTTTGCGACTTCCGCCACTGCACATCCTCACTGCCTCCTTGATCTCGTAGGCCCCTGAGGGTGATTCACAGCGCGCTCTGTACACGCGTCTTGCTCAACTTACGCAAGGCTGCGATGCTGTCGTCAAAGCGCCAGCTGGACGACTTCTCCAGGAATACGGCGCTGGCGTTCGAGAATATCGACCTCCCGACCCTTCAGGAGTCGACCTCGATCAGTGCACGCACGACCTGCAGGAGACTGGATATTACGCGTGAGTCAGGGTCTCACTTTACGTAAGTCTAGCTGCTGTTCTACGCAAGTTGATGACTGACCTTTTCGCAGCACTTAATCCACAGCCTGACCCAGCCCATTCACATTTTTGTTGAAGTCTCCCCGCTATATCTCACCATTAAAACCCTTCCCTGCCGTTCTCGTCCTGTGCTCAGCTTATCTTCCATGCATCGTCGCGGAGATGAAAGCTTCGGAGTCCGGATACAATCATCTCCGTCAATTTGTATTGATAACCAGTAATCGGCCCCACGGGAGAGTCGGCGAACCCGACGAGCCGCGGCGAAAGCATCGGCGAAAATGTGGCCCCGCGAGAACCGGAGATTCAAGTTGCATTTCGGGACTCGCGCCTAATCAGTTCGGCTGGCCACATACAAGTCCACCTCTTCGCCTTCACTTCAAGCCTGGATCACACGTCAGATGGGCGCGATGGGCGGACGCGGTCGAAACCGGGGTGTGATGACCGTGCTCCGTGCTCTCGGTCACCTGCGCACTGGTGAGTTTGCCATCCATTCTTCGGGAGCTGTACTGACGAACACTGCTTGGTAGATGCTGCGTGCTTCCGCCCTATCGCCGCGCTCAGCGAGAGCGTATCTTCACCCCGACCCGGAAGTTACGTATCACGATGCGCCTTCAATTCGCAGCGGGAGCTCAGCCCGGAGTGCTGCCCGATCCGACCTCCACCGTCCTGGCTGCCATCTACCTGTCCGCTCAAGAACGACGGGGGACGACTCTTCGCTTCCTGTGAACGATTTGCGGTGGCTCACAGCCCATGGACTGTTACAAATGAGACTCCATAAAGGTTGGCGGTGTGTGCTGCTGCCTTCGAAAATCTCGGCCATGTCGTCTAACATATCAATACCAGACGCTTCCTACTTTTATGCCAACAAGGTACGTTTTTGCTTTGCTGAGGTGCCGCGCAATTAAAATTCTCACTGCTGTGCCGTACCAACAGTGCACGAGAGGTAAATCATCCCGGAGCTCTCGTTCGAGCTCGGAGCTGACTGAACGACGGTAGTCGCTTCGATCACATTCTGGGTTAGTGGAGGACCAGTTTGATCGCCCATACCCGCTCACTTACATCTCGTTCAGTTGCTTGAAGTACTCGATACCCTTCCTGATGAGGTACGCCTTGAGACTCTCAAGCGCGTCGTCTCTCGATGACATTGTTACATTCCATGCCCCTCCCCATAGGTCGCGCTGGTGTGGTCTGCGAAGTTCAGTATCATGAAAGTGATTTACTTCGTCAACAAGTATGCGCTGGTCATAGACACCACACTCGGGATTACCGGTGCGCACGCTCCGTCTCGGATGGTGTTCAGATCGCCTGCTGATAGAGGAATGGCTCAGTCAACTTCGCCATTACAGACACGGTGGTACGCTTGTCAACACAGGCATTGAACACACATCTGATCAATCGTCTGCGCAGGCGTGTCACGCCCAATTTCAAGCACTCTTCTGTGAGTGACGGCTCCGGATGGTCAGGCGATAGCAGCTGACGCCACGCCCGCCCTCCAGATTGTTATAATGTCGGAATACTGTTCTCAGAGAGTATGCTCGATCAGATCTCTAGGGGTAACCGGTAACACTCATCTAAAGCCCTATTCCAGTGATTCTCATGGCGAGGACCATGGCCCTTTGGGAGTTCAACAAGCTCGTTGTGTATTTTCTCGTCGGTGCATCAGTAGAACTGGTCGTACGTGATAAACTCCATGACGGTGCATATCCCTTTTCTGAATTATGCGTTGATGCCAACAGGGGTTTTCGATATATGCGTCGCAGCAACTCGTCAACCATGTCATATGTAAGTCGCCCGTAGACTCGCTTGGGGATCCATGTTCGCTCAACGTAGGCACACATCAGATCGCTCTCCAGACGAAGCGAGACTATATGGATGCGTTTCAGGGGATCAAGACAGGGATGCCTGGCCGTCGTATCTGTTCATGCTCATTGCAGAAACAGGCGAGTAACCCTGCGGTTTTGTATTACTAGCGCTGACAGTGTTCCAGGGTTTATTGGCCTTACTCTGATGAAGCGTTGGCTTCAACCAGTCGGTTGGTGTATTTTGAACTCGGCGTTGTTAAAAGACTCAAACTGAGTCTCTAAAGATGACCACCCGAAAGCCGGAGCACTGTTTCGAACCATCTATCGAGACGGAACTTTCTTCTACATCATCATCTTCTGTACGTTCAAGTCGAACGATCACATGCGCTACCCTCGTTGACCCTTGTACCCCCCCAGTCGCGTCGATGCTGAACCTCCTAGTGATAATATTGGCACCGGTTCGTCGTCGTCGAACCCCCCAAATCCGCGCACCCACAGAATTGCTGACTGTAGTTCTAGGGCCAGCTCGTATTCACCATCCAGATGTCCGTGAGGTCACCTCAACTTCGCATGGTCGTTCGCTCACAATCGGTTCTCCGCGCAGGCCGCTCCGCGTTATACACAGTGCGCTCTGCTCAAGGGTCCTCCTCAACCTGCGCAAAGCGGCGGCGCTGTCCTCGAGAGCCAGCCTGCACGACTTCTCCCGCATCACGGCCATCGCGCTCGAGAACGTGGACCTGCCGACTCTCCAGGAGATCGGGCTCGACCAGTGTTCGCACGAGCTGCAGGAGACGGGGTACTACGCATGATATTTGTGTCTCTTGCGACGAACAAATGGACGTCCGATCCACCGAGTATGACGTTGATGCCCGTGCCGTGGCGCGGGATCAGACTTGGAAGCCACTCGAACGCCACCCGGCGGTGTCGCCAATCATCTACGTTCGTGCGGAGCGCCTCGCCGAGTTCCAACGGCGGCGGTGTCCCTCCTCTTAATGGTTAATGCCACTGATTGCCACAATGCATGTAATTATTCTCGCGGAGGCGGCACTTCTCGTAGTCCCTGGAATACGCAGCCGGAGAGGTGTATGAACTGGACTACGAGTGGAGACTTCCCTTCTTATCATCAATGAACCGCGCGCGGTGGGAACCAGTGTGGTGAGCCCCGGCGGGGAGAAAGTCCGGGTGATTTTACTGGGTGTCACGGACGCGGCGACTCACGTCGGCCATGCTCGCCGTGCGCGGTCCACAAGTAATGCGAAAGGGGGCGCGCGAGCAGACGTGGATGGCACACAGCTTTTCCCAGTCTTCAAGCTTCAAATGTAGCGCAGACGCCGTACATAGATGGTCGCGCGGTTCCCCGGTATGCAGCGTCCCACGTACCGTGCACTCGACGGGGCTCTCTGGTGCGACCGGTTGTCCGAAGGGACTTGATCCACGCACGCACGCCACCGCGCACGAGCGCTGCGGAACGCTGTCTGGCAGCGCAGTTTTCCGAAGGAACGCACCCGGCGCGTTCGAGCCAATGCAGGGAAGGACTGCCGGGCGGCCCGCGAGGGGTGCCCGGCTATGAAAGGATATAGTGGTGACTGTGAACGTGGGCCCCGTCGACAAAGCCGGGTGGGACGGGGTTGGACCGTGGCTTCACGGAGATCGAGCACGCTGTCGTCGCGGGTTGAGTCGAGCCCTCGGACGTCTTCGGGGTCTATTCCGGGACTCCGTCAACCATGGGCCCAGAGATCGACGAGACCGTCTGGCCGCGGCGAGGCGTGGAGTGCGCCCGGGGGCCGGTGTAGATGGCGGCAGTGAGGCGCTCCGAATCCGCTGCAGGGCGAGCGATGGGAGACTAGTGAGCGGCGAGGCCGGGCCGGGGCCGGGGTTTTTTTATGTGTCTGGAGGAGTTCGCCATCTTCCGTCTTCGGTTTCTGTCATTGCGCAGAAGTACCAATCCCGATGGATATGGTTGTCGACCTCACAGTGTGCAGGAGCGTGGCGGCACGCTGTGTCGTCAGATCACGCCACTCGTCGCGGCTTGAGTACTGGATGTAGTCAAGTGAGAATCCTGTGAGCCTTACCGCCGCGAGGGGCAAGTACTCGCATCGTTCAGGCTGCGGTCACGGCGCTGCTCGGACAACCTGCCGAGAGGTATATGGATGCAAAGAAAGCATTGTCGGGCAATCCATCCATAATTCATCCTCGAGTCAAGTCTGCAAAATATTTCCGGAACGGCCTGGTGGCTCAGTGGCGTGCGATGCCCCAATATGTCAAGATGAAAGGGACCTCTGTGGCACGAGTCTCGAAAAAAAAACCCTTCATTTCGCATGTCCACCTGGTCAGGGAGCTGATTGCTTCTCATGCTGTTGTGTGCAGCATCCAAAGCGGCTGCTTCGGGCGCCCGTCCTCCAAGCACGGGTCCAGCGAGCTGTGCCAGACCGTCGTCTCCTGACACAGCAGATGAACCATCGATGCTCGAGATCCGCCCACTAGTTTCCAGAGGAGCGAAGGACAGATGCCTCCTGACCCAGTAGATGCCTTTCGAGCATGTGCATGCGGAGAGTACGCGTGCACAGGAGCCCCCGAGACGGGCTGACTCGAGTTGAGTGCGATGATGCGACGGCGCTCTTGGCGGTCGATCTGCCCCAGACTGCCCCGCACAGGAGGGGGCAAATGGTGGCCGATCGGAGCGTCGGAGGGAGGTTCGAGCGGAGCGCAGTGATGTGGACGTCGATGCGGCGGGGGAGCGGACCAGTGCGCACCATTCTTGCGCATGGTGGTGCGAAGGACTCCGAGAGACATTTGGCTATAGGCTTGGTGCGACCAATGACGTGCTTGAATGTCGACAGAAGCATCCTAGGGCGTATGGCGCATGCCGCAATGATGGTGAGAACCTCGACTGTATTACGTGCTAGGTAGCGGAGTCCGTGGTACCAATGAGGACAGAGCGGGGAAGGTGGACACGAACGTGGTTGAATCGGTGCCGCGCTCCTCCTGTCCTCGAATATTGGTCGCCACCTGGACAGCGGTCGGATCAAATGAAACAGGACCGCAGGCGACAGGCGAGATGGGCGGAGGTGGTGGTCACGAGCGTCGCTGGAACAAGACGGGAGCGCGCTATAACGGATGTTTAGAACGTGCGATGTTGCGCTGGCTTCGCCATCGCGCACGATCGTCGAGCCCGGAAAACGTGCCAGGCCCGCGACGGACAAGAGGAGACAAGAGGGGGCAAGCCGAGGAGAACGTGTGGACGCGGAAGGGTGGCGAAGGTCAGCAGTGGACGGCGAGAGAGAGGCGGCGAGCCAGGGGAGCGGAGCCAAAGGCAAATGCGTGAAGGGACGCTGGGCGGTGCCGGTGCCGGTGAGGTGTCCCATGACCGGAAAGGTGTCATCGCAGGCAAGAGCCGGGCACGCGCTGGCGGCCCAAAGAGACGAGTACTAGTATTGTCCCCCCAGCCCCAGCGAAAGCGACCCTGCCCGCCCCCTCCTCTTCCTCTCCCCCACCCCTCCCCCGCTGACACCCTCCGCCCACAGGTAGGCCCCAGCGGCAGCAAAGGCGTCCGAGACAGACCGAAACCGAGAGAGGATGAGCAGCATGGACCAGGTGGGTTCCTTGGCGAGGCGGATCTCGTGGAGAGGCCGGGCACTGGGCGCTAAATGGGGACGCGTGCACGCCGTGGCCGACGATGAGGGCGCGGCGAGGCCTCCTGCAGACGCGGGAGTGGGGGACGACGAGTGGGAGGCCGAGAGCGACACAGAGACGATGGTGGAACGGGAAGAAGAAGGTGAGTAGCCTCGTTTTCTGCGGGAAGGGGCTCGAGATAAGGAGATAAGGCCGGAGCGCTGTGCACGTCGCCCAGCCCGCCCTCACTCTCGGGGCGTGGCTGCCGGCGACGGGCGGCGAGCGGCGCGGGGACTCGCGCGTCCGAGAGCTTCGTCGCGGCCGTCATCTGCGCGAGTGCCATAGATGGCCCCTCTCGATCCCTCCCCTGCCCCGCCCCGAGTCTCTCTTCAGGGCCCCGCGTCAATCCCTCTCCCTCCCTCTGCCCCCCATGGTCGACTCCTCGCCCCCGCCCCCTGCCGCCTCCACCATGTCTGACCCGGAGCCGTCTTCCTCCCCAGCCTCCCCAGCCTCTTCCTCCAGCCCCCGCTCAGTCTCCCGTGGACGCGAAGCCTTCGTACGTCCTCCCTGCTTTCCTCCACCCATCTTCGCGCTCACTCCTCCCCAGTCCTCTGGTCGCGGCGGAGTCGGTAACATCCGCAAGCCCTCCAAGGATGTCGATCCCACTGCCGTCCAGCCCGATGAGCCTCTCTCCCCTGTCCGCGGTCGCGAAGCCGCTATCCAAGGCGAGCGCGTGCGTGCCCCGCTCTCCATCCATACACGCCCGCCACTGACCCCTCCACAGGCCAAGTCCTCCGGCCGCGGAGGCATGGGCAACATCCGTTCCGGTTCCAAGGCGCGCGCTATCTACCAAGTCTCAGAGAACCATCCCCAGACCGCTGCTCTCGTTGCGACGTACAGCAACAGTATGGCCGATTACGAGCGCAGCGTCGTGCAGCACAGTCAGGACACCGCCAACGCTCGCGCGGTAAGCCTCTCCTCTCCGGCATTCTCTCCTCGCACTCATCCACCCCCCTCTCCAGCACTCGTCCGGCCGTGGCGGGGTCGGCAACATCACATCCAAGTCCAAGTCTGACTCCGAGTCTCGGTCCCGCTCGCGCGTCGCCGGCCGTGGCGGAGCAGGAAATCTGCATGCCGGCGCGAGTGTTGACCCAGAACACCTAGCGCGCCTCGAACAGCAGGAACGCCTTATGTATGCGCACATGCAGGGCTCGTATGTGTTGTCCATCTTCCGCTCGCCACTCCAGCTGACAGAGACCTAGTCACTCCACCGGTCGTGGAGGTCGCGCAAACATCACCAACCTTCCCGAACCTTCCTCCCCTCATTCTCATGATTTCGAGGCCACAGATCGAGGCGGGGTTGGTAATATCACCCAGGCACGCTCCCCGTCCCGCGAGCCGCGCAGCCGCAGCGCTTCAGGCATCGGGTCGAGGGATCGCTCCAGTAGCCTTGCGCGTATTTTGAACAAGGTTGGCCTGCACAGTGCGCGGGACGAGAACCCGGAGCACGACAGAACCGCTTTGACAGAGGACGACCCTCACGAATGACTCGCTGCGAGGCATGCGGAAAACACGTCGCGGCCCAGGCGCCTCTTCCTTTCTTCCAAGCTGAAAGCCAGGAAACGCCAGCAAGCCATCCTCCTCGCGACCTTCACGCAGGCCTCCCACTCCTCTAGCGCCGACACGGACTCTCTGCCATATTCCCCTGCTCCCTCTGCGATCCAATTTGTTCCCGCTTCCCCGACAATTTCTTCGAATTCTTCCATTTCGTCCATCTCTCTCCTCCCACCCGCCTCCTGTTCCACCTCTATCACCGGGCCACCCTCTACCTGCGACTGCTACGATTGCACCACAGCTAGACCATCGTCCTCGATCTCGTCATCGTCGAGCAGTCCCCCATCGTCGCCTCGGCAGAACATACGCCGACTCTCCACGATTACCCTTGCCTCCGATCCCTGGTCCTACAAATCTGCGAAGACACTAGCGGTTCAACGCGCCGCTCAAATGTCAGCGCAGACGCTTCCCACGGTGGACGAAGACTCAGAGTATGTATCTTTTCTCGATTTCTGACCTTTTCCCATTCTTTTGCTTTCCGCTTGCCCTTGTGCTCTGCTGCTTTCGCGTTTGTTTCCCCATGTACGATTTTCAATTGGCTCCTGCTCCTTCCGGGCCCGCACGCGCTTAGCTGCGGCTTCTTTGCCCGCGCTCGCGCTCCACACGCTCCCTTGGTATCGACCATGCCCACTGTCCTCGGATGTCCTTCTGAGCTCCCCGTCCCTTCCTTCCCATCCCTTTCCATGTAGAACAGTCTCTTTACCGCCATATCATCCCCCCTCGATAAATTGACACAGGGGCAGTACACACCGTATCTTACCGCCTGCACCGCCGACTTCTCCTCGTCCACACATGACACCCTTCCCCAACACCCTTCCCCGACAGACAGGCATCTGTTGTGCTTCTTGCGCGCTAGCTTTGCGTCAATCAAGGACCAAGCGGCGTGTCGAGGTGCGGCGATGCCTACAAACCATCCACATTCATGTTACATGCGATACCACGATACATTGCGGTGCATAGCCGGTGCGCCGCTTCTGCATCTCTCCTACCTCCTTCCCGTCCCCTTCTACCGGCTCGAGAGCCCTTCTCACCCCCCGTGTCCATGATCCCCACGCGCACCTCCGTACGAACCGCTTGCTTACTCTATGACCTCATCGGATTCGTCCCCGCACCTAGTCCCCCCATCACAACGGCATGTTTGGCAGATCGCATACCCCTCATCGTACTGTAGACTGAGCTTCGCTTACCTTACATCCGCGACCGCGCGCACGCTCCGGTCTGCGGTGACACGTACCGCCCCTGGCCCTGCACGTCTTGCACACCCTCCCCTCATGACCCACCCTCGAGGCCCACGCCGTCGCCCACAGCGGTGGATCTGGACCGGCGGCACGATGGACACCGTGTCCACAGCACCCCGATCCCGGAGACCCTGGAGGCGCCGCCTAGCTTCCGCGTTATCGGGGCGCGAGGCGCGTGCCCCTCCTGCGCTCGCGCTCGCATTCCCGGGCTAGCGCGTGCGGCGTGGGTCGCGGTCTCACCGCACCTCGCGCTCGCTGTGCACGGACGGGACCGCGGAGCGCGACAGGTCCTCGAGAGCAGGGTCCCGGGAGAAGGGTGCGCGCGGCGCGCATTGTGCGGCTCGCGCGGGGGAGCGGCCGCGCACACGCCCCGAGCCGCGGACGCTTCCTTCCCATCTTCTTTTCATTCTCCCTCTGATCGGCCCTCGCCCGCGCGGGGTCGGTCGTTATGCCTCTTTCTCCCCCCTCCTTTGCCCCGTGCTTTTCGCTCTTTTCCGAGCCCGCTCCCACCCGATTGCAGTCGCGCTGACGTCCGCTCGTCCCACAGGTGCCCGGCCGCGCGCGCGCGCAGGACCGGCCGTCGCCGCCTCCAGAGCTTCCTGCCGTCCCACGCTCCCCGGATCCGTCGTGCGCAGGGCCTCGGTGTCCGTTCGGGCAGGGAAGACCCCGCGCCTCGCCTTCGCAGTCGACGGCCCAGCCTCCCCCGCATGCATCTGTCAAGTCGGGTTCAAATTCAAAGTCGAGGGCTGAACGGACGGAGGACGGGTCCCGCACCGCCGCGGCCCTGAGACCGGTACCCGGGAAATTAAAACGCGGTGCCTCCCGCCCGGCCGTCGACGTCGGACAGGGCGACCGTCCGCCGGCGGCGGTCGCGGATGACGTCGGCGGCGATTGCTCGCGGGACGTTGGCGGACTGCACGGGAGCTCGGCGGCGGCGGCGGATGGCGGACGGGGAGCAGGACATCAAAAAGGCTCGATCCACGACGGCCGCGGATCCCAGCCACGACGTTGGCGTCACCAGGCGCCGGACACGACCACGACAGCGGACACTGGACACTCACCGCAACCCACCGCTCACACGAACAGCGCATTGAACTGTAACACTACCATCTCTCGTCAGCACCGTCTCCCCGTCGCGAACTGTACTCCAATATGCACATGCACTCACCAGTCTCCGTCTTCCCGTTACGTCTCGAGTTACGTGTTCGAATCTGTTTCTGTATAGTACGTTACGATACCTTACCCACCTTCGCCGGAGCCCCCGCCTTTCGCAGAGGGCGGGGGTCCCCGGAGCGGCTCTGGCAGAGACCGCGCAATCCAAGTCGACGCTGGAGGGGCGGGAGCGGAAGTCCGCCCACCCTTCAAATTTAAACTTCTAACCCGTCTTGAAGTTCTTCTGGCCAGTCTGCCCCGGCCGCCCACCCGCGCCCGCCACCGATAAGAGCGGCGCCTGCTCCGATATCTGCTCGTGCCACCGCTCGCGTTCACGCTCGAATGTTTTCTTTCTTTCTTTCTTTTTCTTTTTTTCTTTCTTTCTTTCCAGCGCGGGCAGCAGGTTGAAACGTTCTGCCGCGCGGGGCACATGGTACGGAGTCGAGCGTGGAACGGGAAGGGGTCGAAGTGGGGAAACGGCATGTGCACTTCTTAGCTGGGCCCTGGCCGCCACACTAGCCGGCGGGGACCGCCGCGAGCGAGCGGGACGGATGGACCATCAGTGCGCGGCAGAAGTGGAAGGAGTGCCAGTCACCCTGGTGATGGACGTGCGCGGGTGCGATTTCTCGGGGAGCACTCGCCACTGCACTCCGTCTTGTTGAACGGTTGGATGAGGAGCTCGGACTGGATGGGTGCCGCCTTGAAGTGTGGTGCGTGTGCGGTCGATGTTGAACCCACAGCTTGTTTCGTGAATCGTCGAGGACCCATACTCCCACCGGTTTCAATTACTTCCCCAGTTCCCGTAGTATCAAAAAGCTCCGGATCTTTCAAATATCGACAGAACCCGAGTCCGTGGCCTCAGATACCCGCCAGGACGTTATTCGACAGGGAACCAGTCTAACTTGTTGGGTCGGATGACATCACAGAGAAGGTCCTTGCCGAGCGAGCCACGATGGGTGACAGGCCGACCTGGGCATAAAGCCATTCTGCTAGTACACGCGCGATTACGACGCACACAGTAAGTAGCGTACGTGCTCTTCGATCAGCATGGCCGTTCTCCAGACAACCGATGCGAAGCAACGGCTCCGCGGCTCGACAGCACGGTGGGGAGGAGGAATGTCGAAATCCAGACGAGACGGTGCGTCCCGCACCGCGCTTCTGGCCCCGATGGCCTGACGTGCGGCGCGCGCAGGATCAGCCCGCGCGAGGCGCAGTGAAGGGGGCGTCGCCGCGTCGAATCGCGGAATGCGCGGGGAGCGGTAAACGCGTCGACGGGGACTGGGTTCCGCGCGTATATGGCTGCGCTTCGAATTTGTCGGTGCACTGAGTGCAGGGCGGTGCGGGTACGGCATCCGAGCGGGTCTGGCAAGCTTTGCGCCTCTGAAGGTTCTCTTGCTATCAGGTTGTCGGCACCACCTGTTGGAGAGGTTGGGAGCTCCGACGGGGCGGCGATGTCGCGATGGGCGCCATGATCGTCTGTTGATCATCTAGCAGGTGGACACCGCGGTGAGAGAAGAAAAGCGTGATTGAGAGCTTCTGACGGTCGAGGTTGGGTCAAGGTGGTTTCTGTTCTGGTCTGTTCTGTTCTATCCCGTTCTATTCTGGTCTGGTCTGTTCTGTTCTGTTCTGTTCCGCCTGTCACTGTGGTGTGAAATGCATAGGTGTACAGCAGAGCGGTTTGATCCCATATCGACAGCCCTTGAGAATGAGAAGGTAACAGGAGGACGGCTGTGGCGAGCGCAGAGGAGCTCGTGGTGTGCAACCGCTGTTGCGGAACCAGAACAGCCGGAGCCTTGTGAAGACACGGGGGTAACGGTGCCGACCACCAGGCAATTCCATGTGCCGTACAAAGTACATCCGGTCCAGGGACGGTACCTGCAGGTGAAGACATCAGCGCCAGACCCCGATATCTCCAGAGACTCGCTAAAACATTGAAAGCCCTTGTAGTACAGGGCACGCTTACAAAGCTGCAGAGAGTCCGGCGAACTAAGGTTGATAATAGATACCAGGTCGACCGATTACCGGTCGCCGACGATCGCAACGTCGTCCGTGCACGAGGGTGAGATAAGACCAGGAGACCCGAGGGCTTGGTGGACTAACGGTACGGGAGGGTACGGGTACCGCACGTTTTGCGCGCAGAGGGCGATGCGCAACATGTGTCGGAGCCGTCGGGGTGCGGATAGTCATGCGATTGAGCCTGAGACTACGCAGGGCAGCGACAACCAATAACATCCTTGCGAGTCCTGTGGGATTTTTGAGTCCTTCGGAGCGGATAGTGCGAAAGCAGAAGAGGATGGGCGCCTGAGCCCACGCCCCGTCTCATGCACCAGTTCCGTCATTCTCCCACGCGAAGCCGACCCCGCGCGCGTGCCGGCGTCAACGGGAGTCCGTCTCGCAATCACACTCCATGACCGTCGCAAGGATAACTCAAGTACGTTGACCCGGGAAGTAATGCTGATTGAACGATGCAGTTCAGCGGATGTAGGCTTTTGCTTATCTTCGGGCTGCACCAGGGACCATAACCACAAAGCCGCCAGCGATAAGCTGCCGCAGCTGCAGGGCATATAGGTGCACTTCGTACGTGACCTCCCTCGATGTTCCTGGACGTCTTTTGCCATGAGCACCCCCAAGGAAAAGCAGGACGTCCAAGTCCGTGACAAGGCAAGCGATAACGACGCGCTCGCGGCACTGGGATACAAGCAAGAGTTCAAGAGGGCGTTCCATCCAGTCGAAGTCTTCGGACTAGGCTTCAGCATCATTGGACTCTTCCCTTCCATTTCGTCAGTCATCCTACCGGATCGCTAATGTTATGCTAACCCACACCCCCCTCAGCTCTGTCCTGGTGTTCGCGCTCCCGTATGGCGGGCCCGTCGCTTTGGTTTGGGGCGTAAGCTCACAGTCTCATTATCACCGGTATTGTGGGGCGTTGATCACATCTGCAGTGGGGGATCTGCTCCTGCTTCCTCTTCCTCGTCGCCTGCGCACTCGCCGAGCTCGGTTCCGCCGCACCCACCTCGGGTGGACTTTACTACTGGACGTGGATGTACGCGACCCCACGCTGGCGCAAGGTTCTCTCCTGGCTTGTCGGCTGTGCGTCGCTTGTTGTTTCCAGCTCTCACTCCGCTGATCTCTGTTGGGGCGGGGTGATATCTTTGTATGACTTTACGACAGACATGAACTCCGTGGGTCTCATCGCGGGCCTCGCGTCGATCGACTGGGGCTGCGCCGTCCAGCTGCTCGCCGCGGTGTCGATCGGGAGTGATGAGACGTTTGTGCCTACCGTCGCCCAGACATAGTATGCGTCACTCTTCTCTCGGGTGAAAGTATCCGTCGCTGACCTCTGTGACAGCGGGGTGTACGCCGCGTTGCTCATATGCCATGCCGTCGTTGCCTCTTTGGCGACCTCCATCATTGCTCGGCTGCAAGGCGTGTACATCGCGCTCAACCTCCTGTTTGTGTGCTTTCTTCCCTCCGTCTATCTCCCTGACTTACTACACATTCAGGCTTTGTTTGGCAGTGATCATCGCTCTGCCGGTCGCCACCCCAAAGGAGTTTAGAAACGATGCGTCCTTCGCCTTCGGCGGATTCATGAACTGTGCGTGCCTCTACATCGTCTGACAGGTCTTTAATGATGAAATCCGCTACAGTCCAAGGTTGGCCCAACGGGTTCTCATTCGTTCTCAGCTTCCTCGCCCCCCTGTGGACGATCGGTATGTCTTTGAACTTCTGATTTTGCTCCTCTCTCTCACAGAGATCGTCGAGGCGGATTCGATGCGCCTGTGCACATCAGCGAAGAGGCGTCGAATGCCCGTACCGCGGTTCCCTGGGCTATAGTTTGCGGTGTGGGCATAGCTGGCCTGCTTGGCTTCATCCTCAACATCGTTATCTCGCTGTTCATGGGCACCGACATAGAGAATATCCTCTCTAACCCCATCGGGCAGCCAATGGCGACGGTGAGCGGTTTCTCACCCAATAAAGATCCAGCCCTCACGAGTAGGTTAGATTCTTTTCAACAGCCTCGGAAAGCGCGGTGCGCTGGGGATATGGTCAATCGTCGTCTTTGTTCAGTACGTCTTAGGCTCACGCTTTTTGGACGAAGATGTGTGCTGACTCGCGCTCGACTAGATTCCTGATGGGCTCTGCCATCGTGAGTCTACGATTGCCGACGTTGCCTCCCCTCGCGCTCAACACTCCTCTCGGCCCTCTTCGCACAGCTCACCGCGGCGTCGCGCCAAATGTTCGCGTTCGCACGTGACGGCGCCCTGCCCTTCTCCGGAGTCATCTACCGCGTATATCCGCGCACGCAAACCCCAGTCGTCGCCGTCGTCACCTGCGCCGGCGTCGCGCTCGCGCTCGGCCTGATCTCCTTCGCGGGCACCGTCGCCGACAGCGCGCTCTTCTCGCTCGCGATCGTGGGCCAGTACACCGCGTTCGCGATCCCGATCGCCAGCCGCTTCCTCGGCGGGGCCTCCGCGCGGGGGGTGTGGGTCCCCGGGCCCTTCACTCTGGGGCGCCTGGTGCGTCATGCGTGACACGATTCCCCCCGTGATGAATGCGAGCTGACGGCGTCGCGCACAGGGCGCCCCGGTCGCGGCGGTCGCGGTCGCGTGGATGACGTTCTCGATAGTCATCCTCGCGTTCCCCACGGCGCCGGGCCCGGAGGCGTCGAGCATGAACTACATGGTCGTTGTGTGGCTCGGGGTCGTCGCGCTCTCGCTGTTCTACTACAACTTCCCGCGCTACGGCGGGAAGCACTGGTTCAAAGGCCCGCAGGTCACGCTCGATGCCGACAGCGTGGCGGGTTCGATAGAAGGGAGCGGGGAAGGGGTAGAGGAGAAGCATATGGAGTGAGGGCGTGTCGATGCGCCACTTTTGGCTTCGTTCTACGCGCTGTGGCTATTGAAGGGGGGCCGTCCTGAAGGCAAACAAATTCCTGTCACTAGTACGTATTCGATGCATGTGGTGAACGAGCGATGATTTCCGTCTGGCATTGCCGATTCTCAGACAAAGAGTATTCATGAATTGAGGTGCGTCTCCTTATTTCCTACCTATCTGAGTTGGCATTTCGGCCTCATTTGAGCGCTGTTTCAGACGGAGATCCCGATTCTTCTGGTCATTCGATCGCAGTTCCATGCCGTGGAGCGGAAGAAGCACACATCAACGCAACGACGACCGATTCGCCATCTACGTCTACCACCAAGTCATCGCAGGTTTGTGCAAGACTACCTACAGACCTTCGAACGCCGAGCACAGTTGGTGGCTGGGATAGTCAGTATCTTGCGATGTGCATGTCTTCATCACCTCACGCCCGGTCATAACCCAGGCCGGAGAGGATGGAAGCGCTTCCGCAGGTTTGCCCTTGGGCGTCTCAGGGTTGTCTTCCCACCATGACAAGTCTTCAGGCCGCAAGTTTCTTCTAGGCCATGAAACTTCTGCAACCGCCCGCCCCGACCACTCAGCCCATCAGAGCGAAGGTCAACATCGGGTGCTATTCGCGCCATGGTTTAAAATGCCCTATCACTTTACTGCAGTGGCGTCGAACTTGCAACCCTGAGGCGGATGCAATATCGGAGGTACGGATAAGCTTCCTTTAATCGTACTGTCAGGTGTTCTCCTAACAATAACACCGCAGTACTCATAATGGTGACTGAACGGCCAAAGCGTGCTTGAAAGCAGAACTTGCTTCTCACGACGTCTCCGATTTGAGCGGGAAAGTGCGTCGTGAGATAACGTTCGTCCACCCAACCTTCTCCATTTGCCTCGTGCAGAGAAGCGCAGATTGGAGAAACGCGATAAGCCGCCGCGCGACGTGAGGAACATGAGCACTCTTTTCCTCCAACCAGCTTGCACTTCGCCTCGACCCACCATGGCCATACGGTTCAAGAGCGGGGAACAAGAGGTCCTCCATCTCCAAGGAATCAGCGAAGTTGCCGACGACGAGAGCATTTCAAGCGACAATGCTGCGCTCGCCACGTTGGGGTACAGGCAGGAGTTCAAGCGGTCCTTCACCGCCTTCGAAGTCTTTGCGATCGGATTCAGCGTCATTGGCCTCTTCCCGTCCATGTCGTGCGTCTTTGTTTTCCACCGAAGATCCAAACGACAGCGTACTCACCCGCCTGCCAGATCCGTGCTTACTTTCGCCATCCCGTATGGAGGGCCTGTCGCGCTCGTCTGGGGTGTAAGCATGCTCGCCTAGATTGCGCTCACACACAGACTAAAGACTACAACAGTGGGGCATATGCTCCTTTTTCCTCATGTTCATAGCGCTCGCACTCGCCGAGCTGGGTTCCGCTGCTCCCACCTCCGGCGGGCTCTACTACTGGACATGGTCCTACGCAAGCCCGAGGTGGCGTAATCTGTTATCTTGGATCGTCGGATGTGCGTGGTTCCTGCTACCTCCCGCGTTGCCGAGGTTGACTCGAGGTTTCTCGCAGACTCGAATTCCATCGGGCTCATAGGCGGCGTTGCGTCCGTTGACTGGGGGTGTGCCGTCCAGATCCTTGCCGCGGTCTCTATCGGGCGCGATGAGCAATTCACTCCCACAACCCCGATGATCTAGTGAGTGGACCTATCCTGCGTCCGTCTTCAATTCTTCACTCGTTCTCCTCATAGTGGAGTCTTCGCCGCGATTGTGCTGTCCCACGCCTTCATCGCTTCTCTCGCCACTCCTGTCATCGCGAGGCTGCAAGGGGTATACGTCCTGCTCAACCTCTTGTGAGTGCCCGCGCTCTATCGACTGCGCGTCGAGGTGCTGAAGCAGACTCTGCATCACAGACTTTGCGCCATTATCATCATCGCCCTCCCCATTGCGACGCCCAAAGAGTTCAGAAATTCGGCATCCTTTGCGTTCGGAGGGTTCACCAATCGTGCGTCTACAGTACCGAAGGCTTGCGCTCTGTGGTTTACACAGATGCAGTGGTGGGATGGTCAAACGGGTTCGCGTTCATCTTGAGCTTCCTCGCGCCGCTGTGGACTATCGGTGAGGTCTCCTTAGGAAGATGAAACGACAGAACCGAACCATCTTTGATAGGCGGGTTCGACGCTCCCGTCCACATTAGCGAAGAAGCCACCAACGCCAAAGTCGCGGTCCCTTGGGGCATCATCAGTGGGGTTGGAATCGCTGGAATCGTTGGTTTCGGTGCGCGCCGAGAGTGTTTTAGGGTTCTCATATGCTGAAAGTCTGATGGTAGTGATCAACATCGTCCTCGCCTTCTGTATGGGCACGGATATGTCAAGCATCGTGGGCAACCCCATCGAACAGCCGATGGCGACGGTGCGTGTATCTGTTCTTTATGGCGTCGTCGAGCTCATTCTACACGACCTCGCCAGATTCTTTTCAATAGCCTCGGGAAGAATGGTACGTTGGGTGTCTGGTCGATCGTCGTGTTCGTCCAGTGAGCCTATCCATCCGAGCCATAAACTCGTACGGGTCTAACTTCAGCCCGCGCGCAGATATCTCATGGGATCCGCCACAGTAAGCCTTCGTACATCTCCACGCGGCCCCGTACCGATTCTTCCCGCCGCCTCCGAAGCTCGTCACGGCCTCGCGCCAGGTGTTCGCCTTCGCGCGCGACGGCGCGCTCCCGTTCTCGCGCAGCCTCTACCGCGTCAGCCCGCTCACGCAGACGCCCATAACCGCGGTCCTCGCGTGCGCGACCGTCGCGCTCCTCCTCGCGCTCCTCGCGTTCGCGGGCGACGCCGCCGACAGCGCGCTCTTCTCGCTCTCGATCGTCAGCCAGTACACCGCGTACTGCGTCCCGATCCTCTCCCGCTTCCTCGGCCGCGGCGAGCGGCGGTTCGTGCCCGGGCCGTTCTCGCTCGGGCGTGCGGTGCGTACCAATGCTACCCTTTCGCGCCTCGCTTCTGCCCCTTTACACGTAGTCTGGCACCGCTGACGCGCGCGCGCGGGTGCAGGGCGCGCCCGTCGCCGCGGTCGCGGTCGCTTGGATGGCGTTCTCGATCACGATCCTCGCGTTCCCTGCGCTGCCGGGGAACCCGGGCGCAGGGGGATGAACTACATGGTCGCCGTCTGGGGCGGCTGGCTGGCCTCTGCGTCGCCTACTACGCGTCCCCAAATATGGGGGCCGGCACTGGTTCGTCGGGCCGCAGAACACGCTTGGGACGCAGGAGAGCGCGGGGTCGGTGGAGAAGATCGAGGAGAGTCCGAAGGTCTGAGGGGAGTCCGGGTCGGAAGAGCCCGGGCCGGGTGGAATGGCGCTGCGCGTCAGCGATGCAACATGTACTTGTCCTCCTCTACATAGGTTCTCATCTTGGAAGTGCACAGCTCCCTGTTTGTCTCTGTCGCTCTCTTCTACAGAGGTTTAAATGCTCAGCGGCGATGTCAGACTCCTCGAGCGAAGCCTGGACACCGAATTTGAAGCTTTCGATTTACAACCTACGCTGTGGTGGCGTCCAAGAATTACGCGCTGGATGCAATAGAGGTGCGTATGCGTACTTGACTACCAACGAAAACTGTACACGCGCAAGACACCATCTGAACTGGGGCATCTGCGTCCCTCTCACCTTGTCAAAGTGGTTCGTGGAGAGAAGCGTGAGCTGGAGTGCGACCCAACGACAATCTACCATGCATGCATCACCAAGCGCCGTTCTGCATGGGAACGGACATGGAGATAATCATGAACACCCGATGGCAACGGGGTGAGAGTGTCGGAGTGTTGAGGGTTTTGAGCGAGATCCTGTTCAACAGCCTCAGGAAGAACGAAACGCTTGGTATCTGGTCTAGGCTTGTCGTCTTCGTCGAGTGCACCTCTCCAAACGAAAAACGAACTGACTGCCCTGCCTGCCAGATACCTCATGGGCGCCGAATGTGTGCGCACGTCTTCCCATCTGCCTCGCACGCGCGATCCCTACCTCACCCACGTCAACGTACTCACCCTCCCCTCTTCTTTCTCTTGCGCGCCCAGTCTTCCCGACCGCGCAGTCCCTTTCTCTCAAGGCATCGACCCGCGCACCCAGCCCTGTCTGGAGGAGCGCGCCGGGTGCGCCCGCGCGCTCCTCCCGTCCGCAGGCGACGCCGCAGACGTCCCACCCTTCTCGCTCACCTACCATCGCCGCGCAATACGCACATAGTACTAGTACTACTCTGGCCCATCCCCGCGCGCTTCCTCGACGCCGGCCGCGGAGGAAGCAGTCCGTGCCCGGGCCGTTCTCGCTCGGTCGCGGTGCGTCTTCTCTCCGTCTTTCCCTTCCTCTCTCTCCCTTTCTATCACATGAGCACGGGTATGACGCGGGTGTCAAGACGGGCCTTCCCGAAGTGCGACGGCCGGCACTGGTTTGTGTGGGATCGCGCTCGTGGGCTTGGGCGGGCTTGGGTGGGAAGAACGGGCGCGCCCGGGGCGGGGAGCCAGAGAATCGGACGGAGAAGACCTCCCCGGCCGAACGCGCGGTCTGACAATCTGGCGTGTGGATGCGTTGAATTCTGCACTGGGATCGAAGGTGCGCGCCGGGACGGGGCGCTGGCGGGAAGCCTCCGAAGGCAGATGGGCGCAGGGCGGTGGCTCGTTCGCTACACCGCCGACGCAGTCTCTGCTTGCGCCCACTGAGTACTGAGAGACCACTTGCTCACTTGTTCACCCGCGCTTGGCCGCTGTCGTATATTGAACCTTCGACCGCACGACGCTCGCCGTGAAACGAGGGGCCGACCGTCGCACCGCCTCCACCATCCGCGAGTGGACCTTCTGAGTCCAACGCTAGACCTCCCCCATCATACATTTCACACTTCCGAATCCGCAAGCGGCGTCATACCACCCGCCAAGCAGCGCAGCGCGCGCACGCTGACCTAGTGCCCCTCCTTGCCTGCCCCACACGGACACGCAGTCTCGCCGTCCAAGCAGTGCCATCCCGTCTCCTGACTCTCCTCGCCGCATCGAAGTGGTCCGCCACCCCCGTCCGGCGTCGGCGAATGACAAACGACGAACGCAGCTCGCTGTGGGGCCCTGGGCCCGTCTCGAGTTCGGAGTCCCCGTGCCAAGTACGCAGCACGGCGCATGTGCCAGCCCACCGTCCCTCGTCCCTCGACGTGCCACACGGCCCCGGGAGCTTCTTCACGCCACCGCTCCCGCCCCCGCTCACACGACTTCCATATCGATCGATCAAGACCCGCGTTCCCCGTCGACCGTCTCGACGGCGCTGCGCGTGCGCGATGCCAAACTGCCTCCGTCGTCCTGCCAGCGGTCGGCTCACCTGAGCCAAGAAGGATCCCTCGCCCGCCCCGGACCCGTTTGAATGCGACCACCGGCGCGTACGTACGCGACGCTGGGTGCGCACGTCGCGGCGCGCGGCGCGTCGAGGCTTGACGGCATTCCGACCGCACTGTGTCCACTGCAGCCGCTGCCAAGGCGAACTCGCCGGAGATGCGCGAACGCTAGTCAGGCCATCAGGCACAGAAGAGACAGCCATGGGAGAACGGTGTACGCGGGCGGTCGCACGGGGCGAGGGGGCGGACGAGTCCAACGCGCCACCGCCTAGTCTCAGAGCAGCAAGCGGGCAAGGGTTGTCTAGGCGTGAAGAGACGTGGATAGAGGGCACGAGAGAGATAATATACGTAGCACAGCAGACCATTAGGCTGGATAGAACATCTATACAACGACCAGTATTCGTATGGGCAGGCAGACACATACCGTCCCCGCTCCCCTCGAGCCCACTCAGACGCGCGGACGGAGACGAAGGGGGAGCTCATGACGCCGAGGCGGCCGGCTCCGACACCTTCTCGCCCTCCTCCGAGCTCGACTTCGGGCGTGATGCGGGGCTCGCGGCCACCCGCGGTGAGCGCGCCCACGCCGTGCGAGTGCGTGTCGTCGTGGAAGTCGTGCCCGTGGCCGAGGTCGATGCCGACGTAGTCGTACGCGAACTCGCCCATCTCGGCGTCGTCGATGCCGAGGATCTCGGCCTCCTCCGTCGCACGGAGGCGGAGGCCGGGGATGAAGTGCATGATCCAGAGGATGATCGTCTGCGCGGAGAGCGAATGGATCAGCGTCAACGTGCCTGCAAACCGCATACATGGGCACTCACGGTCATGACGAAAGAGTAAGAGAGCCCGCGACGGAGTCAGCGACCTGGTAGCCGAGCTGGATGTAGTGGTGGTCGAGCCAGCCACCGGCGATGGGCGCGAGGCCACCGTCGAAGCTAGCCACGACGCCTGTGCGAAGAGACCGGTGAGGATGTTGCCGATGATACCGCCAACGGCGTGCGACGCGAAGATGTCAAGGCAGTCGTCATAGCCAAAGACGAACTTGAGCTGCGTCGCGAAGTTGCAGAGCGTGCCGGCAAGCACGCCGAAGAGGACGGCAGCGGCTGTATGCGGGATCACTCATAAGTTGGGATGGCAAACGAAGCCACTGAGTGCACGTACGGGAGCCGACGAAACCAGATCCGGGGGTAATGGCGACGAGACCGGCGATGGCACCAGAGCAGAAGCCGACGGCGGACCACTTGCGCTCGAGACGGTAGTCCCAGAGCATCCAAGTAAGGCCACCGACGGAAGCAGCGAGGTTGGTGACAATGCAGGCCTGGACGGCGCGCATGTTGGCAGCGAGGGCCGAACCACCGTTGAACCCGAACCAACCGAACCAGAGGAAGACCGTGCCGAGGACAACGTAGGTGGTGTTGTGGGGCTTGTAGGCAAGGCGTTCAGTACCATAGCCACGGCGCTTGCCGAGGTAGATGGAGATGGCAAGGGCGGCGGTACCGGACGAGATGTGGACGGGCGTTCCGCCGGCGAAGTCGAGTCCACCGAGGAGGAAAGACCAGCCGTTGGAGTTCCAGGTCCAGCAGGCAATGGGGTCGTAGACGATGGTGGACCAAACGAAGACGAAAACCATGATGGGCCGAGGCGGCCACGCTCAGCAATGGCACCAATTGCAAGCATGGGACTGAAGGCGGGAGGAGTTGACGACGGAACGATGTGAATGATTGAAGGACGTACGTGATGGCAGCGAACATGAGCTGGAAGACGCAGAAGGCAATGGCGGGGATACGCGCGCTGCCGATCGAGGGCTGATCGAGAACGCCCTTGAGACCGAAGTACTCTGAAGATCGCCAGATCGGTTGGAAGGGAAGATGTGGTAGCAGGAGCGGAGTACTCACTGAGGTTACCGATGTATGCGTTCGCGGTGTCACTGAAGGCTAGCGAGTAACTGAAGGACTGTCAATGCCTGCGCACACGAGCGCAAAGAGCGGAAGGCTCACCCCCAAAAGAACCACTAGGAGCAGAGTGAGACGCGCGGAAAGGAGAGAAGAGATGAGGCATACCTGGAAGGAGACAACGGCGAGAGTCATCATGGATGCCCAAATCATCGACAACGCGTTTTTCCTCCGGAGCAGGCCCGAGTAGAAGAAACCGACGCCGGGGATCATGAGCCAGACCAGGGCAGTGGAGGCGAGGACCCAGGCGATGTCTCCGGCGTCGTAGAGCGCGGTAGTACCATCGGGAAGGGTGGCGATGGTGGAGCCGGCTGGAGGAGACGAGAGAGGTCAGTCGCGTGCATGGAATGCGGGGATGAGAGGGAGCGCACAGTCGTCGTAGGTGATGTTGACCATGGTGGACTCTGCTCGTGTGGGCGCACAGCTGAGCTGGTCGGTGTCGGTGGTCTGGAGGACGTCCGGGGGCGGCAGAGGAGCGTTCAGAAGGGAAGCGAGGCAAGAAGCCCATTAATTATAGGGCCCGCCCCGTCCCGCCCAGCGCCCGGCCCAGGGCTATCGGCCAATGGGAGGTGCGAAGTATATCTCTCCTCCCCTCGCCCGCCCTCCACGATCCCAATCTCGCAGATCTCCTCGCCTTCCGCCAAGCACACTCTTCCCGCCCTCCGTCGCCCCGCCAGATGCCTCCAGCGGCGGCACGGACGCCCCCAGCACGCGCGGCAGCGGCGCAGCGACCTCTGCCCGCCGCCACACCAGCAGAGAGAGGAGAAGATAAGGGTGGGCTCAAACGGCAGCTGGCGTTCTGCGTTGCAGCCGGCGGAGTGCCTGATGAGAGAACCCTTGGCCGCATCTGGAACAGCCAGATCCCCTCCCGATCCTCCGCACTCATCCCGCCCCACCTCCAGCTACAGATACTTAAGTAGTCTTGCCCATCTCGCTCTCGCCCTCTGCTAGGCCTCTGCCACCACCCAACCGCTGTCACCCGTCTGCGGCACAGTACTACGCCGCTCCCAACCTACGCCGCCGTACTCCCCACCATCTGTCATCGCGCCCGTGCCTGCCTGGTTCTAGTCTCACGGCAGAACGAATTGCTCTCCCTCCCCGTGGGTGTCTTATCCACGGAACAGGTATTTCCTCCTCCGCAACACCGCGCCCCAACGCGCCCCGCCACTCCCACAGCTGTCCTCCTCGCACTTCTCTGTCACCGAACTGAGATCCTGTCGTTCCGCCGCGCAGCGTTTTGCAAGAACTCTCGACGAAAGTCCTCCCGAGCGATCCCTGTGCAAGTCTCGTCGCGATCGGTTGTCGGGCCATCGATCGACGTCAGCGCACACCGTCATCCTCGACCCCTCTCGGCGAACAAACACGAGCTCGCGTGCCCGTTATCGCGCTCTCTCCTGTGGCGCGAAGGCCCTTCGTCGTTCGACCCCTGCGTCGGCCCTCTCAGCGCCGGTGCCCCCCAGTCAAGACTGGTTTGAGGTCAACAAATCTTCGCCGCATCGGCTACGGCTCATTGCTTCCCCACGTCACTCGACGGTCCCAGCCACGCCTCGAACTCAACGCCTCCGGCCCTCCGTGAGACGGCATCCCGAACGCGGCGTTTCACCTCTCCGCCGCCTGCTGCGCGACGCCCGCTTCCCTCTCTCTCCCTCACTTTCTCTCAGTCTCCCCGTCGACGACCCAGCGTGGCACGGACGGGGAAACCGGGTCACACGCCCCCACCACCTCCACGAGGGCACGCACTGTAACAGGCTGTCAACCACGTCCCGCTTCCGTTCCGCACGTATTGCCACAATCGCCCTCAGGCTGCCCACAATGCACCTCCCCCCCTGTCTGGCGTCTCACACGTGTGCACGTTCGACCCTCACCAGCACTGATTTTCCCCAGGTTTCGCAAGACGAACGTCATCTCCAACCCCGGCCCGGCGCCGTCCGCCCCGAACCAAAGGAGCGCCCGACTCCAGATCCTTGCTCGGTCCCGACGGGGCGCATCAATCGAGCAGTCTCACGCATCCGGGTTCCCGGCCCGGCGTCGAAACCGTGACGTTCAACGACGTCAGTATGCGGCGTCCCGCACATACGAGGCGGGGCTCGAAATGTGCGTGCAAACAGGCGCGGCGGAGCAGAGCGTAGGTTTAGCGACCCTGGCGAGTTCCACCGCGTATGTACGAGAAGCCGACGTCTCTATCGATTTGGCACCAGCTGTAATAGCCATCCAATGCATCATGCACATGGCTCGCTCCCTCCGTGCTTCACTCTCCGTGTCCCTGATACGGCGTTGCAATAATTGCATCATGAAGCATTAGACAGAGCATATAGTACGTACATGCGAAACCTCGGAGTTACAGGAATGCTGGCGCCTCGCGAGTTCCGGACTCCCACTCCGTGAGCGCAAAAAATTTGGCCAAAATCTGGTCACCTATAATGAACGACAGAGACCGACTCCCAGAGGACTGGGTGCTCGGAAGCGGGGGTTTAGTGGGTATAAGGAAGGCGAGCGGATGGTCCTCGGACTAGATGATGCACGCTGGAATGAGTCCCACACTTTGTGCGTAATAGCATTCCATCGCGGTGACTAGGCAAGAGCGGAGTTTTCTAACTTCCTCTGTTCAAGCCTATACGAAAAAGCGAGCCGGTTGTTTCATTACAACTCAGACTGTCCCGGATCCCCAAGGGGTGAAACGATGGTCTACGGTATTTGCTCCACCAAAAAAAAGGGAATGCTGGCGCCTGCAACATCCATATCCGTGCATACGAGTCTCCCTACTTCTGCATCAGCTCGTCATGTGGGCCCTCCTCTACGATCACCGAGTCGTCCATATACCTGCGCTGAACGTAAGCAGCTGCTCGCCCAAGACAACGTCAACACTGATAAGATCACATTCGCGTGCGCTTCAGACTTCCGAACCTGTGCAACGAAAACACCATCATCTTATTCCCCCGCAGCTCCCTCAGCCTCCCAGCGACGCGCTCGGCTCGTCGAACAGCGTTAACAGCCCCGCGCGCCCGCGCGCATGAACGTCCGCGCGACCGCGAGGCGCTGCATCTGCCCGCCGCTGAGCGCCGCCCCGCCTTGGCGCGCGGCCATACCCCCTGCGCTGCGCACGCCCGAGCAGTCGATCGGACGGCCGAAGAGCAAAGTCGCGCGCCGCCGAGCTCGAGCGCGGTGGGGACGCGCTCGTCGTTGCGGAAGTTCGTGGGGTCGCCGAGGGCTACGTTATCGCGTCGGATCGCACGCGACGCCGGCGAGAGAAATGCGGAAGAGGGCTGATGATGATGATGATGATGATGTCTTGCCAGGGCCCTAAGTACCTTACATAGTGCTAAGTATGTCTAATACAATCAGGGACGGCGGTTATCCCGCGTTCGGTTGTCGACATTTGGTCACGGGGCCACAGCCTGAGCTAGTAGTGGGGGGTGCAGGCCCTGCAGGCGGCCGCGTTCTGAACACCGGAGCGCGAGTCGAGGAAAGAGTCCGTAACAGAGTCCCCGAACGTCCAAAGAGCGCATCTCAAGGCCACAAACTCTCACCGTTCAACCCAACCGGGTGCTCTTCTTGGTCGCCTATGAGGGATTCACGGGCCGGCTTGAGGATGGGACGGGGCCCCAACCGGCGCTGTTGAGGCGCGCGGAGCCCTAGCCTTGCGAGGAGAGGAGGCGCCCGCACGCCCACGAGGGAGCGCGCAGGCACCTGCGGCCGCACCGAGGCGGACGCGAGGGTGGAGGAGCCCCAGCCATGAGGCCAGGGCGTGGTGGTGGTGCCGCAGGCGCTAGGCCGTGCGGGTGCCCGCGGGGTGCAGGCTGGGGTGACCGAGAAGAGCCCAGGCCGTGGAGCCCAGGCGGAGGGTGGGAGGCCGCATGCGAGGGAAGTCGTGCGGTGAGGGTGGGGGCAGCTCTTGGTGGGCGGCGAGCGGCGACGCGGGGGGCCAGCGTGCGCCCGGCGGAAGGCCAAGAGGGGGTGGTGGAGAGCCCGGGTGGGCGAGCGAGGACGGCGTAGGCGACCTGGCGTGGTGTGGTGGCAGGAGCTCACTGGGAGCCCCGGATGAGCGAGAGGATGGGCCCGTCGAGGGCCCGGTGGTGCGGTGTCGGCTGAGGCAAGGGCCGACGTCGGGACCACCACCGTCGGGAAAGGACAGTGGGGGGAGGGCGATAGGCAGTCCGGGGGAATGCGATGGGGAGGGGGTGTACCTGGTCTGCAGTGAATGGGGCGAGATGGTGGTGGTCGAGGGGAGAGAGAGGCCTGATGCGGAAGAGGGCGTCGCCGTCGACGGTGCGGGTGTCGATCGTAGTTTGGAGCTAGACAGTGTGGCACTGGGTCGGCTCATCCGCGTCTTGATACGCTTGTGATGAAGGAGACGGTGTGCGGATGCGTGGATGGGAAGGTGCGCTTGATGCAGGAGTCAGCAATGGCATTGGAAGGCTGGAGAGAGGAGGGACGTACGATGTGTATGAGCGGCCCAGAGCTGAGTGCGCGAATGGAGTGCAACCCAAGCGGGCTCACCATAGGGCGGCGGCGGGAATGAGGGAGTGGAGGACCTCGGCGGTGAGGATGATCCGGCAGCTCCGGATGGCGATGTGCACGAGGTATGGCAGGCACTCGTCCGCCTCAATCGTCCTCTCGAGCCATGACGAGCCGGGGACGTGGTCGAGCGCGGGGCTCGTCTCCTCGCACAGATCTCAGATGCCGATGCGGGTGTGCTTGACGCGGGTGGTGTCTGCGGGTCGAGGAGGCCCTCGCGGTTGCTGCGCGGGCGGCCCAGCGACGACCTCTTGCCATCCTGCGCGGGGGAGGAGACAAAAGAGCAGAGGAGTGGGGGCGCGCGAGGGCGTCGTGGCAGAAGAAAAGCAGGCCGGCCGGAGCAGGACAGATGCGGCAACCTCACATCCCCGCCTGCCTGCCCTATTGGGGAACTGAAGTACTGACCGTCGCGCACACGGTGTTCAATTGCTGAGAACCTATGCGGCAAACGAGATGTGTTGTTGTCAGACACATTTGAAGTAGAGGCAGCATCATCCAATTCACAGTTGCGAAGGTGATCTCGTATGGGCAGAGTGGCGTACATCAGGAAAAAAACGAGAGAGCAGTTCGAGTGCGGCGGGACAAGTCCCCTTCTCTCGGATCTTGTCATTCATACTTTCCATCTGTGCGGTGACTTCTCACTGCTTCAATAGACCTGTGTCTTTCGTACATAGTATATTACAGTACACACTATATGTGCTCGTGCGGCCACTTGTCGGACGGCGGGGCGTCTACAGGACAGTGCGGGAGTCGGCGTGCTGCCGTGCTTATCTAAGTAGCGTTCCGGGATCGCCTCCGGTAGAGGAGGTGATTGAACTGCCCTCTCTCTCTCTCTCTCTCTCGAGGCGCGCGAGCTTGGCAGGGCGCCTCGCGTGCGCTCAGGAGGCACAGCCGCCAGCTCGGCGAGCACTCCACCTCCTCCACCACAGGAGCCTGTTGCCCCACCCTTCGAATCCGCGGTTCTTGACCTCAACTCCTCACGACAAAAATGAGGGGTTGATTCTTACCAGCTGGAAATCATCGGGCCAGACGGGTCAACCACAGATTTACGTGACATCTACAAGAACAGTATGCAGACCATCCATCGTGCTATGCAAGAGCTTCGGTTTGAGGAGATGAAGGAGAGGTTCTTCCCCGGCCCTGATCCTCCCGAAAATATCGAGAGCGAGTTCGACTACATGCACATCAGTTGGCTCGCCACCCCGAAATCAGAGCAGGAAGTCAACGTTCAAATTGTATGTTCGCCACCGCGGCGTCCTTCCCTTCATACACTAAACCACATTTTCAGGCCAAAATTGCGTCATCGGTTTTCAGGGAAGCCGTGAAGGAGCGTGCCCCAGGCCTGGTACCACTTGTGGCCTTGGATACCTCGACGAAGTTCTTGCCAGACGGCAAAGGTCCGAGGGCCGTGTATCAGCGCACCTGTCCCGATGTCTCAATCTACTTCAACGACAAACGCACTCGTGAGCTGCTTGTAGCCGACACTGACAAACGTGGCGACTCGATCTCGGACATCGAAGGAGACGAGATGGAACCGGTGGCAGAGGAAGAAGATGACGACGAAGACGACGACGACAACAATGAAGACAACAATGAAGACGACGAAGACGAAGACAACAACAGCAGCAGCAACAGCAACAGCAACAGCAACAGCGAAGAAAGTGACGAAGAACTCTCAGAGGACGGTGCCAATGCGTCCGAAGAACGTGGTGTTGTGCCTGAAGAACTTCGTGACGAGGAGTATCATGCCATTAGACCCGAAGACTACGCCACGCCGGACCGGCGTGATGGTGTCGTTCCCGTCGCACCTTTGACCCGTGCTCAGGCCATGAAAGGCTTCGACGGTAGGACATCCTATGCCGATATCATCATTCCTGTAGAAGTCAAGATCAACTCGACGAAGTCGGCGTTCAAGTTCGACCTGTCTGAATCTCCTGGGGCGAAATCCCCGACACTACCGCGGGCGGTGACCAAAAAGCGCGCCAAGAATGCTTCAGATTCCGAAGAAGAGCACGGTGTGGTGGCGGTAGGACTGGCGCCATCTTCTGGTCAGATGGATTCCCTGGGCCAGATCACCGAATACTGCGCCGCCATTCTAGGACGACAACATCGCACCCATCTCTTTGCGGTGTATGTGCTTCGCAACCAGGCCCGTATCCTCGTCGTCACACGTGGTGGCAGCTTCCTCTCAGCCGCTTTCAGATACGGCACGGTAGAAGACAAGACCCTGCACCGCTTCTTCTGGCGTGTAGCCCATATGTCTAGAGAGGCCCTCGGCTTTGATCCATCCGTAGTTCGGGCCACAAGCACTGATGAAGAGAAGCTGCTCAACTTCGCTAAACGTACTATGAACTCGGGCGATCCTCGACGAGCTCTCCTTCTGCACACACTCGGTCGCAACCCGAGGGCGCGCGTCCAGCCGTACGAGGCCACCATCACGCAGTGGCCATTACATCGCACGACAATCGGAGGCAACGCGTTTGTGATTGGACGCCCCGTTGTTCAGACCTCCGCACTTTACGGACCCGCACCTCGCGTTTTTCATGCTTTCCGCTTGGTCGAGTCCGCACAACAATATGCGCAACATGATCCAGTCACATTACGCCGTCTGTATTCGCCACCCGGGAAACAACGTCTACCACGGTGTACGGCAGAAGTTCACGAACATGCGCCTAGGTGCCAGCGACCCCTGGGTCTACCCTGTCGACAATACAGACATGGACGCCGTACTCGAGAATATCGCCAAGCTCACTTACGACCACTTGTCTCCGATCGATTTGAAGATATACAAGCGCATCTACACGAAGGCCACTGATGTGCCTGTCGAACCTCTAGAGGAGCCAGGCCCGCTCGCAGAATACGAACCATTGAGGAAGATCTTCGAGCGCTATTCAGACAAGAAGAACTGGAAAAAGAAGAACTGGAAGAAGACTACCGACTTGTTCACGAGGGCGCGACTCATCACCATGCACGAGAACAACTACGTGAGTTGTGTCGTCCACGCACCGGAAGAGAAGCCTTCCAACAAGTCGGGGCCAGCGAAGAAGAAGCAGAAGAGAGCGTAATACCACGAGTGGGATGAGCTTTGTATAGAACTGAATGCGTGTAGTTGGTTTTACTATCGGGAAAACTTGGCTCGGAAACTCTCCACTTGTTTGCGGAATCATTGTGCATAGTACGGATTGATACTATATAAAACAAGCTGTGCCGTGAACACAGGGTAGTTTGCGTGCAACTCCAGTAGGTACAACACTGATCGCCCTCCCACTCTAGTCAGGGACGAAGGCGTGGCGGAGAGCATGGCACAGGGACCCTAGGGGACCACGGAGAGTGCGTGACAGGAATCTGACTCACGGTATTACAATCTGCGCCTTTTTGAAGAAGTCGCAAGCCTCCTTGTCCGCCGCGCCATCATCGGAACTCCAGTTCCGGACGTCCGCATGGTGTCGGAAGACGGCCTTGAGCGGCCCGTGGGTTGCCAGCGGCCTCGCTTCCTGGAGATGTTGGAGCGGAATCGTGGATTGGTCGGAGGGCGCACCGTACGTCGTACATCACACCGTACTCGTTCAAGGAGACCTGAGCATGATGCTTGTAGCCGATCCCAGAGTTTTGTTGGTATGGACTCGGACCCATGATCTCCGCCGTTCGAAGCCGTCGAACTTGTCTGATCCGCCCCCGTAGACTTCGTCGTCTGCGAGATCATGGGATGGGCCGAAAACTTCTTCGACTTTGGTTCGTAGACGATCAAGGGAGGTCATACCGTCCGTGAGGCGTGTGGTCGAACCGTAAAACTAGGTAGCAGAGGACGTGTATGAACGACTCGATGTCGTCCGATAGATGGCTGGAAATGAGATATTAGCATATGTTTGAATGGTCGGATGCCCGACGAGGTACGTCTCGCCGGTTATCTCCATGTGGTGAAGGGGTGATCGCTTACTGACCTTCCGGGACCATCTAGGCATCTTGGACTTATGGAATAAAAGGTGGCGGAGCAGAGTGCGTGGAGGATCGGCAGTCGGCAATACCTTGGCATAGGCGAGCAGTCGCTTCTCGTCTTCGCTGGTCGCCGGTCGCTGGTCGCCGAAACAACTGGCTCCCGGTCGAAACCGAGAGTGACCTGGGAGATGTGCGCGACGCGCCAGAAGAAATGAAGCATTCGGTTTTCGCGTGTGCCGTAGAGGAAAGGGTAGTGATGAGAAACTCTCGGCGATCAACGAGGAGGAGTTGGGCCTCGTTGCAGAAGATGTAGACTGCGAGGAGGAGAGTACGCGGACGTATATATGTTTCAGAAGACGGGAGAGAGTGCAGACACGATGAGCACGTACAATCTCGACTTTCGCCTCTTGTTCCTTGCACACGCCACAGAGGCCAGTCGGGGCTGTATAGTAGAACTTGTCTCTGTCGTGCGATGCCGTCGGAGGGATCGTTGCCGGGAACGAACCTCTGCCAGGGCTCCTCGAACGGATGCGATAGTCTACAGCGCACTGATGGCGAAAGGTAATGTTGATGGTACAACTCGCATGGGCTCACATGCGCAACTTCTTCTCCATGTCAGCTTAGATACCCAGTGACTGGCTCATCTCCTCTGCCAAGGCAATTGTCGATCAGACAAGATGTAGATAAGGTGTAGCAATGGACTCACCTGGTGTCATGAAGCCGGTGCATTCGAGCGTCTCGTCGCGGCCCATGAGGATGTTGAGGTGGAGGTTGGATTGGGGGAATATGGGCATATGGGCATTCTAGGAAGGGAGCGTTGAAGCGAGGGTGGACAGAGACAAAATCGAAAGAACAAACCTGGCTCACAATCTTGCGCTCCATGAGGAGGCGCGTGAAGACCGAAGATCTGGCGCTGCATCTGAAGCTTGAGGTTGTCTGACAATATCCTGGGTCACCTCCCACTGAGAGAAGCTGAGCGAAGAGCACGACAGGAGCAGTGAAGTAGAACGCACGTTCGCAAGACCGTCCTTGACATTACTTGTGGCATGAACCTCCGCGGCGAGACTCCGGGGACCGTACTTGAGAGTGCCGTGAAGAACGAAGTTGTTGGAGGTGTCCTGCACGGAAGCATACGCCGTGCTCAGGGACTAAGCGGAGGTCTATAACGAGGTGAGATGACACCTCTGCGAAGTATGACTTCAAGTGCTCGCCACGGCGAATGAGGAGGAAAAAAGAGGAGAGTAGCGAACACCGTGTGCGCGAAGCGTCAGTCCCCCCAATGCGGGCGGGCGGGGATGTGAGGCTGTCGTGTCTGTCCTGCTCCGCCCCGCCTGCTTTTCTTCTGCCACGACGCCCTCGCACACCCCCACTCCTCTGCTCTTTTTTCTCCTCCCCCGCGCAGGATGGCAAGAGGTTGTCGCTGGGGTCGCTCGCGCAGCCAACCGCGAGAGCCTCCTCAACCCCGCAGACACCACCCGCGTCAAGCACACCCGCATCGGCATCTGAGATCTGTACGAGGAGACGAACCCCGCGCTCGACCACGTCCCCGGCTCGTCATGGCTCGAGAAGACGGTTGAGGCGGACGAGTGCCTGCCGTACCTCGTGCGCATCGCCATCCGGAGCTGCTGGACCATCCTCATCTCGTATGCCACTGCCGAGGTCCTCCACTCCCTCATTCCCGCCGCCGCCCTATGGTGAGCCCGCTTGGGTTGCACTCCATTCGCGCACTCAGCTCTGGGCAGCTCATACACATCGTACGTCCCTCCTCTCTCCAGCCTTCCGATGCCATTGCCGACTCCTGCATCAAGCGCACCTTCCCATCCACGCATCCGCACACCGTCTCCTGTGTATCAAGACGCAGATGAGCCGACCCAGTGCTTCACTGTCTAGCTCCAAACTACGATCGACACCCGCACCGTCGACGGCGACGCCCTCTTCCGCATTTCTCTCGCCGGCCGTCGCCCGCCGCGTCCTCAGCCCCAGATCCGCGATAACGTAGCCCTCGGCGACCCCACGAACTTCCGCAACGACGATCGCGTCCCTACCGCGCTAGAGCTCCGCGGCGCGCGACTGCTTCGCGGGCATGCCTTAGGGCGCGACTTTGCTCTTCGGCCGTCCGATCGACTGCTCGGGCGTGCGCAGCGCAGGGGGTATGGCGGCGCGCCAGGGCGGGGCGGCGCTCAGCGGCGGGCAGATGCAGCACCTCGCGGTCGCGCGGACGTTCATGCGCGCGGTCGTCGCCGAGGATGGGCGCGGGCGCGCGGGGGGCTGTTAACGCTGTTGGACGAGCCGAGCGCGTCGCCGGACCCGACGGCGGAGCATGGTGCGTGACTCTTGTATGTCAGAAGGATGGAAGCGGGGCTGACGTTGAGGTTCCGCAGATCTGTTCGGGAGGCTGAGGGAGCTGCGGGGGAACAAGACGTCGCACAGGTTCGGACGTCTGAAGCGCACGCGGATCTGATCTTGTCAGTATTGATGTTGTCTTGGGCGAGCAGCTGCTTACGTTCAGCGCAGGTATATGAACGACTCGGTGATCGTGGAGGAGGGCACACATGACGAGCCGATGCAGAAGCGGGGAGCCTTGTATGCAGAAGCAGGGAGACTCGTATGCGCGGATATGGATGTTGCAGGCGCAAGAACTTCTGCAATGCTCAACGAGCGCTTGCCAACAGAAACTTAAACCAATGCACATACATACAACAGTCCTTGTATGCGGCTCGAACTACTAACGGACACGCACCGACTGAACTCCACCTCATCCCCGCCAGCTACCCTCGCAATTCGCGCACCGCTGCTCAAAACATGAAACGTCCCGATCCGCTCACAGGTACCGCCGGCTCTCGGCGGAGCGGATCGTCTTCACGAGCCTCGCGGAACATCTCTCGAATGGAAGCGATCAAGACACCGGTGCGGTTGGGCCCCAGCTGGTCAGAACGTTCGCCCCCGAAGAGCTCGGCCGTATGCGTGTTCCGGGAGGGCTCACGGGGTGGATCTGATCGCCGATCGAGCCCAGTGAGACCGACCGATTGAGCTGCTTTGTGGCTGTGAAGCACGTTCACCGCAAGCGTAGCGCTTGCCCCCACCCCTTGCACGATCCATGGACTCGTGCGACCTTTGTTCGCGGTCTGTACGGCTCGAATGAGCGCGTTTTCAGGGCCCACACCTCTCGAGCGAGTATCCCGTTTACTCTTCAAGGCTATTCGCCAGTCGACGACCGCCACGCGAGCCTCGACGCATCGTAGTACACTCCATTCACGACGGTGTCGACCGCTAATTTGGTTTGACCCCCCACTTCCACGAAAGCTTTCCGACCTCGCCCTCATCCCGCATAGTCCTCCGTGTCGGCATTGATCCATTTATGGGAGCACCCGGCGAATCGCCACGCGCAGAATGGGACCAAGGACCTCTTGTCTCTGCATGGAGTCGCGAGGGTGGATGTCGGAGTGAGCAGAGAAAAATAACCATGCCCTAGAGCAGCATTTTTACGGGCATCGTCGAATGCGCGGCATCCACGCACACTCCACGCCCAGCGCAGGGGAGTACACGAGATACTGCGCGCTCAGTAGAACTCGACAAACCCGATCGATCTTCAGCGGGCGAGCGACAGCAGCAAACGCGTGTATTCGACTACAATATGGCAGTAAGATAGTAGCGGCGGCGTGGCGCACGCCCAAAACGAACGGTCACCAGTACTATTTTCGGCGGTGGCTGGCGCACCACCCAATGTACTCCTGCACGCGGCACGCGCGGCCGGCTCGCTCGGAGCCTCCAAAGCTCCAAGGCAGCAGACGCGGACTCAGGCGGGCCCAGGCTCGGCACTGCGCGAGCTCTCCGCCCGTCCGTGCCGCAAGGTATATACAGACACGCACATCCGTGCAGTCCGGAGATCGCAGCGGGGACCGTGCAGCTGGCTACCGCTAACCGTCCGCGCCCCCGCGCCGCCCCGCAGAGTCCCTGCTGATCCGCCACGACGGCGGCGCGAACCACGGCGGCCGGCTCTCCCCCGGGCTGCCCGGGCCCGCGCGGACGCCCGGGCCCGGCGGCGGCGCGTCGACGACGACCTCCTCCGTCACCTGCACGACCATCTGCGCGGGGAGCGAGCGCGTCTGGAGCGCGTCGACCTCGCGCTCGAGCCGCCGCTCCGCGCGCGACTTGGCGGCGGTCGGGGGCCGCGCCTTGGAGAGGCGCGCCTTGCGCGGCGGGGAGAACGTGAGCGACGACGCGTCCGAGGACGCGGACGTCTGGCGGTGGAGCGTCGAGGCCCCGGTGCCGGCGCTGCTCGGGCGGAGGCCGCCGTCGGCCGAGTGCGTGTGCGCGTGCGCGCGCGGCGGGAAGAGCGGCGCGGCGGAGTGCGGGGTGTGCGGCGGGGAGGAGACGGGGGGATACGAGTGCGGGGAGCGCGGGGAGGCCGCGGTCGCGGGCACGGTCTCGTACGCGTCCTTGTCGTCGTGCGGGTGGATCTGCGAGGACGTGTCGTCGTCCGCCGGGCCGTAGTGGTCGTCGTCGTCCGAGGCGCGCTCGAAGGTCATCACCGGGGCACCGAGGTTGCCGACCATGAGGGTGTCGAACGCCTCCCATCCGGTCTCGATCTCGCTACGAGTGGCGGGCTGTATCACGCGTTTGGAGTAGATGGTGGACCGATCGGCCTCGGAGAGGCGGTAGTGATCGCCGGAGACGTGCGAGGCGATAACGGGACCGCGCCTGAGCACTTCTGATCGGAGGTTGAGCATGAGTCGGGAGACCATGAGACTCGTGATCCTGACAGGGTGAAGATGAGCAGAAGGGAGATAAGCGGCAGATGGAATGCATACAGAGTACTGAAGGAAGCATTGATGACTTTGAGATCGGGCTGTCAGATTCGGTTGAGCACAGCGATCATACCCACCAAAGGCAGCAAACAGATGTACCGTAGCAAGCTGGAAAAATAAGCACGTTTCCATCAGTATTCTCTTCACCCGAAGTAAAGGACATTATAGAGACGTACCACGAAGATCAACACGGTGACCAGATTGCTCACAAAGATGGCAGCAAAGTACATAACACCTATGGCGGCCGCATCAGCATCACGATCGCCGAAGGTCCTTGGTTTGCGCTGCGGCCAGATCCATCGCAGTTGAGACAACCCAGTCGCTCAATGCAGAAAGCCATATGGGACGCCAAGACGACACTGCTGCGCAGAGCAACAAAGTAAACCACACTCACCATCGCGCATGATGACCGTGATAAGCGATTGCGCCTCTCCGATCATGGTGCGCCTGTAGAGCTGGATCGTGCGATACAGCGTCGCGAAGAACACACACGAGTCTGAGAGCGTGGAGAGGGTTTCATGTGCCGTGCGAGTACCATGGGAAGAAACGGCCGAGGGGCTTGTAAGCGTACTTCCATACGAAGATAGAGCGCGAGAAGACGCACCAAAGACTAGTTCAGCGACCCAGGTGTAAATAAGCCTATCGCCTCTGTGGGAGCACACCGAGACATGTGAGCACGAGTAGAGACGGGAGCGTCGATCTCGCGGCGGCCGATTCAAGGTGCGCCGGGAACGGTTGCAGGGGAAGGGGGCACGGCAAGACTCACGGCGCCGATTTCCCAGTGAGGATGCATCCGACAAATCCTAGCGCACAAAAAAATCAGCCGCCATGGAAGGGTTGGATGCGGAGTCAACGAGACTCACCTGGTGGAAGCTGGAGCATGGTGCCATCGGTGAAAGCCCACTGTGACAGCGAACCGTTATGGCGTCAGCAACGGAACGCGACCAAACAAGTGCCGTGACTTCAACGGAAAGGAAGACATACGATCTTAATGGCTAGCTCTGTCGCTAGGAGCATCGTGAAGCTGTATAGCACGACCTTGCTCTTGGAGTATATGGAGTATAACCGTAGAATAAAGATGACTGTCAAATACAGTCAACAACGTAGAAAATGGAAGGGATTGGCCACAACGTACTTCCGATGGTAGCTGAGATAAAAATCTTCAGCACCTCGGGGTAAAGTATATAGCGTTCGCATGCAGGCTTGCCCCAGTCGGGATCCTGGAACGCTATGTTGAAACCCATATCAGTCAACAAACGCCGGTGACGGTTGATTCCGACGGCGGCGGCTACGCACAGACGATGATCACGATGTAACCAAGAGGAGAAAGGTAGCGGTTCTAACGGAGTATGGGGTCAGCGCGTCGTGCGCAGCACAAAGTCGAGGGAGCGGTCACTCACGAGAAACCACAAGACCGTGGCCCCTGTGAACCGCTGCTTCCATATCTTCTCCACTTCGTCTCCGAACGTGATTGCAATGTCGTAAAACAGCATGACTGGGAGGCATGGAAGGCGCCGTTAGTCGACGGCTCCACCGAGACTATAGATGGATCCGACGCACCACACGACGCGAGTGAATACATCTTCGCGGCGAGCCTGCAGAGGTGTCCATGTCGGTCCCAGTCAGCACACGACATCCCCGTCGAGGCAAGCGAGGACCCTAGCAGTGCGCGGGGAGGAGCCGCATGGCTCGGGGAGAGCGGGTGCACTTACAGATGGTCTGCAGCCGTGGCGAACTGCTCCGGGGTCATCTTGGCGGTATGAGGGTCACGCGCGTCGGGCACGCCTGGGGAGGCGGGCTTGGGGGAGACGGCGGACGGCGAGGAGAGCGGGCGGCGTCAGGTGGAGGGATGGGTATAAATGAACGGGAGGGAAGACGGCCGCGGGATGGACGGAGGAGAAGAGGAAGGGGAAGAGCGAAAGGTCCGCGACACTTCGCGGGAAAATAGTGGACGATTCGCGCATCGCCGAGCGATCTGAAAACGAGCCCGGGGCGCGGGCGCACGTGTGGATGCAGTGGGAGGCTGGCGTCGGTTTGAGACCAATGGGAGGTGCTTCGCGACGACACGGCGCCCGCTAAGCCTTGTCGAAGCTGGCACATCTTCGAAGGGTGTCACTGACGCTGTACCGCCGCGGCCATGATTGATTGACGCACCCTTGCATGACGTTCGAGGAGCCTCTGCGTTTGTGCGGCCTTTGCGGCCCGCGCTTCGACATAGATATGTTGTGAAACTCCCTTCGCGCCTTCGAGCCTTCGTTCATGTCCGCCTAACAGCGCTGTGATAGACGGTAGCCGGCACCTGTGTACCAATCAATGTATCAATTTAGCAATTACGATTCCAGGTCGTAGTAGAGACCAGGTCACCGGCTGATCTCGCGGGTGTTGCTCCCAGCGCTCCATCCCGGCACCGGCGCGGTTCCACATCCACCGATCTGTCAATTCTGCCCTCTTGCCGCCACTCCACCCGACACACGGTGAGTTACATGTTACGCCACGGACAGGAGCTTGGGAGCAACGCAACAAACCACTTCAGTCTTCCCAAAACATGTGTCGGCCCCACTCCCCCGCGACACGTCAGCAACTTTTGATCGCCAGCGGCGCATGCCCTTCGCGTGTGACTCGTGCCAGGCACCGTAGTAACAGCGCGCACACCCAGTACGTGAACCTGCTCGACAACCCCACTCGTTGCAGCCCTTTGCAGCCGCGCTACGACGACGAACAGATATCCATGCGTGCGAGGGGTGGTCGATCAGGCACCCCACGGTGTGCTCGCCGCTCGGGGCCGTCTTGAGGTCATCCTTCATTGCATCACGAACAGACGCGTCGCGCAGCACTGGACCTAATTGGAGGATTAGACACCGGAGTCTATCAAGAATCGAAAGTCCAACGCACTAGACAATGCCCCTCATGATACCCGATTCTGGGCTTAGTCGCCGAGTGATATGTTCTTGGTTCCTTATGAAGCCTCTATAGGTCTCCTGCGCCGAACAACAATGGGTGGGCCTATGCCGACCACCGCCGTTCTCGAGGGGCAAGTTTTTTGAATGAATAGAAGATCCCGGAGATTGAACGACAATCCGGCCCTTGCAGCAGTCGTGGGCCTTATGTATACCTGCTCCGAGCGCGTTATGAGTTCTTCTACGTTTTGATCTGCCTTTGCCGGCGCGCACTGCGGATATGTCAACACTAGAGGCACGTACCTCTCGCGTCCCTTCCACATTTTGTTCACTCGCCTATCACGTGTGTGCATCCATCTTGCCCAATCCATACTTCATGAAACTTCCCTGCCGGAACATCAATCCTTGCGCCAGGCCCAATTTCTCCTTTTTGCTGCGGTCGTCTTCGGGGTAACGAACCGTGAAGCTACCCGACAGAATGAGGTGCGTCGTCAAGCCGTCGTGACGGTGCGGCGGGTAATGCGTGTTCCTGCAGACACGGGAGCGCAGTTAGCATCACCGAAAAGCCACTATAATCGCGGAAAAGGCTAAGCGGGTTCTGCGCATCTCAACAACGCGGCGGCCCCCGCGTCAAAACATGGTGGAAGCGACGGCTCTCTAGCTTTCCGGTCGAATGCACAGCGCGAAGGACTCAGGAAACAGAGAGGGGCGACACCAGACAAGTACCACGGGGGTCGGTCCATGTGTAAACTGTGGAAAAGCCCCACGAACGCACTTGCGGCTCTGCGTCTTGGCGGGAAATGAACAGTCCATGAGTAGGTGATGGGCAGCTAGGGTCGATGAGTGACAATGACAGATGTCGTGAGACGATGAGCCGGTGATTGGAGGATTTACGCGTACGTGTGAGCTCCACAACGCGTGGGCTGCTGTCTCGACTAGGTATGGGCTCGGGAGCTCCTAAAGTGGAGGCCCCGAATTCCGGAGGCTGCGAACCATTTGGTCATTTGACGAACATCGGCTTCAAAGCTTCGACGGTGCAGCAATTTGAAGGCCTACTTGCTGTCATGTATGCTACCAGTAACCGGTTGGAGCCCAGTACTTGGTGGCGCAAGTCCGAAGTCTTTTGTCGATCGCGACCGCGTAAGCATTTCGGAGAAATCAGCAAGCAGCTTGGGACAAGACAAGCATAGAGATCAAGTGAAGCAAGTCCGTGAGCGAAGGTAGCTTGCATTGTGCAACAAGGCGTGAGCGGCCGGCGCACAGTCGCCACAGGGCCTATGTCACCCTGTCACCCCTGGGTACTCGGTCACACATTCCGCCGCAAGACTGCAAGCGTGTACAAGCATATGTACATCTCACACTTGCCACCATCTTGCCACGCAATTCCCCAACATCATTGGTCTTCCTGGCAGAAAGTCAAACAACGCAGTCAACTTCTTGCCTACACGAACGTCAATGCTGCTTTCATTTGTCCCACTGATGTGTACAGTATCGCAACGCATGTGCAAATCTCCCGCCCATGCTAAGACGGTTTCCCTTGTGACCAACACCTCTCTCAAATCCGAGCGTACGTCCGTCGCCTCGGACGAACGTTTCGGCGTCTCCGCCGGCTCTTCCATGCCCTTCTCTCGGTGAGTGTCCGCACCGGTATTCATAGGGCTAGGCGTGCGGAAGCTTTTCGGAGGTTTTGCTCTGCGGAACAGGAGGAAGAGAAGGCCGGATGGAGTGCGGCCGGGCCATATCACATCTTCAACCAGGAGAATACAGAGCGCGGCTCGAGAAGCGGTACGAAATGGCTTGGCTTGTGAGCGCGGTTACGCTGGCTCCTCACAGCTTCGGATCGTTCATTGTGCGGTCCACATACTCAAAGGTCCGGAGTCAAGTCATCTAATGTCGCCTTACCTCCCTCACGTTCCTCGCGACGCACATTCCAAAATCCCAATTCTGCCGATGATCCTCGTCTATTATTCATGCACCTTGGGTCGCTCTTTCCTTCGAGAAAACCCAGCGCCGCTTTTGCTGTTCATGCGTGCCGTGCAGCCTGGTCATTTCCAATGCCACCAGACTGAGGATTTCCGTCGCTTCCGGTCTAATCCTGGAACGCCACTGCCAGGGGACGCCACGCGCAATTCGGACAGGTGATGTATTCGTCGCCAGCCGGACTTTCAAGAGAGCGTTCGCGGACGCCCTACTTCGATGCTAGTGTGGTCAACATACTGGACGAGAGGTTCACACTGGTCTGCTGATGCTCCCCCGTTTCCGGCTTTTCGAGGGGGTGACAAGCTTGGCTCTTGGGTAGGTAGGCCTGGCATACTCAGTGTAGGCTGCGGTGCGGGTACTTATTACGCGGTCATAAGTCTGCTTCTGCTATTCGGTATCCCATGCCACCGTCGATCCTCCGCATCCCACTCGGACGGTGAAATTCGTTCTGGAGCGCTCTGAGTCAAAGGAGGTTCGCAAGGTGCGTCAAGCGACTTCGTCCTTGTGCGTATGCTCGACCAAATTTTGCCGATTTCGGAAAGAAGATACAGAAGATACCATACAAACTTGCGGGATAAAGCGGAGGATGTACGGAGTTCAGATCCTCGCCTGTCACTTGTCCGTCCAGGGTAGAGTATCTACGTTTGCGCATCATGGCGAAGGTACGAGCGATTATTGCGCCGTTGCTATTGCCTCTCATTTACGATCCGCAGAGCAAACGTGGACGGCCATGCCGCATGGCTGTCACGACAGATGTGTAAACTCAACTAAATACAGTGTGATGTGACGTGACACGCCGACGAGCAAACGAACGGTCTCTCGGTGAGCATAATGCAATGGCGCACCATCCAGTATATTATATTTGCGATGGGGCGTATAAATTTGTAATCTTGGAGAGACTTTGATCAACGTCGGGATGTAGAGGCTGCAGTTGAACGTTGAAGGACGCGTCGCTGTTGGCATTGGTGACGGGCGACGAAGCTGGACTTCGATCGGCGAGCCAGAAGGTCTATTCTCTGTAGTGCGTTGATCGTTACGGGCTAGGCCAACGCGAGAGTAATCATACAGTGTAGTTGCATGCGAATGGGTTCGACTAAGCGCTCAATGTCACGCCCAACTATTCAGTCACGTTGATGTCACAACGAAATTCGAGTCTGGAGGCGAAGGTGCGCAGGCTCGTGCTTGTATGCGCTACTACTGCTAGATCTTGCTCTTGCCATCCCCTTCTTCCGCCCCGCGTCGTCGCCGCCATGGGCCTCCCGGCAGGAAAACGAAACAGCGCATCCCCAACGACCCGCGCAACCTCTCCTGGGCGAACGGTGCGCCCGCCTCCCCACCACATTTTCTTTCCTCTGACCACGCTCCCGACGCCTCGACAGATGCGAGTAAATTCGGTGCGGCGTATCTCACCAAGCTCGGCTGGGACCCTCGCGCGGGCTCGGTGTGGACGGCGAGGGCCGCACGAAGGCCCTGAGCGTGACCCAGAAGCTCGACATGCTCGGCATCGGCGCGGACCACAGGAACAGCGCGGAGGGCCTCGCTTGGAAGCAGAACAAGGATTTTGAGAACCTGCTCCGCCGCTTGAATGCGGTGAATGGAGACGGGGAGGAGGAGGAGGAGGAGGAGGAGGAGGAGGAGCCGATGAAGATCGACGGGTTCGTCCGTCCGTCTGCCTCCAATGTGAGTGCGAGCCAGGAGGACGCGGAAAGTGCTCCTGAGATTGCTGGAGAATCTCCTGCGGACGAGGGCGCGGCCGAGAAGAAGAAGAAGAAGAAGCGGAAAACGACGCGCAGGAGGACGATGGCGAGAGGAAAAAGAAACGCAAAAAGAGCGCACCATCAGACAACGAGACGTCGGATGTCGAGCGTAGTAACAAGAAGGACAAGAAGAAGAAGAAAAAGACCTCCGCGGAGGGATCCGCGGTCGATTCACCAGCACCAGCCACTTTAATCCCGACTCCTGCACCTACACCTTCCTCATCGTCCTCCACCCCTGCGGTCGGAAAGCCGAAACAGTGAGTACCAAAAACCGAATGCCATTCATCCTTCATTTGGTGTTAATGCACGACTCCCAGCCCCCGCGCAGCTTTCCGAGGCCGGCACATGGCGTCGAAGAACCTCGCGTCCAAGTCTGCCTCCGCTATCGCCGAGATCCTCGGCATCTCCGACTCATCCACGCCCACCCCCGCCATCTCCAGCTACCCGTCTTCTGCCCCACTCCCTACCCTAGTACGCCCTTCGACGCGGCCCGAGCGCCGCGACCCCAACCGATGCACTCAAGCTACAAGAGCTGACAGTGTCGAGCAAGAGCGTAATGGACTACTTCAAAGAGAAGCTCGCGGCGAAGAGCAACGCGCGCATCTTCGCGTCCCCCTCTACTCCCGCGGACGCGAACGAGGAAGAGGCGATGACCGGCCGCGCATGGGGCTGGGCGCGTCGAGGCTCCGCGTCGGGTTCGCTACGGCTGCCGCGGACGAGAGGGAGGAGGACGCGGACCGGGGCGAAGGGCGGCGGGGGCTTGGCGGGATCGGCAGCGGGATGCGGTTGCAGTTTGCGGCCACGTTCCCGCCGGCGACCGCTTCTGCATCGGCGGAGCCTGCGCCAGGGCCCGATCCAGAGGAGCGGCCAAAGAAGAGCAGGAAGAAGGATGAGGAGAAGAAGAACAAGAAGAAGGAGAGCAAAGCTGACGAGAACGGTGGTGCGGACAGTGCAGACGTGGAGACGGGTGTCGAGGACGAAAAAGCGGAGCGGAGAAGGAGGAAGGAGGAGAAGCGACGGCGCAAGGAAGCCGACGCACGAAGTCAGGCCCAGGCTCAAGATTCAGCAGGCGTGGGGGAAGGAGAGCCTGTGGACGGAGAGCGCAAGCGCAAGAAGGAGAAGTCGAGGAAGGATCGGTGAGGCGATGCTCTTCTGCGTAGGCTTGCTTTCCGTGCTTGTTCCGCCGCGTTGGGTATATCCACGCAATCTCATACGTCTTCTGCTCCCTCTCGCCCGCTCGCGGAACAACGCTCCCTGCTCTTCCTTAGTGTGCGCTTTTCATGCAAGCCCAAGAATGTTTCGTATTCGTGGGAAGCACCATGTCACTGCGCACTGGGAAGCAGCAATCGCTTCCGTTATCAGAAACTTGAACGCCCTCATTGCAGTCATTTACCTTCTCCACCCTTCGCGCGCAGGAGCGCAACGCGCATTCTCCCCCAGCTAGCTTGGAACGCGCCGTCAGCGTGCTCCGCTTGACCAGTGGAGTGTGTCAATCATACTCTCCGGCGAACTGCGGCTAAAGGTGCGCTGACTTGTATATCATATCCAGCGTCATTGCATTGCGTTTCTGGTGCGGACCACGAATCGTACGTATTTTCCTGCGCAAACGGGCACTTATCTAAGGATGGACGCCGGGATTGTCGCTCGTGGTACAGAATATAAGAGATAAGGACATCCGTGACTCGGGAACGCAGCACACACCTTCGGCATGGCATCACCCCAGGGAGCCCCTTACGGGGTTCTGTACGACTACCAGAAAGTACACAACCTCGCTGAACTCCGCGTCAAAAAGCCCCTCAAGGACCTCGCCAATGCCAACATCAAGTTCGTCCGCATTCAATGGATCGACTACATCAACACCGTCCGCTTCCGGGTCGTCCCCACTCGCTACTTCCTCGAGATGCACGGGATTCGCAATGGAGCCGAGGCTGTCGCCCCCGCCAACAATGTGCGTCCCGGGATTGGGCTCACCAAGGCATCGCTCGGCCTGGTGGGTCTCAATGTCGCCCCGGGGTTCGGAGCGGTGGGGGAGCACCTGTACGTGCCAGACCTCTCGAGCTGGCGCGTATGCACGTACGCCCCGGGTCACGCTTCGGTGATGGGCTATCTCCAGGAGAAAACACCGCACCCCCAGCATGGGCTGACGGTACCGCTGTGTCCGCGGACGCTGTTGAAGAGGATCGTAGAGTGAGTCTCTCTCGCTCCGTAGTTCGCGTCTGCTGACTGCCAGCATCGGCCGCAGCGATGCCGAAATGGCGGGCATCCGCTACCTCGTCGGCGTCGAGTCCGAGTTCATCCTCCTCAAGCAGACCCGTCCGGCCCCCGTTTTCGCCGCGATCGGCGACTGGTCGTGCTCGTCCAAGACGCGCACCGGCAGCGCCGAGGCCGCGATCCTCGAGCGGATCGCGACCTGCCTGCTCGACGCCGGAGTCGAGCTGCAGATGTACCACGCCGAGGCGGCGCCCGGCCAGTTCGAGGTCGTCACGGGCCCGCTGCCCCCGCTCGAAGCCGCGGACGCGCTCGTGTTTACGCGCGAGACAATCTACAACGTCGCGCACTCGCACGGCTACAAGGCACCTTCGCGCCGCGCCTCCACGACGATTCGTGTGAGCCCTCTCCTTGCTCCCCACCTCGAACACTCACCACCCCCACCCCGTCCAGGCGGCTCCGGCGCACACACGCACATCTCCCTCAGCACCTCCTCCCCCGCGCCCCCCGCGCCGCCGACGCCGCGCTCGCGCCGACGCTCACGCCCGCCGAGCGCTCCTTCCTCGCCGGCGTGCTCGCGCACCTGCCCGCCGCGCTCGCGCTCACGCTCCCCACCGCGGCCTCGTACGCGCGCATGCGCGACGGCGTCTGGGCCGGCGGCACGTACGCGTGCTGGGGCACGTACAACCGCGAGGCGCCGCTCCGCGCGTGCGGCGGCGCGGGCGCGCACCACTTCGAGGCCAAGTGCGTCGACGGGACGAGCGCGCCGCACCTCGCGCTCGCCGCGCTGCTTGCGGCGGGCACGCGTGGCGTGCGGGCGGGAGCGTGCTCGAGGTCGGGGACTGTGCGAAGCCGGTGGCGGAGATGAGCGCGGAGGAGCGGGAGGCGGTCGGGCTGGGAGAGGGGCGGGTGAAGAGGCTGCCGCTGAGCATTGGGGAGGCGAGGGAGGCGTTGAGGAAGGATGCGGTGATGCGGGAGATGCTGGGGGAGGAGTTCGTGAGTGCGTATCTGGGCGTGAACGAGGTGAGCAGAGCGGCCGTGCTTTTCGGGCACGTTGCTGACGATGTATGCATGGTGATGCAGCTTATGGAAAGGTGGATGAAGGGAAAGGACGAAGCAGAGACCACGGTCAAGTTGGTAGAGTACTTTTGAGCCGATGTCGATGGCTTCTGTGCAGCACGGTCGCTGAACTTTGAAAGGTTTGTAGGGTCTGGATGCAGGGGTGCCCTTACTCGTGGTCGAAACATCCGCGTCTGGGCTTGTGCGCGCCCGCAGCGCGCAGTGATTTGATATCTCCGTGCTCCTCGGAAAGGTTTGAAAGTGTACAGGGCTGAGTCGAAAAACGTCCTGGTGGCTCCGCGAAGACGCAAGGTATGAACGACTGATGCCTTTCCGATCGGTTGGCGGGCCATACGCCTCGGTTCGACGGTGCACGCCGCGATGTTGACAAGGCAAGCGCCGCAACACTACTGGTGCCCGGAATGGATGTCGCTGTGCATGGAGGAATGCGCAAAACCGGCGCAGAGTTCATCCGAAGATTGAATTAGCGTTGGCGTGGGCGTTCCTGGCGAGTCGGTCCCGCGTCAATCTGACGAGTCGGATGCGAGAAGCGATGAATGGCGGAGTTGTCGTGTGTATCGGGGACATGTAAACCACTGGTTCCCTAACAAGGAATGAGATGACCTAGAGGAATAAGATAGCACAGAGTTGTGGATGGTGAGCTGGGCTGGCAATACGGAGGTCGCGAACACGCGCGCGGAGATAGGGCTCGGGTAGAGGTACGATGATGTCGGGACGGAGGTATAACATTGAATGCCCGAAGGAGCGAAATGGTATTAAACTGTCAATATCCAGTGACCGCCGCGGAGCGTCGCGTACATGGGAACATGTATGGTCGTCCTACGTGCGCCTGAGCTGGTCAGGTCGGCCGACATATTTCCGCAGCGAATGAGGGACTTGCTAGAGCCGATATTATGGGCAACAGTTGCCGGCGAACACGAAAATTTGGACACAAACGAACCAGAATAGGTAAGGCGGACTCCTGGGGCTGTCGGAGGTGAGGGATAGGAAAAGTTGGCGGGTATGAACCCCGAAAGACTTTACCTTGTCGGTCATGGCCCTCCGCGCCTGGAGAACCACAAAGGGCTAGCGGCCGGGGCAAGATCCCGTGGCCTGTTTCCCATCTTGTGGTCGCAGTCGAGAGGAGAGCGCGCGGAGCTGGAGGCGTGCCTGGAGTAGCGGGCACGCAAACGCAATCAGCGGGCGCGCGCCCGATGCGCCGGGCAGGCGATTCCGATCGACTGGATCGCTCGGTCGGCCTCGGAGCCTGACAGGCGAGACCGCCGCTCGGGCGACGGGAGGACGGCGTCGCGGAGGCGCAGTGGACGCGCGCGCGGAGGCTCGCCGGGCAGCGCGGTGGGCCCACCGCGGGCGGGGAGGGGTCTGGGGAAGCAGAGCCTGGAAGTCAGACTCGCGTGGAGGCCGGCTTCGTCGGCTGCGGGACAGCGGGCACTAGCAGAGGCGCGCTGGCCCGCGTCAAGCCTCCCTGAGTCTCTCCGCGCCCTCGACGCGATCTCTCAGACCGCCGTCTTGTCTCGCTCGATTGCCCCCAAAGATGCTCAAGGTTTTCGACGAATCCGATCACGCCTGCCACCGTCAGCCGGATCCAGGGGCTATGTTCTCCTGTGTCTATTACCACCCCCGCTCGCTCGCCCTCCTCTCCCTCCCCTGCCTCCCCTCTCCCCGCCGCCCCCGCCTTCCCCCCGCACCCGTCGTCTACCGCGTTCAGCCACCCGTCCAACCACCCGTCCCCCGTCCTAGCACGATGCCGGGTGAGTCCGCCCTCCGTCCCACTCGCGCCCCCGCCCCCGCACCCCGCGTCCACCCTCGCCCCGGACACGACGGCTCTCGTCTCCACCTTCTCATCCTCAACCACGATGTTCTCGCCACCATCGCCGACTCCTGCGCATCCCGCGACGCCCTTCATCTCGCCATGACCTGCAAAGGCGCCTACGCGTTCGCCTACCCTCGCTTCCTCTCCGACGTCACCCTCGGTGACCATGATCCGAGCGAAGACGATGGCCCGCGCCGTCTCAAGCAGTTTTGTGAGCACATGCTCCGGAACCCAGAGCTTTTCAAGCACCTCCGTGCCCTCCGTCTCCGAGGCGGTTCATTCGCCTGCGAGTCCAACGCGGGCCCAAGAGGAGGATGGGACGCCAACTACTCTGCTGCGGACAGCTTGACCGACCTCCTCTTCAAGGCAGTCAACCTCCGAGTCCTGCAGATACGCGACGCAGAGCCCGTCTTCCAGTCGCACCCGCTCGTGTACGAAGCCATCGCTAGCCTCCCCTACCTCAAGGAGCTCTCCCTCTACTACATCGGTAACTCCACTCTCAAGTGCATGTCTCTCCTCCAGAGTCGCCCCAACATCATAGAGAACGGCCTCTGGAAGGACGGCCCGCGCCCCCAAGGCGACGTCACTCCTTTCGGTCACTACGTTCAGTCGCTCCAGCATCTCAAGCTTTGGGAGTGCGGTGTATGCTCGAGAGCGTCGTCGACCGCCACATCTGGCTCAACGTCCACACCCTCGACATTGGCGGCCGGATTGCCAAAATATCGGAGCTCGCGCATGTGTTCCCCAACCTCCGCCGGCTCACCTTCTTCCTCGAGTTTTCCATCAAGCCGGAGACCGGCCCCGTCGTCTGCTGGCCCGAGCTCGACTACCTCGAGACGAGCGCTCCCCTCCCCTCCTTCCCGTCGCCCGCACGCCGGCTCCAGCTCCAGTACTCCATTGGATCCAAGACCGGGTCTCGAAACGACCTGAAGACATTGCCGCTTCTGGAGAAGACGAACCCTGTCGTCCTCTCGTGCACCATCTCTCAAGCGGTCACCCCAGAGATGGTCGAGCGTATGAGCGTAGCGGTACCTTCTGTCCGCTATTCTGAGGTCGTGATCAACGACGGGTCAAGCGGGCACACCAGTTTGTCATACTCAGACTTTGACAAGTGGCTGGTGCGTATTGGTACAACTCACTCGTCCGAACGGACCGAATGTTGCTGCGTTCGCGCTGAGCTGACTCACTATCTCTGGCACAGGACCGTCACCTCGGCATTATTGGAAAGGCGAAGCCCGAGGGTCTATGCATTGGTTATTCAGGCTCTGGTGGCCATGAGGAACAGTTTACAGCCGCGGCAAGCAAGACCGCGTCCCGGGTCCCGACGCTGAAGTACGTCGCCGTCGGCCTCCACCACGAAAGGGAGGGCATGTACTCGTTCAACAGCCTCTGGTTCACAATCGAGAGCCGAGAAGATCCTGAGGCTCCGGTCCTCAAACGCGTTCCCGCTGCGGATTGCGAGTCGCTACGAGAGCGGCTGCTCAACCTGCCGAGGGCGACGTTGTCTGCCTGAGGGGTCGGATGGAGGTCAGCCGTTCGCGCTCGGTCCCGTGCGCCTGTCGTGAGGATTCTAACTCTGTGGGCGTGCCGCAGACTTCTTCTCTCCGGTTCTCAATCTGCATCGGCGTCGGGCGCTTCTGGGATGTGATCGATCGGCTGCCCGAAGGATCCCCCACCACATTCCGTCGAGGCAGGTCTGGGATGGGCACGGTCGTCTGGTCCGTCGATACCCACCCTCCAGACTGCTCTTTTCGGGTCCCTCACGCCTCACCACACACTAAAACACTGTCTACAATTGATCTGTATATCTTTAGGTCTCCGCGCTCTTCAGCCTCCTCGATCTTTTCTTTGTCATCTATCACACCATCTATCGCTGTAACATAGTTTCCGCTCTCCACGGCTTCTTGGCTCCCTACGTATCTGCCTCACCCTACCCTGTCCAACTGCTAAACTTCGCGACACTTGGCCTTCGCGCACCGTTTATACACGCCTGCTCTCCCTTGCCGATCTCGTCTCGTCTCGTTCACACCCTACATAGCGCCACGCCGCACTGTCTTGTGACGGACTGTATTCAACAATCGCCCCTCCCCTCTCACGACCATCCGCCGCTAGCGGGGCGCGGTCACTCACTGAGCGGGCCTCCCACGCCATACGAACCCTGGACCGCCCATGTCATCCCGACAAGGTCCCCGCGCGGCTTCCAGGCGACGTCGCTCGACGCTCGGCACGTCCGAGCACGAAATCCAGGAATCGCGGAACAAGGCCAGGTAGCCACCCGTGCTCTCTGTCACGGATTCATTTTGATGCTCCCGAGTTCCGGCCAGAAGCCCCCCTCCGGCTGCTTGTGCAGCGAGTGTGCCCGTCGACCCGGGACCGCGTCGTGGGCGCGCGCGCGCGTTGCGGGGGTGCACGACATGGCGTCGCTTGAGTGTATCCACACTCCGGGGTCGACTCGCTCGGGGCTCGCACGCCAGTCGAAGGACGGCTCGCGATCGATGTGGAGGCTCCGATGCATACGGGTGCGCGCCCTCGGGTGGCCAGGGCTCCGTCGTTCGCTTCTGCGCCCCCTACGGATCTGGGGGTGGGGATAGACAGGCCAGGTGGGGGATCAATGAACGAATTGCGCGCGCCCCCGGCGGAGGGCACGCGAGCGGCCCCGGGGAAATCTCGCGCGGTGGCGTTGGATTCGGACGTGCGCCGCGCATTGAGTATGTCGACAGAGGCTCCGCGCGCGCGCCAAGGCCTGGCGTGCACATGGGGCACGGGACCCGCGTGCGTGAGCGCGAGCTGCGTGAGCGCGCTCGTGGCTGCCCAGTGCCTTCTGCCTTTTGGGTTCCGTGCATTCTGCGCTTGCCCTGCAGGGCTCCGCGCGCAGCGGCGCGGATCCGGTGGGCGAACCGGCGTGCGCTGCCTTCGCGCGCTGGGGGTCCCGTGGCTCGAGAGGCCGGGGCTGGCCATGCGCGCATGAGAGCCTTGTGCTCGAACGGGCAGGACGGGGACGGCGCAAGGTCAGAGAGATAAGGCGGAGAACATGCTACATATCCAGTGGCATCGGCTCTTCGTCCGCGGCGCGCGCGTGCGCGTATATGTCTGCGGACGGGCTTGGTGGGCTCTTCTCAGCTCTAGCCCAAGTGCGTCATTGCCAGAGCTTGCCCGCGCGACGTTGGTCGCCGGGGTTCAACGTTCAAATGTTCCCAGCTGTGAGCACCCCCGCCCGGTCCCCCGACTGTCTGGGTGAGCGCGGCGCTTCAAGGCCTCAGGCTCACATATGCGGGTGCGTGCATGCACCGTGCCCCGTCGCGCCACTCGCCACTCGCAGGCGAATTCGAATATCGTCCGGTCGGTCGAGCACGATGCCCAGAAAAGCCGGAAAAGCCGCGAACGAGGCATTCCACGGTCCACTGCGCTCCCACTGCCAGCGGGATTTCTGCGTTCCCAGCTACGGGCAGGGCGCGACATCGATGGCGTCCTGGGCCCATCTTGGCAAGGGCGCGGGAAAGGGTGTCCGCGGCCGGTTGGTGGTGCCGTAACGTGCATGGTCCGGGTTTCTGGGGCTTCCGGCTGACGAGGCTCTTCGTTGGTATCACCGCTAGGCTTGCACATGACAGGGCGGATGGCTGATAGAGTCTGCTAGCGAACTGTGACGAGATGCGAGGGGGGCGTTTGCGAGCACGTTGACTTCAACGAGGCTGATGGACGGGCGAGGTGAGCACATATAGATACCGGTGGACTGACTGGATAGAGGGCTCCTCGCTCTCTGCAACAAGCCCAGAGTGAGTGCGAGCTCGAACTTCTGTGATGGCGTGGGGGGGCATGTGGCTTTTGACGTGAGGCATGAGGGCAAGAAGGCAGCTATCGCGGCTCAGGAACGGCGCAGATAGTCACGTGGGGGAATCAACACCATGGCCTAAGTAAGCTTGCAATATTGAGATAAGAGAGCTTGAAAGCCCTTGCTTATAGCTCCCAATAGCTGCATTGACAGCGCATTAACTGAAGGCTTTCATCAGCCACAGCCGGCTAACGCCGGTGGCTGGGAATCTTCGGGGTCCTGTTGAGTCAAGAGGGGGAAACCAAACAGTGACCAACAAAGGCCTCTCCTGTAACCGTCTTGCTCGCTGTTGACGACGGCGTCCATGATGCCTGCCCCCTTCTCCACCCCGCACGTCCCGGTGCCTCTCCCTGCGCTCTACCTCTATCCCCTCAACGACTCTTTCGTTCCCAAGCACATTTCCCTGGTCAACAGCCAGCGCGTCAAGATCGGCCGTCAAACCAACGCCAAGACAGTCCCCGCAGAACGCAATGGATACTTCGACTCGAAAGTTCTGAGCCGGCAGCATGCAGAGGTCTGGGAGGAGAACGGGAAGGTATGTTCATTCGCCCGCGACTCGTCCCCGCGCAATTCGAACCTAGCGCGCTCAACGCATACACCCACTCCCTGCTTCACACAGATCTATATCAAGGACGTCAAAAGCTCCAATGGCACTTTCATTAACGGCGAGCGGCTGAGCGCAGAAGGCCTCGAGTCGGAGCCGTTCGAGCTCAAGACTGACGACATCGTCGTACGTAGCCTCCCTCCCGCGCTGTGATGCGCTTCCCCCGCCTCGTGTCTCACCCTCGCCGACTTCTCCCGTCCCTCCGTCCCCTCTCCCGCAGGAATTCGGCATCGACATCGTCGGCGAAGACAACAAGACCATCGTCCACCACAAGGTCGCTGCCCGCGTAGTATGCGTCTTCACCGAGCTCGACGCGCAGGCCGCACAGCGCGCCGAGGCGCAAGCCCAGCAACAGGGTGCGCAAGGCTATATGGGCGGCATGCCCAACCAGCCCGGCGCCGGCAACAGCCCCTTCAACTTCGGCAATGGTCAGGGTAGTTCGAACGGGGCCGGGCCTCAGCGACGGCCAACATTACAACCTCAAGGCCTCGTCGGCATGGGCGGCATGGGCGGTGGGAACGTCCGCGTCCCCGGAAAGAGTGGTTTGACCTTCGACCACATCCTCAGCAGGCTCCAAGGGGAGCTGCAGAAGAGCAGGGAGACCGGTGCGGAGCTCCACTCGCTCAGCAGCGGTCTCGCCGAGATCCACGATACCCTCGGTGGCAGCTTGGTACGTTTTCTCGTTAACGCCGCCGATCGTCCGCTCATCGAACACCTAGCCTTCCAACCTCCAGCCATATCCTCCAACACTGCCGCCAGTCATGCCAGCGCAGGTCGCTCGCGCTTCGGAAGAGGCCCATCAACGGCCGGCATCAGAACCCTCCAGCACCATGTCCGAGCTCCAGAGTCAGCTGCAGGAGACTCAGCGCTCCTTGGCGGAGCACGTCGACAAGGTTCGCACGCTGGAGAACATGCTCACCGAGCACGACGCCATCAAGCAGGAAGTCGGCTCGCTGAGGGCGGCGATGGAGGAGCGCAAGCGGGAAATGGAACTCTTCCGGCTCACAAGCGCCCGTCGATCGCACGATCAGCCCGAAGATGGCGATGATTTCGCATCGGACGACGACGACACCCGAAGCATCTCGACGGTCACCCCTCATGAACTCGAGCGCGTCGACGAGGAGGATGAAGAGCAAATCGCGGCTGAGGAAGAGGAAGAGCAGCGGAGGAGTCGCGACGAGCTCGGCCGCCCGCGGACACCCGAGCCTACCGGCATGGGCATGACCGAGGACGACGAAGAGCAGGAGCCGAACTCGTTCCGGCAACCCGCCACCACCCTCCGCCCGACCTCCCCCTCTCCTCCCGCATCCGCCCCCGCGATCCCGGACGAGCTCACCGACCGCCTCAACGCGCTCGCCAAACAGCTCGAGATGGCGCTCGAGCTCTCGCGCTCACTCGAAGCCCAGCACGCTACCGCCCAGTCCACGATCTCCGTCCTCGAGTCCAAGGTCGCGTCACTCGAGAACCTCGTCCAAGACACGCAAACGCAAGTGCAGTCTCAGGTCGATGTCACGGAGCAGCTCGTCCAAGCGTCTGAGTCCGCCCGCGCCGCGCCGCAAGAACCCACCGTCCCCGTCGCCGCTGTTGAGGAGGCGAGGAAGGAGGAGCGCGAGTCGCTCACCTCGATGTTCGCCGAGTGGAAGAAGAACGTCGAGGGCAAGTGGAGCAGCGTGCACGAGGACTGGACGGAGGAGCGGGAGCGCCTCCGGCGAGCCAGAGATGAGTGGGAGAGCCGGATGCGCGCGGCCGAGGAGACGGTCTCCACCGCCGCGACGAAGGTCGAGAACGGTCTCATGTCCCTGGCGTCCTTTCAGGCGCACCAGCAACAGAAGTTTATGAACGGCAACGCGAAGCCCCATTCCAGCGGCGGTCTCGTCACCCCTCCCAGCCCTCGCTCCCTCTCCGCTGAGTCCACTCGCCCCCGGAACCGGAGGAAACGCGCCGCGTCGCGAGGACGCACGCGGTCTCGGTCCATCTCCCCCTCCCCCACCGACGACGGCGCCGACAACCTGGTCTCTCTCGATGCCACGAGCAGCGAGTCATCATTCCCCGGTCCACGGCGACGATCGCCATGGTCTGTCGACGACTCGAGCGATTCGGAGGGCACGCACCCAAGCGAGTCTGGAGACGTCCCGGAAGGCTCGCGCAAGATGCCCTTCCCCATCACCCCGAGTCGAGCGTCGTCAACCAGCCGATATCGGCTGCGATCCCCAGTACCAGCGCGACAACGGACGCACGACCGCCTCCCTCCGCCAAAGCATCCGTGAGTCCCGACGCACCCTTCCCTGGCGCCTTCCCTCCCGCTGATCGGCCGGACGTGTCTTCGCTCTCGGTCCAGTATCCACTCCATCAGGTTCAAACGGTCTTCGGCGTCACGGTCTTGTTAGTCGCAGCAGCAGCAGTGGTATGGCGGGTGAAACCGGAAGTGGCAGCATAGACGGTTCGGCGGCGGTAGCAGCAGCAGCAGCGACAACACAAAATCGGCATGTACCACCCGTCTGTAGGCATCACCCCCCGCTACCCTCGTCCCGCGCTCCCTCCCCGCCCTTTCCCTCCGCCCTCGGTCTCTACGTCGTCCGGATCTCCTCGTCTTCGTCTATCATACTTGTCTACTACGTGCCCACGACTGGATTAGTACTCGGAATTCCCCCCGCCTCAGCGCGCGGCGTCCCCCACGTTTTCGCTCCTACCACCTGCCGCGCTGTCCCTGGGGACCGCCGCGGCTGCGCCCGACCCTCCTTTGGTTCCCCGTTCGTCGCCCTCCGCACATCGCCTCTCGCTCCGCTACCGCCGCATACGCATACGTATATATGTACATAAACCCTCACTCGTCCCCCGTCGTTTGCCCATGCCTACCCTCGTCGGTTAGTATTTAACGACCATAATGATGACCCGGCTCTCTTATCCTATGATGTCCACCCTGGAACACGAACACGAACACGAGCTTGGCTTCCCGTCGGAGTACTGGTGTGCGCGTGCGTTGCATCAAGCCAGGATGGTGTGATGCTGCGCGGCGCGCGAGCGGGCGCATGAGAACTTCTCTCGCTCGAGAATGGGATGGCGGGAGATCCGCGACGTCAACTTCCCGCGCGCTGGGAAGTCAGGCCACCTCGCCCCACACCGCCCAGATTAACCGGGGTCCCTGCGCGGATCGGCTGGGAAGATGCGCTCTTCTCATCGTGTCGGCGTCTCGTTGGACGCACATGCTGAGGTGAGGGAGACAGCGTGACCATTCTCTGTATGGTTACACGTTCTCGTACACGACAGCTAGTGCCCCATCCGCCGTGCTCTTGGCCCGTGCGCCCTTCCAAGTCGGGCGGCGCATGTTTTGGAAAGGAGAGGGCCTGTCGAGAGCGTTTCCAAGCGCCGCGAGTGGCCGGACGAGCTTTGACATGGGGGAAAACGGAGCGCGATTGTCCGCGGCTCCCGTCATGTCCTGTCGGGCTGGTACCGATGGTGCTTGCGGGTGTCGGGTGAGGCGTGGTCAAGGGAGTCGGGCGTTGGGAGGGTTGAGCGCATCAGGCGCGACCTGAGCGCGTCTGCCCGAATACCAGAAGCAAGCGCAAACGTCGCATTGCCGTGGCCAGCGACCGGCTCAAGAGACGACCTGCATGAGGCGTTCTCAGCGTCCCCGCGAATACAGGCAAGCACGGACCTTTTGAAAGCAGGCTGTCGGCGGAGATTTCAGTGTGACCGGACGGCTGCAGAAGAGTAGTCATCGGAGACGTCGCTGCGGGCTGCCAAATCGTTCGCAGACGACACAACTACCTTCTCTTGCTGAGATGGAAGCGGGGAAGCATACGAAAGCGCTTTCCACGACCGAATCCACTGGTATGATGCGGTGTGAATTGCGCGCCACTATCGCCTACCCGCTCGGGTCCGCTGCATATTGAGAACGGAACTTCTGGGGACGTTTTATTATGTTGCCACCCTTTGTCCTGCGGGCGCACTCGCACCACGACCTTCTTCTAGGGCCATTGGAAGCAGTCTTGGAACGGAAAGGTGCGAGGTGCGTAGGTATGGGTTCGCGACCAGTGGGTGTGTAGTGCATCAGCAAAACGGGGGATTTGAAGATAATGCGTTGCAGTGCGTGATCAACG